ACATTTTCAGGATATGAAAGTTTCTATATCATTAACTATTTATCATAGAATTTTGTTATTTTGTTTAAATTAGCATCACTTTGGTTAATATTATGATTATTAAATGCTTCTTAGTTAATTTTAGATTTAACTTGATTTGTTTTAGTATGTCTTATCATTTACACAATTATGAAAATGCTAAGTAACAAATGAAGTATAATCCTGATTTTCATTATATAAATTAGATCACTTCAAACTTTGTAAATATAACATTAAGAATATTATACTTATAAAAATGAAATAAAGAGAATATTAAAAATGTCAATAGTTCTTTCTAATTCTAATCTAAAAGTATTGATATGAAAGCTTATAGTTAAGTTGTAGTTAAAGATCATTTTTAAGAAAAAGTGGTGATTTGCATTTTGCTAATAAAATAATTTATATATATATCAGTAATATTATTTAAAATGGGATTATCAGAGTCAAAGAAAGAGATTAAAGGAAATATAACACTCTAATTAGAAAAAAAGAATTATTTTTGTGGTGAATTAATAACTGGAAGTGTTGATTATTCTGTAGAGGATTCTGAAATAAAAGCTTTTCTTTAACTTATATGTGTGGTAGAGAGATATGTCAGAAAGGAAAGGTTATATAGAGATGAGTCAATTGAATAGACTCTAATGTTGAGTTCACCAAATGAAAAAGGAAATTTAAGAAAACCCTTTTCAATTATAACTCCATAATTGTAGAGTATGGAATTTAATACATGGAATTAAGATGAATAGATTTATATAAAATATTTTATAAGGAGTTATTTAAATTTTTAGGATCATAATAAAAAGGAAAAGTAAAAATTTAAAAAGCAACAGGAAGAATAAATCTTTATTAAAAGAATTTATGAAAACAAAATATAAAGTGTTATAAAACATTTTTCATATACAGGTAGATCATGGATGTTAGGGAGTGATTAAGTATAATAATATATATATTATAAATAGAAAATATTTTTGTGGTATGACTTTTAAAATACAAATTTTCGATAAAATGAAAGATTGTTTTTTTGGTTAGGAGTAGACAATCGATAGACAACAATAAATATTGAAAACATAAAAGCTTATGTGATTTTAGAAATATTAGAATAGGAATCATATTGGAATCTGATAGAGAGAAGAGTATTATCAAGTAATGATGAAAAAATAAAGGTTCCTTATGGAATAGAAAATAATTGCTAAATAAGTCTTATAATTCCAAATAATTGTCCTACTGCAATTTTTAGTAAAAAGATTAGAATGTGTTATCATGTAGAGATTGTATTTGAATTTGAATATATGGGTTGTAAAAGGTAATAATACATAGAAAGGGTATTGATAGATGTAGTAAATTGTGAATATTGATGATATTCATTTCCAAACTGGTTTGCTATTAATAATTGATTAAATAATGCTCTCATCGTTTTTAATTTAACCAGGAGATGGATATCTCCATCCTTTATTTTTGCTTGTAGTAATTAATTAATTTGGGTTTGGAATAGCATTACCTATAAATAATTAGTAATAATAAAATACCTTTTACTAAGGGTGAATATTATCTATAGCCAAATCCAGTAGTTGGTTTAAGTAAATTAGGCATATGCTAAAGTTCAGGCTAACTAGAATAATATTGATTATTTACACATAAGCTGATTTTGGTCTTTCACTAGGATCTCTTTTTTATTGTTTCATAGATTAAGATTTCCCTGATAATTTTTATTTTTATTCCTAATGTTTTTTCAGACTATCATTCTATTATCTTTTTAAAGTTCCACTACTTGGTTTAATAAGTGACATTTAGGCAGAATCTCTTAAACTAGTATTACATTTTTCTTGTTCTTCTTTTAAAGTTACATAATTATTAACTGTTACATGATAAACATTTCCATTTATATTATTTTAGTTATTTAATCTAACTAATGGTTTACTTGTATTCTATTTCATTTTCTTTTAAGATTTTTTAACTAAAGTTTCATCTGCCCATTTTATAGTTTTAGGTCTATTTTCATTTAAATATTAATTAAATAATTTTCTATCTAACCAACAAGAATCAGCTGCACTTTATTTAGAATTCATAAATGTATTTCTTAATAACTTTTCATCTTCTTCAAGAGGTAGATCTAATTCTTCATGAGGTTACCAAGAACTTGATAATCCTCCTTCACCTTTTTTACTTAATTTTTATTCTAATTGTGTTAATTAATGATAAAAACTAGCCCTAATTTCTAAATCAGGTCTTCTAGTATTTAAGAACTCAAGAGTCTTATATAATTTCCATTTGTATTTTCTCATAAAAAATGCTGCTAATGCACAACATGATCTTGATTAACCTCTAATTGAATGTACTAAAACTGACTCACCATTATTATGTGCTTATTCTATAAAATTATAGATTTCATTCACAATGTTATTCTAAAATAAAACTTACTGGTTCAATAAACTTAATAAGTACCTATTCATTCTCTTACCAATTAAATTTTAGATATAAAACTCCATAATTTTCGAATACACAAGGTAATTATCTTGAAGCACAATTTATTATGTGACTGACCTTATTCTATATCACAAATTCAAGATCCTTACATATTATTTATATATACAATACTTTTGATGCAAATTCATCACCAATAAAAAGACCATCTTTTATTTTTATTGCTCCAATTATCATTTTTTATTATAAATTATATAAAATTTGAATGATGGAATTAATGCCTAAACTAAGTGAATTTCATTAAAAATTGCAATATTATACTAATCATTTTTCAGAAAATAAACTCTGTTAATCTAGTAAGTGAACAGGAGAATAACTTTTAAGTTTAACGTAAAGATTTATAATCATTTCATTTTGCTATGTAATTCATTCAAAACAACACAGATTATTAATATTAATTTCAGAGAAAATTTGTACAATAAAAATAGATATGTTATCTTATTTAAATATCATTTTAGAATGTGCCTGAAAACAATGACATTATTTCTGTAGCAAGAAACTTATTTGATTTAAGAGAGTTTAAAAATGTGCTTTTTTGTTATAAAATTTAATTCAAAAAATGACTCAACAATTTTTTTATATTATTATTCTAAATATATATATGGAGAATTAAGAAAAGAAGAAATGTTTGAAAATGAGAATTCAAAAACAGCTACAAATACAGAATAAAAATTATGAGATAGAGAACTATCAAAATTATAAGTCATAAAATATATATCTTTATGGATTAATTAAGATACATTAAAATTTAGAGCTTTCAAAGTAGTGTTTAATTTAAGTTTTGAATTAATTACCATGTTTTTGGAGTGCCTGGTTAGAACTTTGTAGATTGATGAGTGAAGAGAGATTCAATTAATTAGATAGCAAATACTTATTACAATAAATAAGAATTTGAATAATCTTTGAAATGGTTTGAAAGACTGTATAGTGTATAGATCCATATAGATATGAGAATTTGGATACATATTCGAATATTTTATATATTAAAGAAAATTAAGGAAGATTGGCAAATTTAGCATTACAATCTTTTACTAATAATAAATATGTACCTAAAACAATTTGTGTAATAGAAAATTATTATTCTTTAATTTATGAACATGCAAAGGCTATAAATTATTATTAAAGAGCATTAAATTTAGATAAGGATTGTTTAGCTGCATGGACTTTAATGGGTGATAATATTTAGAAATGAAAAATGTTGCTTCAACTATATAATCTTATAGAAATGCAGTTGAAATTGATCCAAAAGATTTTAGAGCATGGTATGGATTAGGTTAAACATATGTTTTATAAGGAATGAATTAATAAGCTCTATATTATTTTGGTAGAACTGTTATTAGTAGACCAAAAGATGCAAGAATGTGGAATGCTATGGCTGAATTTATGATAAAATGGATAAAAAAATGAAAGAGCTAATTTATGTAAAGATAAAGAAGGAATTGTTATACATCAATTAGTCAAATTATATGATGCTGTTGTAATATGAATTTATCTAAATATTCAGGGTAAGAAGCTTAATGAGCATTTTAAGAAAGTTTAAAGAGAAAAGATGAAGAATAAACAGTTGATAAAGAAGTCTCTAAAGCTCTATTGTATTTAGCCAGATCTTACTTAAAAAAAGGTGATAAAGAAAGAGTTATATAAATGGCAAAGAGACTTTTTGATTTTAATGGACCAGAAAGAGATGAAGCTAATTTAATTATGAGTTTATTGAATTATTGAATTAATGAAATTTTGTTTTTTTCATATCATCTATAAATACTAATATTATATTTACAAATTCAAGAATCAATTATTTTTAATATTATTATTATTATTTTATGATAAATTCAACAACTTGTAGAATGCCCGATGACAATGAGGATTAAAATCATCGTCTAAAAATTCTCGAAACAAACTCAAATCAATTCTATGCTTAATTAAAAGTAACTCATTTTATAAATCTTAAAGCCCTTATTTTCAGAAAATACTTAATTAAAATAAAATCTTATAGAAATTAATGTGTATATAGAGGAAAGAAAAATGCAACTTTGTAAATATTTATCAGATGTTGGACCTAATGGAGAAGATTTGATTCTTATTAAAGCAGTAGGAGATTTGCAACAAATTTGCGATTTAATTGGAGGTACAAAAATAATAAATTATTAAGATGAAACAAAAAGGCTTAGAGCATAAATTGTGAATTAAATTGAAGTTTAATAAGAAAAAGAAAAGTGTCTTAAAGAAATAAAATTAGATTTACAAAGAGAAGCAGAACGATTCATAAATGAAAAATAAAGACTTATTGATTAAAATACATTATCTCAATAAGCACATAAACAAATTATTGAGAATCTAAAATAACAAAATGATATACTTGTAAATTTGCATCAATTATGAAGTTAATGAAAAATGAAGATCTTTAATCAGCTTTATCAAGATAATCTGAAATAGAAAACGCTTTAAAAATTAAATATAGATTCAAATTGGAAGATGAGATTAAATCTTTGACAACCAAATTGAACTGTCTTAAAATTTCTAAATAAGAAGAAGCAGATAAATATGATTAAGAAAGGAGAATTTATTTGAAATAATTAGAATAATTTAGTGGAAAATTAAAATAAGTTAAATAAGATATCATTGATGAATATGAATATAAATTGGCTACTTAAAAAGTCAAATTTGAAAATCAATTCAAATTAACAAAATAAGAAATTTCTGATTTAAAATATTCTAATTCCTAACTTTTTGAAAAACAAAAATTATGGCATTTATAATAAGAAGTACTGATTGATCAAAAGTATAAATTAGAACTTCAAAATAAAGATTTTAAAAGTTTAATATCAATGCTTGAAGAAAAATTGATTATTCAAGAAGAATTAACCATCTAAGCTCAACATGAAATAAATCAATAAAAGTATTTTATCATCTATTTTAGATCTGCTATAAGTGTTCTCAAATAATCCATAAATTAAAAGAAGTAAAATGAGTAAAATTATCAAATAATTTCATAATCTTCATAGAAATAACAATAATCAAAATCTTAAACACCAATATAGGAATCAAGGACTTAATCTACTTAATAATAGTAGAAAACAACAAATTTAAAAAAACAGTCAAAAGACAATTAAAAAATGACTGATTCTTAAAAATTAGTTAATCATAATTCATAAGAAAAAAAGAATTTATCTCAAAATTCAACATACATCAGTACTAATACTAACACTGAGTAACATAATTAAACTAAATAAATAAAGATGTTGGATTCCATATAAGAAATATAATATGAACAATTTTCATCTACTACATAATCATAACGTGCTGAATAAAATTTACAATTATTAGATTCTTTTACACAAACAGAAGAATCAATTTTTAATTAAACTGTCTCTTCTCGAGGTAAAAACTCATCAATTCGAAAAAATAGATCATAATTTGTTTAATAATTTCAATATAATCATGTTGGGACATAATATGATTCTGAATTAAAAGATAGTGATTATTTCAATTTTAAATTAGAATTACTAGTTTCTTAATTATAAAATAAAATTCAAAGTACTTAAGCAATGTGTGATTTAAAATTAGAATAGAAAAATTAAGAAATTGAAGATTTAAAAAATTAATTACAATCTTAATAAAATAATTTTGAAGCATAATATAAATAAATGGAAATTGAAATGAATTTATTACATAATGAAGAATTAGAATCAAAGATATTAACTATTCAAAATTTAAAAGAAATTGTTGATTAAAATAATGATAAAATTAATGGATTAGAAGAAGCCCTTAAACTTTTCGAAATAAATTAAGAAAACATTCATTCAAAATATGAAGATATTCTCAGTAAAAAAGATTAAACAATAAAAGATATTGAAAACAGAATGTAAGAAGATAAACTTATGGCAGAATAAGAATAAACTAGATTATTATAAATTAATTAAAATCAAAGAGAAGAATTTTAATTAGAGTTACAAAACCTCTAAAATTAGCATACTTTAGATGAATAGAAACTTTAATAAGAAAAATTAATATATTAAGAAGAGAAGGCTTCTATAGAAAAAATAAAGGAAAATAATTAATTAATGCTTGAATAAATTAAAAAAAAAGAGTTTATTTTAGAAAATTATAAATCTGAATTAATTAAAACAAATGAAGTAGTGAAATACCTACAATTAGAACTTGAAAATTATAAAAAATTAAATAACATTTTTAGATCAAAGGATGAAAGTTCATCTTAAATGATTACTCATGGCTTTTTATCTTAAGATATATAAGAAAGAATCAAATAAAGGTTATAAAAATCGAAAATATCAAAAGATAACCCTAAATTTGGATTTTAAACAAGAGATGCTTATAGTATGAATTTTTAAATTTAAAGAAAAGAAAAAATGAAACATGTTAAACTGGGAACATTGAATACAAGCTTTGATGATAAAAATATTTATTAGTAAATAATAAAAATTAAATTAGAACTTAAAAAAATATTTTCAGATTTAAAATGATAGATGATGACAGTTAGGGAATGTTATAAATAAATACAAGAAGAATGTAATCATAAGATGATAAATTTAACAGTGAAATAAAACTAAAATAAAAATGCTTTAAACAAAATTAAAGAGCAAGTTTATATTTTATTTATTTCATTAGAAACTTAAATTAGTGATTATTCAGAATCAAAGTTAGTAATTTAAGATATTTTAGAAAAAGAGATACCTGAACAAAATAGAAGTAATTAGCTTCTAAGCTCATTAAATGATCAACAAACTAAGTTTAGGAGTGTTCATAGCACATACAATTCTACAAAAAAGAAATTTATCTAAAATCATTGAAGTAGTATTATAAAAATTCTCAAATTAATTGGATCTCTCATTCGTCATAACAACATAAAAACCACCAAGGTTTTTAATCTGTTTCTTTGCTTTTTTTTAAAGATTCATGTTCTTAACAATCTAATTTTTCATCAATATTCTCTGTATTCTATATATTATTGTTTTATGGATTTATTTTTTCTTCTTCACTTCTTGGTGATATTGGTGATTTACAAGATAATGGATCACTAACAGATGAAACCATTAAAGAATTCAACATTATTTAAGTTTGTTTCAAAGCAAAAGATTTTGTCTTTAATTGACGTAATTTTTAATGTTCATCATAAGCTAAGTAAATTAAATTTAATAATACGCGGAAGTTCTTCATCTGGTCTTTCATATTCATCCATTTCATAAAGTTCATATACATTAAAATCATTTAAAAAGAAAAATAATTCCATTTCCGCTCTCTTGAAAGTTTAATTGAATTCTCCTATAACCATTTATAAAAATTCTCTAACTGTGATATCAGAAGTTACTCTTATAGTTACAATAATTTTTCTATGTAAATTATCTATCCAAGTAACTCTATATGGTATTGAATAGTTTCCTTTTTATTCTTATGTTTCAACTTTGTTAATTTGATTAGTATTTGCTTTAGATTTTTCTTTAGCACTGATTGGGGCATTATCATCATAAACCATTTAAATATCTTCTGTGTAATAAAAACTCATCTTATGTCAGATATAAATTATAATGATTATTTTAAAAATTTTGTAATAAGTTCTCAGATTTACAGAATAATTTATTAGGAGTTCTAATTAAGTATTTCATTAATTTAAGTTAAGAATAATAATTTTAATTATTAATATATAGATCTTTGAAAAAAATAAACTTCGACTCAAGAATTGCTTGATTTATTATTTTTAATGACTAATTTTATTTAATATATTTATTATGCATAATAATTCAAGAGACCCTCCCAATAGAATTCTTCTTTTAATTCTAAATTAATTACCTTCAACTTTTCCTTTGAACAATTAATTTATCCACTAAAAATTCAATGATTTTGGAGACATTAATAAGATTCTTATTTTTGAAAGAGGAAAAACAACAAAAGCCTTTGTTGAATTTCATGAATTAAAAAGTGCAATATAAGCTAGAAGATAATTGAATGGATATAATATCCAAGGAGGAAAGTATTAAACTTTTGTTATTTTTTTTTAGAATGATTATTCATTTTTCTCGACTTAAAAATCTTAATCTCGAAATAGTGGATAATTCAAGGGGAACAGATTATACATAAGCTAGTAGTACAAGTCAGAATTCTGATTCTATCCTTAACTCAAGAACTGATGAAAATAATTAGTTTGATTTAACTAATCATATTAGTTAAACTTAGTCACCAAGAGACAATTCTAGTCCTATTAGAAATGAATAAATCAATCGTCTCTTAGAATCAGATGATGAAGATGATCTAACGATTTGGAAATAAGCAATTCCTTAGAATATCTCAGAATTTCATCCAGATATATAAAAATTACTTCAACAAAGATAATCAAGATTACTCAGAGTCACAAATTTTGATTCTAAAATCATAGCCAAGATGATTTATAATGTCTTTTCTAAGTTTGGTAATATAGAAGAAATCCTTTATGAAAGATAATCATTTAGAGCCTTCATTAAATATTAAACAGTAAATTAAGCTATAATTGCTAAAGAATATCTCAATAATATTTAATTCTTTGATTCATAAGTAACTACTCTAAATAAATAATTAGATACGCATCTATTTTGAACCTCTCTAATCCCTCTAACCAAGTTCTTTTTAGGATGAGTATATGATTTATTATCATGAAACTCAATAATATAACTGTAGTCCACTCTCTACAAATCTCTTAATCACTGGTGTTTAAGACTCTTCTGAAATCTCAGAGCAAATCTAAATGTTTGCTAAAGTTAAAGGTATTCTATAATTTATAATTTATAGAAATTAAAATAGGAGTAAATAATATTCAATTAACAATGTTTTCTAAAGCAGACACAATCAAAATTATTGCTGTATTTTCTGATTTTGAATTCTAAAATTAGAAAATGAATATCATTCTTAAATAATGATATCTTTATAATTATCATAAAATATAAATAAATCAAAAATAAATTAATTAATTATCACTTTTATTATTTTTTAATTTTCTCTCTCTAGTAAGACACAACTGAATTTAACAGATTTTTTTCTTTCGTTGCTTATATGCCTTATATTTCATATACTCTTTTTTGAATTTAATTGCTTATTTTATTTGGATTTTGTTTTTCATTTTAAAGTGAAATATTATTCAACATTTAAGAATTCTGCCTTTCTCTTGTTAATTCAACTGAATAATTTTAATAATTCTATAGTTATTATTAGTGAAGTAACTTTTTTTTTGTCACTTGAAGAGAATCTTAGTGTCTTTCAATATTATGATTAATATAAGGTTTTTCATTTGAGTTATCTAAATTTTCTAATAAAGCTTTTACTTTTAAACCTTATCTTTCATTCAAAATTATTAATTATTGTCTATTTTAGTTTTAAGTTTTTGGAATTTAATCATAACTTAAATTAATTTTAGGTTAAACTTTGTTGTAATCAGAAAATGATCTTTTTTATCTATCAATCTATTAAATTTATAAAGGTTTATGTCGATTAACACTACTTTATTTACTATTCAATTAATATTCTTATAAAAATTGATCCTCTTCATCATCCACTAAATTTCTTACAAAATCCTAAGCTAAAGGTAAATTGTTTAAACTTTCCCATGTTAAACCTGATTTCTTTTATTCTAAAGCATTCTATGAATTTATTTTCGATCTATTCATGTAAGAACATGTTGTTGGTTTAGAAGGATTTGGTAATTTCTCGATAAGATTAATCATATTTGGATATTTTTAAATTAACTATGATTTTGTAGAGTGTTTTAGCTCAAATTATAATTTATAATATGCTTTTCTTTCCCTTTCTAACTATTTTATATATTCACTTTATTCCTTTCTTTATTACAAGATTTATTTGATTTACTCATCATCTTTAACATTAGGGTGAAATATTTTATATTCATATTTAACTTCTTTAATTCTCTCCTCTTGATCTCTCATTTGAAAAGGTTTCTAAAATGGTTTCATTTTTTATTAACATAGTTTCCAGTTATCTAAACCTAAATTTACAATAAATTGTTCTTGATCATAGCCTTACTCAATTGCAATCATATTTAACAGTTAAATAAATGATTCATAATTTAATTCTTTTTAATTTTTTGCATATTTCTTAAATAGTTCTAAAATTCTCTAATTTTTTGCTTTAATTTAGAAATCTTTACAAAAATGCATCCATTTCCCTATTGTAAATATTGAAGCTTCATATTATTGCCTTTCAAATGTTGCATGCTATCCTTACACATATTGCTGTTTACAATAGAAATCAAAAACTTTGGCAATTACTTCTTTATTTAGAGTATTCATTTTATTTATTAAATTATGCTTTTAATTTTATTCATATATTTTTTATAAATATATGAATAAAATGCATTTGATAAATTAAATAATTATCAATTAAATATAAACTTTTAGACCTCTTAAATATTACAATCTTTAACACTTTGTTCAACTATTTTAATGGTTGGAAAATCATTGATATCAAATTAATTCTCTTAAAACTAATTAAATAAATTTATATGCTACTCTTATTCTATCATTCGTATTCTCTCTTTATTCTTAAACTGCTTTTCTTGATTTTTTTATTTTTTCTCTTAAAAAATAAATTTATAAATTACATTTCCCTTGATAAAAACATCTCAAAATCAGGAGCCTTATATGCTTTCTCTTTATCCTATTTGTTTAATACTATCAAAATTGGAATTTTTGATTTTTAAAATGGAATTGAAATTAAAATGTTATATAGTATAGCTGCTGTGGCTCCAATTTAAGAAGTCTCAGATGAATCAGTAACTAATATTATTTTCTTAGCTTCTTATATTTTATTCAAAAACTATTCCTTTTGATAATTATTCCCAGGGACATCTACAACTATAACACCTTAATTATTTGGCTTTACTAATTCTGTTTAATTAGGCTCAATTGAATTAGTTGTTTATATTGACGAATTTTAATTTGAAAGCTATTCATATATATAATTATTACACAATACAAAAGGGAAGTTTTTCCTGCGTTTTTATCCCCAACAATAAAAATTACTGAGTTATCAGCATTAACTGTCTAACCTCCAGATTTTCTTCTGGATATTATTAAAAATGCTGTAGCTAAGATTAGCACAATAATACCAATTATAAAATACATTTAATAATTAATAAACACGTTTAATTAAGTTTTGATAATTTTTTATGAGAAAATTAGCATTAAGAATTATTGTATTTTCTAAGTAAATTTATTATACAGATATAAAATAAAATTATCAACTATTGTTGAAGGAAGCATTGTTAATTTAAATATAGCCATTTTTATAAGTAATGTGAAACATTAAAAATTTAGCATTTCAAACTAATAATCATAGGTAGATTTTTATAAGGATTTTAGATTTCTAAATATATAAAAGATAATTTCCAAAGGGAATTTATTAAATCATAATCGAACAAATATATATATTATTTAATTTATATTAGAGAGAAAACATCTTTCTAATAGTCAATATAATAATGATGCATAATTGTTGATTATAATTGCTTTATTATCTTAAAGTAATTATTTGTTAGTAAGTCATAAAAAATTAAGTATTTCTTTGATTCGAAATACTTTGATAATTGATTCCAACGAATTGCTAATTTGATCTTAATCAATTAATTTGGGATAGCTCTCTAGAACTATTCCTAATTAATTCATAAAGATAAATTAATAATCATAAGGATATTGAATGATAGGAGCTTTGATTTATCGATTTTTAAAAAAGATAATTAGTCATTTTGAGTTTCTTCTTTTTCTTTCCTTTCCTTTTAGTTTGATTCTTTTTAATTTATTTATTATTCCTTCCAAATAATTAGTTCATTTTTATGTATAATACTTTAATTAAGTTATGAAATAAGTACAATAAATAGAATTTTTACAAAAAAAATAGTTACATTATTTTTAGTTCTTTTGAGAGCAACCCGATAAAAAATTTGATTCATTTACAACAAAAGCAGTTAGTTTAATTAGGTTTTGCTGATCAAGAAAAAAAGAAAGTCATTTACCAATTTAGTTATAATATAAATATTTTCATAATATATATAATAGAATAAATAAACTTTCAAAATTGGATAAATTTCAAGGCATATAAATGTTTGAATCTAAAGCTTTCTCATCATAAATACTTCCACTCAAAATAAATTTTAATTTTTGATGAAAAAGGAATGGTATTTTGCCTCCTAAGTATATAAATATATGAATATAAAAATAAATAATATATGAATTAATACTTAAGAAGAAAAAATAATAGAAGCTTTTTTAGTATAAAAAGAAAAAATTAGTTTAAGGTGTTTTTAGATTAATAACTGAGACAATGAATTAACCACCTTTAAATGATTGGTTATTAATAATATTTGATTAAAATGTTAAAAAAGAAAGATTCCTTGTTTTGAGTGGATTAGACAAATGATATCTTGATAAAATAGGAATATATTCAATTTATTGAATTCAATTCAAATTTTACTGCTTTTTTAATGATTATGATCATTTAGATTTAATATGAATTTGTTGTTAAAGTTGTTAAAAATATTAAAGGAAGTATTTTTTGATGAAAATATATATAACTGTGCTAAATATGGTATTAAAATGCAATACATTGAATTATATTTTAATATTAAATGAATTTTACCCAATGTATATAGTTTTTAAAAGTAGTGCAAAAAGCATTCAATATTAAATATACTTCCCTGCTTATAAATATGGTTTATTTATTTAAAGTTTCAATTGTGTTTAATTGGAGGGAATTTATTATTAAATATTAAAGTTTATAGGATGAATTCATCTATTGTTAATAATATGGAAGCAGCTATGATTTATTTATATCAGATATTAGCATCATAATCAGAAGTATAGTTATCGCAAAATTATACATAAGAAACTAATAAATACTCAACAATTATAGTGTTCGAAAGATATATTTCTGATACGAATACTATATTTTTATATGGTTATGATTCCAATTCATTAATTATTTTTAAACAACAACATTATAATGTAGACGAGTTAATTACTAACCTACATTAATATTAAATGAAAATTAAGGACTTTTTATCGTAGATCCTAGCTCAAAATTAAGAAATTTGTATTCATTTTATAAATTATGCCTCAATCATAGAATCTGACAACCTTTAAATAAAATAAGAAGCATATAAATTATTAGAATTACCTTTCCCTAAAAGCAAAATCATAGTTTGGATGGAACATAAAAAAACACTTCAAATTCCAAACGATTACCTTCAAATTTAAATTTCCTTCAATTAATTGGCATTACTAAAAATTTAGCGTAATTTAATTTAGAATTTGGAACTCTATTAATAATTCACTATTGAATAAATTACTTAAATTCAAGAAAATCATAAATAATTTATAGACTAATTAGAAATATGTGAATCATAAGTAGAGACTTTTAAATTATAAAGTTTAATTAAAGATATTACTTATATATAAGATTTACCAGAATAAATACAATACTTAGCATAATTCTTAATAAATTTACCACGTTTTACTTGCTAAGAAACAGTCATAATGATAGCAAAACTTAAATTGTATAAATAGAATTTAATACTAAAGAAAACAATTAATTAATAAAAGTTATAAATTAAAGAATACATAGAAGTAGCCAAAACTGATTTAAGTATATTTAAAGATGAAAAAAATTGCCATTTTCCTAAAAAAGGAGAAAATAGTTAAAAGTAATTTATTTAAATAATTTTTTTAGATGCAAAGTATGCTAAAAGAATAACAGAAAAGTTCGAAAATCAAGTTTTGTTTGTGATGCATGTTAAAAACATTACAAAATAAATGTAACGCTTTGTACAACTAAATGTTTTAAATTATTTCATCTAAATCCTGAAAGGTATTTACATAGAAAAAGTAGAACAAAAAAAGCAAAAATAGAAGAATGATAGAATTTTCTATATTATTTAATTAAATCTATAATACTTCACTAAAATTATAGGATTAATATTATTACACTTATTTTTAAATAGTTTGATCATAGGATTTAAGGTAACTAATATAACTATTTATAAGGTATTTTAAGATTATTAATTATTTAAATATTTATAATAATTTTGATTATATAAAAATATATTTATAGGGAAATCTCAAATTAAAAAACTGAAGTTATAGAGTGTGGAATAGATGATCAAATTTGGTAAAAATTTTAGAAATGAATAATTTTTTAGTTAAACTAATAGTTACAAAATCACCAAATAGATAACATAAATTTAATAATGATCAAAATAAATAGAGAAATTGTTGTTTTGATTAAAGCTGATTTAATTGTTATAATTTCTATCAATTTTTGAAATAACTTTAGACATTACATAAAAAGTATACAATAACAAATTTTTATGAGTATTTCATAAGGATAGAATCCAATAATCATAGATAACGAAAATAGAATATAAAGTAACATCAAATATGTGACCATTGAAGGTCTTGCGACTTTAATATATGAATAAGATTACTGAATAGCATCAAATCACTAAATAAAATCATATCTATTAATGATGATAAAGTTATTATGACAATTGATATTGAAATTCTTTCTTAAACACCAACAAGATAGCCAAAACTTGATTTTAAAATAGCTATTTCACTTAGAACTATGTAAATTTTTGTATTGATTTGATTATCAATTTTATTTTGTGTATTTTATATGAATGAAAAATCTTTAATGGTTTAAGTTCTGGCATTTTTAAATTGAGGAGATTCACGATCTAAATCAGAAACCTAGGCTAAATGTCTAGCTCCAGCTAATTATTTATTGCTATATTCTGATTAACAAAATTTATTTTATTTACTATCTATAGTCTAAAATAAATAAATATATTACAAACTATAATTTATTTATTAAATCTGAATAATTAGATTTACTATTACTATTCTTAACTTCATCATCACTATTTTTTATTAAATCAATTTGATTTTGATTCCTGTAATAACTTTCAATCTGCAACATTTCTTCATTTTTTTCGGGAACATATTCAGAGATAAGTTTAGGTTATAAAATTGGAGGAGGGGGAGGAATATTATTACTTAAACCAATTTAAGTTGTCTAAGTTTCATCTATGTCTTTATTGTATATTTCTTAGAATTCTTTGGCTACAAATAACAATGGAATCCAAAATAAAATTTGATATTATAATACAAATTCATTATTTAGGTACGCAGTAATTGATTCTCTTTATTCAGAAGGTAGTTGATCAATCTATCTAATTAATTTTAAATAGTTATGATCTTTTAAGTATTTATGATGTTATAATTCGATAGCATTAAAAAATAGCAAGGGTAATACAAGTAAAAAAGCTGAATGAAATAAAAATCTTCTGATGAAGTTGAAAAAAAGTTCAGTAAATCTTTCATATTTCATTACCCTTGCATTATATATAAAATACGTAATCCAAGTAAATGCTAAACTTACAATTAAGTTTATAATATAAACCATTTTATATAATGAATATTCAAAATTACTCAACCAAAGATGAAAAAAAGAAAACCTTGTTAAAACCACGAATACGATCTTCCAGTAAAGAAACAACATAGTAGTTGCTTACTTAAGCAAGAGTTGCAATTTAAAACCCTCCTGTTTATATAAATACAACTGCTGATAAATATAGAAAGCATTCTGTTGATAATAAGAAACAAGTAAAACCAAAAAAAAAGAAGAAAACCTAAAAGAAGATTTAATGTATTGTTATCTATCATTAATAATAGAGTTAGATAATGAGGAAGAGTAAAAATTATTAGAGGAAGAATAGAAAAGACTTAGAAATTTAGAGGAGTTTCAAAGATAATAATGGAAAAAAATGAGTTAAGAAGAAAGAGATAGATTAAAAAATGAAGAAAATGATAGAGTTTAAATAGAAATGATATGGGATAAAGAAATACATGAATAAAAAAAAATGTTTAGAATTTGATGAATGGAATAATTATGTTTCATGTAACACTTAAATAGATCCAAGAGTAGAAAAGGATTTAAATACATTTATTTATTAATTATCTAGCAATAACAATGATATTTCATTGAATTATAAATAGATAGAATAGAATACATTTCTAAAATCATTTTTATTATTCAAATAACTCATTAGGAAGATCTAAGCTAATCAATATTTACAAAGTAAAACCATTGTAAGCTTTTTTAAGTTTATTCCTTCAAATAATCTAAATGGAATTAAAAATGAGGATCAGATTAAATCATTATTTAATTTGTTGAAAATCCTACCTTTAATAAAGATTTTGAAGGGGATGATGAATTTTAATGGAGAAATTTAGAGTTTTAATTGAATAAAGTAGCTCTTTTAGAGTGTAATGAAAAGAGTGACAAGTTAACAACAAAATGGTATAAAAATACTCTCAGCCATGCTAATTTGTTAATTTTAATTTAGTAACATTAAATTACTCCACCTGAATTATAGTTTTATGTAGAAGAAATTTAGAATGTTGAATTAAGATCTAATTTGAGAACTATGATCAAGGTTATAAGATTATTAGCAATTAATTGAAAATATATAAATATTATATAATTTATAAAATAATTTAGTTTTATAATATTATCAAGTTTAAAAGTTATGGATTTAAAAAAGCAACACATTATCATATTTTCATTATCTAAAATTATATTTGGGTCACTTTTTTTTTCTTTCTTAAATAAAAGGAATAATCAAATTTTTTACTATAAATTTTTTTTCATTTTAAAATTATCTTAATCTTATATTTGGCAAATAAGAGAAAGATAAAGTATATGTTTACCTGAACTTCCAACTAAAAAATTGTCTCCACCAATAGAAATTATTGATATTAACATTAATAATACCAAATTACTTTTTTGATATTCTTTGTTAATTAATATTTCTCAAATTAGTTTTATTTAAATTTTTAGTTGAAAAAGTAAGTCTTGATTCAGAGAACATATAAAGAAAATTTCTTAAATGTCTTAGGTAGGTTTAAACAATAAAATAATTATTGGTCTAGAATTTTCAAAAGCTTAATAGACTTTTAAAAGAAACTTAAAAAATTATAATATAAAAAATAATGAATATCATTGTTTTTTAGACATAATTTTGAATATTTGTTTTTTTATTCTATACTAATTACTGAATTCTATTTATTAAATGATAAGTTTTTTTTGATGAGTTTACTAATTATACAACTTCCATTTTTGCAAAATATTTTTGCAAAATTTCACTAGATGTAGTTGCATCATTTTTTCATTCATATCTCTTTTTTTAATCCTATAATTATGATATAACTTTAATTATGAAAATAACTTTTTCTATAATAATTTACATCTAAATAATTGTGCAAATTCAATAGAGTATTTTTTATATTTTTGCCTTTAAGTATAATTTTATAAATAATAGAAGAGTTATTTCAATTTCTTTTCAGAAAGACTCTTCTCAATATCCTTATATTTCTAAACCAAATTTTTAGTATCTCTAAGAGTAAATATTGCTAATTTCAATAGATTATCTTTTCTAATTCTTTGTAGATATCGTTTACTTTATTGTGATCCCTTATATTTTTATAAAGTATAAAAAGATTTTTGCACAAGCATTTTCCATCTTCCATAATATGCTAATTTTTTTTGTCTTCTAATAATCATATGTTGTTCAGTTTAATTTTTGAGAAATATAAGAATTTCATACGAGATAGTTAAATTTCGTTTTTTGATAAATCCTTGAACTTATAATTTTTAGTTGATCTTANATAATTTATAAAATAATTTAGTTTTATAATATTATCAAGTTTAAAAGTTATGGATTTAAAAAAGCAACACATTATCATATTTTCATTATCTAAAATTATATTTGGGTCACTTTTTTTTTCTTTCTTAAATAAAAGGAATAATCAAATTTTTTACTATAAATTTTTTTTCATTTTAAAATTATCTTAATCTTATATTTGGCAAATAAGAGAAAGATAAAGTATATGTTTACCTGAACTTCCAACTAAAAAATTGTCTCCACCAATAGAAATTATTGATATTAACATTAATAATACCAAATTACTTTTTTGATATTCTTTGTTAATTAATATTTCTCAAATTAGTTTTATTTAAATTTTTAGTTGAAAAAGTAAGTCTTGATTCAGAGAACATATAAAGAAAATTTCTTAAATGTCTTAGGTAGGTTTAAACAATAAAATAATTATTGGTCTAGAATTTTCAAAAGCTTAATAGACTTTTAAAAGAAACTTAAAAAATTATAATATAAAAAATAATGAATATCATTGTTTTTTAGACATAATTTTGAATATTTGTTTTTTTATTCTATACTAATTACTGAATTCTATTTATTAAATGATAAGTTTTTTTTGATGAGTTTACTAATTATACAACTTCCATTTTTGCAAAATATTTTTGCAAAATTTCACTAGATGTAGTTGCATCATTTTTTCATTCATATCTCTTTTTTTAATCCTATAATTATGATATAACTTTAATTATGAAAATAACTTTTTCTATAATAATTTACATCTAAATAATTGTGCAAATTCAATAGAGTATTTTTTATATTTTTGCCTTTAAGTATAATTTTATAAATAATAGAAGAGTTATTTCAATTTCTTTTCAGAAAGACTCTTCTCAATATCCTTATATTTCTAAACCAAATTTTTAGTATCTCTAAGAGTAAATATTGCTAATTTCAATAGATTATCTTTTCTAATTCTTTGTAGATATCGTTTACTTTATTGTGATCCCTTATATTTTTATAAAGTATAAAAAGATTTTTGCACAAGCATTTTCCATCTTCCATAATATGCTAATTTTTTTTGTCTTCTAATAATCATATGTTGTTCAGTTTAATTTTTGAGAAATATAAGAATTTCATACGAGATAGTTAAATTTCGTTTTTTGATAAATCCTTGAACTTATAATTTTTAGTTGATCTTATACTATGCAAATTTGAACCAAAATAAAAAAATATTTTAAAGCCTTTGTTTTTTTTTATTTATAGCATATTGTTCTAAGTAATTTTCTGTTTAATGCAATTTGATTTTCATAATGGCAAAATATTTGGAGTATAATTTGATTTATTATCGATGAATTAATTCTTATTCTGCTACGATATCATTTTGTGTTTATTTTATAAACTTGCACCATTAATGAAAATATGTTTTTTTTGTGTTTTTGATGTATAATTATTGGGCATCATAATTTTTAATTTACTTTTGTTACATACAATAAACAACAGAACTCCAGGCTTTGATTAAAATATTTTTAACTCTTTTATCTCTTTTTGTTTTGAATCTAAAAAGCATAACTTATTTTATCTGAATCTACTCAATATATTAATGCCAATGATTAAAAAGCATTTTTAAGACTTTAATTCTCTTAGTTTCAATAAAATTGGCCACTTAATAAACATCATAAGTCTTGGCAGTTTGAAGTCTCCAAGCATGAAATATTTTTTGCAATTAATCCCTTTATTGTTCAACATATTGAATAACTTCAGATGTTTTGAGAGAGTCAATTAATTCATTGAGCTAGGATTCAGCTTCACTATCTATAGAATTGTTCTTCAATTTGCATGCTTGTAAGTAGAGATCCTTCTTAATGGAATTAGAGAGAGATTTTGAATTCGAATTCATAAAACTGATTTATATTAATTAAGTAAAGTATGGGAAGCAATTGTGCAACCTGTTAAAACTGTTAAAAGAAGGAAGAGATACTAATTAGTGAGGTACAACAATAATCTAATCCATAAATGAACTAATACTCATAATAACCAAATGAGGAAGAAGAGGAGGATCGTAAATTGATTTAACAATATTTTTAGATCTGGAAGAGAAGAACCATGAAGGTTCTAGTTAGGTAGTGTAGCAATATTTGAATTTGGATGAACCTTAGAAAAATGATGCTGTAGTATGTATAGAAGCAACTAGAGTTTAACAAGTGGAAACTCCATAAGTTCAAGTGATAATGACTAATGGTATTTATGAAAAAGATTGTAAAATAAGAGTCAAATTGTGATAGTAAGAAGAGAAAGAATGAACTGATGTTGAGAAATCAGGAAGATTTAAAAGAAACTTAGATTCATAAGAGTGAGAATACAGTTAGAGAAAAGAGACCTCGACATTAATTTAAAGTAGAAAAGTTTTAAAAATATTAACTTAATAGAGTGGAGCATATTATGAAGGTGAATGGGTTGGTTAGAATAGAGATGGATATGGAGTTTAAATTTGGAGTGATGGAGCAAAATATGAAGGAGAGTGGAAAAATAATAGAGCAAATGGAAGAGGAAAATTTTGGCATATAGATGGAGATTATTTTGAAGGAGATTGGAAGGATGATAAAGCATGTGGAAAAGGTGTTTATATTCATACAAATGGAGCAAAATATGAAGGAGATTGGTTAGATGATTTATAACATGGATTTGGAGTAGAGAGTTGGATTGATAAAGCAAGATTTGAAGGATTATATTAACATGGTAAGAAAGAGGGATTTGGTAAATATTATTGGAGTGATGGATCAATATATACTGGAAATTGGAGTGAAAATAAATTATGTGGTTACGGTATATATACTTGGCCTGATGGAAGGGTAATAAGAATAAATTAATATAGAGATATGAAGGAGAATGGGTTAATAATTAGATGAATGGAAGAGGGATCTATTATTGGAAGGATGGAAGAAAATATGAAGGATAATATGTTAATGATAAGAAACATGGATATGGTGTATATACATGGCCAGATGGAAGAGTATTCTTCTCTATATTTATTTTAGAAATATGAAGGATATTGGTCTAATGGAAAATAGTAAGGTAAAGGTAGATATATACTACCTAATGGAAAGAGTCAATTAGGAATGTGGGACAATGGTAAAAGAATCAAATGGTTGGATTAAGTAGAATAAAATATTGATCTAAAACCTAAAGATTGGAATTCTTATGTTTAACCATCTTTAGGAGAAACATAATTATGATTATTTTACTAATTAAGTAACTTAGCAAATATATTATCATTACAGAGTTTCTTCTAATTTAGAAAATCCCAATGTTTCATGATATTGGGAAGCATACAATATTATTTATTCAACACACAAATGATCTGAATGTTTTGATCGATCAAAAACATCTGAACATTCTGATAATTATGTTATGAATTAACTGATCTACTCTTAATCTAATTTCAATAGATGAGATTGAAAATGTTTAAGTAATCCAAGAGATAGGGAAATTATTGCCAAAATATTATTGGCTATCATGAAATCAAAAAAGTACAGCACCACTTCAAAAGGGAATGTCTATAAAAACAATGAAAATATCCACTTCCATATATAACAATATTAAGTGATATCTTAACTTTCAAAATGTTGATACAGTTATGGCATTTGACTTTTAAAATGCTTATGGAATATGTTTAATAATTTAGTGACAAATTCAAATTGATTCTCTTAATCTAATAACTAAATTACTTTATACTCTATTAATCATTCGTTTGATATAATTAAATAAATTTGAATTACGGATTGATATTCAAATAATTTAGCATCCAAAACGCTTCCTCTTCATCCATTCCACTTATTAATAATAAGAATCCAGCTACTTAATTCATTCCTGTTACATAATCATTATTATAGATAGAAATAGCTTTCAGAAGATTTTAAAGCGCTTAAGATTTTTTGTTAAATAACTGATGGCCTGGTAATGTTCTAGGCAAATCCTTTTCAATATCACTATCAAACTGATTTTGTGAATTCTTTAGTAAAGTCTCATAACACCCAGATTCAAATATATTTTCCACAAATAAGGATACTTTCCATAATTACCATCTATTGGAAGAGAGAGCACCATTCATTAGATACTTTCTAAATCTTACAGGATCACTTTATTTGAATTTAAGTGCTGCAGTAAAATCTTTTAATTCAAATTGATTCCATTAATGTTACAAATATTTTAATTATGGATTGCTATTTTCAATAGCCTCTTAAAACTTGGTTCCTACAAGATTGTTGTATTTTGATCTAATTTAAATTTGATTGGTCTTTCCAATTTAGCATCCCATATATGTATATCAATTATAAAATAAATAATAATAATATTCAATAAATTACAATTGGTCATCCATTATGGAGGTATGTATTTGATTCAATATAATCAATATTTTACACATCTATTTTTAAAATATTTCTATGCTAAATTTTCATTTGCTATGGATTTATAATCTTTTATACTTCTTAAAATAATTAAAATAAATTTTATATCAGATACAACTAAAAATTAAATTTATAATTAATCTCCAAAAAAGATGGATTATTACTAAAATTAAGATCATTTTTTTATATTGAGATTTTATAAGGTATAAAAATCTAATTAGAATATTATCAAACCAATTTTCTTACCAATACAATAGATCCAAACTATATTTCATTCCAAACAATACGCCTAAAGTTTTTAAAACATTTTCATTTAAAGCATTGAATTCCTAAAGGATATAAAAGTCTATAATTAAGAGCAACTAATAATAGCATCACTCTTATAACATCAAAATATTTAACCTTATAAAAAATAACAGTAGAGTTGAGTTAGACAAGCCTAGAAACCACCTAATATAAAAATTGATTTATATTTCTATTTTCATCTAACAAGGGATCAAAAAATGATATAATTATCTATGGGATTTCCCTATCTATATGAAATTGCAATCATAAATTATGCAGATTCCTTAGAAATTAGTTTCTGTAACCTTTTTGTATTTAATTATCTCCACTTGGCAAATGATTCATAAAGAATAAGGATAACTCTCTCATATTTAAGTAACTCTTATTCTGATTAATAAACTTATTATTAATAAGAGTTAAGTACTTTGCTATGAGATCTGATCTTATTATGGATCCATTAAATTTAAATATTCAATTATGATCCACTTCTATTTCCATTTATATCATATAAATAAAATTTAAAGTAGTTGCCAATTCTACAAATTAAATCCATTGTTAGATAAATTTAAATCAATTCTTAAAATTACTATGTTTAGAGCGTATTTATCAAAATCATAAACTGTCAATTTTATATCTTCTTTCTCAGTCTACTTTTACTTATTTTTGTTTGCTTTTCAAATTTATCAAATTTTAAAGTAACAAATAGATTTAATTATTTGCAGCTTTAATTACAGTAACACTTAATTGACTGCCTTCCATAACACCAAAATCATTTAATTTTTAATTTTATTAAGAGTAATTAAAATAAGTTTCTAATACTCTTTTCTGTTAATACTTTAATTCTAAAGTAGTTCTGCAATTTATTCTTTTGCTTTTTAAAACTGTCTTCTTGTTTCAAAATGATTTGAATAAATAAATTAACTCTTATACTTTGATAACATTATTAGAATCTAAATTAGCCCATAATTCTTGGGCAATCTGTTCTATCACATTATTTTTCAATCTAATCAGCACAGTTAAAAAGTTAAAATGAATTATTTATTTTTATAATAATTTATAATTCATAATAAAGTTAATGTCATTTTCTCCATTAAGAGAGAGTTGTTGTTCTTTTTTTTGGGGTTTGCTTCTTACTAATTGGAGTTGTACTTGTTTAAGGAGGTTGTTGGGGTTATAATCTAACATTTTAAGGTGAAGCTGGTACACTAGTTTACATAGATGAAGAAGTCTTTCTTAAATATTATCCCATCAAAGATTTCAATTCTTCTTTTAATTTCATATTCTCCTCATTTAATTCTTCAATCTTAACATTCTATGAAAATTTAACTTTCTGACTCTCAAATTCAAGATCTTCCAATTATTAGGAGAATTCTTAAGTTTATTTACTCTATAACTACAATTATCCAGTCAGTGTTTTTACAGATGATTCTAATGCTCCTATTTACTTAAGTAATTAAGAATCATGCTCTTATAATTGTGTTATTCTTTGATTTTATTCATTCTTAGATATCAATGCTTCTTATAATTGAGTCTATAAATTCTTTATTTATGATTCATAAGTTTCAATTCTCTTTTGATATTACATTAATTTCACATTGAATTAATCTTACTATTTTAAAATTTCAGTTGATGGTCTATTATTTTAAACATTTAAATCATTGAGAACATGCATAATAGTTCCATTCATTTTTTGTATATTGCAATTACGTTCTTCTGTTTCTTTTAATTTTAATTCTAGCAATTGATTTTTCTACATCAAATGAGCATTTTCTGTTAATGCCTTTGTCAATTATCTAAAGTAATATATTATATTAAATTACTTTTTTAGTTCACCTATTTCAGCAACGTTCATTTTAATAATAATTTATTATTATGGAATTGGAAAAAATTGAAGGCAAAAATTAAGAAAAAATTGAGGAAATTCAGTTAGAATTGGAAAGGCCATAAAAAAGTATATTAATGAAAGGACCTAACATTATTATATCTGGAAATAAAGTATAATTAGCATTCAAAGAATCAGGATATGAAACTCTAATTTTTTAGCCGCCAATGACTAATGAGAATAGTTTAGTTATTAACTTGATAAATGTATAAAGATTCATTTCATTAAAAGGGTTCTGGAGTTAGAGTGGGTATAACTCTAAATGATCCTTCACTTAATCTAATTGATTACCCGGTTGGAATGCATAAATGTTAATATAGTTATAGAGTAAAAGATGGATTTAAATTTAATGATGGAATTGGAATTAAATATGGAAATGGTATCAAAAAATCAGAACTTATTCGAATGCTATTCATTAATAATGAATTAATTTTTGAAGAATAAGGTAAGTCTATTGGTTGTGCTTTTAAAGTATTACCAATAAAGGATGGAAAATATTATCCAGCTATTTCTATTTTTTAAGATGCTTAAGTTGAGTTTGTTTATTATTGATTTAAATTATATAATAAATCCACTTTTATTTATATAATAAAAATATACAATATATAATCACTATTCTAATATCAAATATAGTTAATATATTTATTTAATTATTAATAGTATTCTATAGAATATATATATTAAGTAAATATAATAGTTATCAATCTATAATAAAATTATTTTCTCTTTTTAATAAAAGTATTGATCAATAAGAAAAGTTTTAGATAAATATTAAATAAAAATTAGATAATAATAGAATTAAAATTAAGATATTGTTATGATGAAGAACAGTAAACAGTAATTAATATATTTTAAAAATAGTTATAATATGATTATTTGTTGTATTTTCAGAATCCTTTAGCACTCATAGCTCTTCTAATATTTTATTTAAAGCATGTGATTGATGGAGTTGGTCTAGATAAGGTACCTAAATTATTTGGTTTAAATTATTCTTTTCCTTTAAGCCATTCTCTTCTTTTAATAGGTTTCTTTGGATCTGGTTTATAAGTAATTTATTCAAATTCTCCTTCAAAACCTTTTTTTCCTGGATTAGCTGGTTTAAAATTTGATTCATGTTTCATAATATGCATATCATGAATTTTTTCTTTATTTGGAGGAGGTGCTTTTCCATCAAATCCAAATACTAATTTATCTTTATTAAAATTCTCTCCTCCTGCTATAGTTGTTTTGAAAGCAACTTCTTTTTCTTTTCTTTTAGCTTCCATTTATAATTTCTATAATAGATGTATTAATGTAGTACCAATTAATGTTAGTGAAATCTATTATATTCATCTTTCATATGTGGAAAACCTTTCAATAATTCTTTATTGGCTGGATTTGTTGTAATATTTCTTGGAGCTGACCATACTCTTCCATCAGCAGTTTTATAGTTTCTTGTCTTTTTCATATCAAACTCTTTCATATGTGGCCAAGGTCCTCCAAGTAATTCTTTATAACCAGATGCAGGCTTAAATTATTAATCTTTAAATAAAATCTTCTTAGTCTTCTCTAATTCATATTGTAAATCTTTTCTTTATGGATCCATATAAGGATCACCTATAGAATTGAAAGAAGCCTAACTAAAGTAAGAGCTTTTAATTCTTCCACTTTTTGGAGCTCCAATCTTTACATTTGTAGCTTCAGTAATTGGTTTACCATTCTCTCCTCTAGGAGCTATATTATTTTTATATATTAAATACGTCTCTTTTTAAAATCATAACTGTCATCACCTAAACCAAGTGGAACTGGAGAGGAAAATAAAGCAAATCTCTATTTCTTAGCTTACAATTCTGTGTCCTATAAAATTTCTTTTTTCAATTTTGTTAATTCATCGCTCATTTTAAAAAAAAATATAATAAAAAGAAATATCTCAATAACAAATACATGTTTAACCTCATCAATAATAAATTGAATAATTTTAAATGAATAAATAAAATTCAAAAAATTTAGAATATCAAATTCAGAAAGCTCTCTATACTATATCAATACCTATTTTTATTTAACAAATTTTTTGTAATGGTTTCCTATTAAACAGAATTTAAATTAAATAGTCTTAATTTAGAATTTTTATAATCAATCATCGTGTACATTATCCGCTAATTTTGCACAGAATCGGAATCTATTATAAATTTTTGTTTTCTCCAATATACAATTTTTTATAAGCTTTTTAAAGTGTTTTATCTTTTATTCCAATTGATCATATTATTTAATATACTATTTTAATTTGTGCAAATTAATACTTATTAAGACATCAAAGATCAAAATCTTTAATTCTTTTTCATTATTATCAGTATTTTCTAAATAAATATTTATTTTTCCTAAAGACTAAAGATATTATTATTAATCATATTAATTTGATGGTGAAATACTATCATAATCATGTTATTACTATCCTTTTTTTAACAATTTTCTAATTATTCTAGGATTTTTTAATACTTATATGTATCTATTGTTTTTTGTGAGACTTTTTTTTGTTTGAATTTACAATTGGTAATATACAGAAATTATTTTGAGTAAATTAATGATATCTATACTACTTTTGGATTGTTGATAGTGATTTGAATACTCAAGCTAATGTGCAGAAATTATAAAATTAAATCAAACATTCTCACAATAATCAAGAAATTAAAAAATAAGAAGTAATAGAGATTTTGAAATTGAAGAGCTTGATTAATCAGAAATTTGAGACTAAAATTATTATGCATATCTTATTTATTTATGTTATTATTCTCATAATTATGTTACAGTATTTTGAACTGTTCTTTGGTACAATAACACTTGTTTAGAATAAAAATCGGGGACTGCTTAATATTCAACTTTTTGCTATTTTCTCATTTTAAAAATTTTACTTTTTTATATAGATATGGGAATGTAATGCCATTGAAAGTATTTAAGTATATTAAAAGACTTCCTCCTACCAACAAGCCTAAGTAAGCTTGAATTCCTACTCTAGCTCCATAGTATACAGGATTTAATCTGAATTTCAAAGCAGAAGGGAAATTTTTGCTCATTTATTCAAATTTGCTATTATCCATTGCCATTTTTATAAATATTAATATTAACTTTAGTATATTTTTATTTATTTATTTTTAAGTAATTTAAATTTATTAGTGAACATGAAGCTCATTTATTTAATTTATAGTATTGATTTTTAAAAAGTTAGACTAATTTTGAGATAGATTATTAAGAGGTATTTGTTAAAATAACCAAATTTCTTTAATGGTGATATAATGATTTATTAAATAAATAACTGAATTTGTATTTTGAATGAGTGAAATCAACGAATCACTAATAGAAGCACCTCTAAAAGCATTATTAGAAGATGTAAGGGATTATTATAAAGGAAAGGTCTTATTCTGTTTAGAAGGCTTTTTGGAAAGTCAAAATGACTTAAAGCAGATTGAAAATCAATTAAAAGATTACGATACATTGGCAGGCTTAGTTAAAATAATTGCCAATATATTCAAGACTCTAATGAAGAAAGTAGAGAAAAAGATAGCTTTTCTGAAACTTAATCTTAATGATAATAGTTCTCATTAAAGTTATCATGCAGAAGAGGAATATGAAAAATTAGAACAAATTATATAAAAATATGAAGCCGAGATTCGAGGACATATTAGCGTAAAATGAGTTTGATTAGTTCTTTAGATTGAATAATAGTTAAAACTTTATAACGATAGTTTATAATAGAAGATAGAAGACCTAGAAAAGTCTCAGAAAGATACAGTAGAATAATTAAATAAAAAAATTTATGTATATAAAAGAAATATCAAATTTAGTGTTTAAAAAAAGATTTGGGAAAGTCTACTGAGAGTTATCGATAACTAATAAAGGAAAATGAATAACTAAAAGAATCAGTAGTAGATCATTAACATATAGTTCATACAGATAGTGAAATAAATGGTCGTATGAAAGAAAAAAAGTAATTTAAGATGAATTTATTAGTTTTGTCATTCAGATCACAGATTAAAAAAAGCTGATTATAGTAGTGAATATCCAGGATCAATTGCAAATCTTTATCCATAAAATTCTATGAGACATTCAACACCTTTGAAATCATAATCTTAACATCATAAATGTGGCAAATTTAATAATCAAATTTAACATCGTAGCACACAAGAATAAGATTTATTTGTTAAATATAATAAATTACTTAAATAACATGCTCAATCTATCACTTAAAGATCTTAGATTATTTAAGCAAGTCAATATTTATTAAAAAGTGGATTTGCAAACAATCCAAAAAAAACAAGAAATACATTAAATGTTATTTCTGATATTTGTAATGCTTAGCAATAGAAAGTTTCTTAAAGAAATAAAAGTCTAGGTAATAGTTCAAAAGTAGCAGGAACTAATTCTCAAAATCAAATAATCTCAAATAATAAATCAGGACCTCACAAAATTATATCTGAGACATCTAAAACTAATGAAGCTATTCAAAGATTACTTAAACTTAAATGATTTTATTTAAATAAATAATTGTAGTTATATATAAATTATTGTTAATCAATTATTATCTTCAGAAGAATAATCATCTATTTAAATTATCTCATTGAATTCTGCTGGAATTAAACTCTCAACTAATTTATTAATGTATAACTATCTAGTATCATTATCAATAATTCTATATGAAATCCATATGCTTTATCGTTTATCCTCATTTGTTAATGCCTTTTTTAATCAAAGATTACTACTTTATCTAATTTTTTTATGATGCTTTAAAAATATTCTATTTCATCTTCAGCAGCATACTAAACTCTAATTCCCAATCTTGTTTTGACATCATTCCATAGTCTATGTAAATCTTCTATACTTTTTATTGGATCTTACTCCATAACACTGTTAGCAAAATTCTATTCGAAATTTTAATTTTTAATACAGTAAACTTATCTTCTGAAAATAAATTATGTTCTATTGAAAATGTTATGAATCTATCAAAAGACATTGCTCTTTCTCCTTCATTATTTGATATCAAATCACATCTTGATATAAATTAACTTTCCATTATACTTTCAGGAATTTAGTTACCCTAACAAGATTCAAAATAATAATATAATTTCTTGAATTCTTAATACTCCATCATATTATCTAAATCCATATCAGCAGAATTGAATACTTCTTAATAATGAGTCATATGCATCTTCTTAACAATTTAATATCCTAAATCATCATTCTATTTTCTTACCTGTCAAAATTCTACTTATATAATAGTCATAATCTATAAATGGTTTCAAGTTTCTCTCTATGTAATTCATTTTAATATCTGACACTATATTATTTCTATATTCTTAAGGAATTGATGAATGTATCTGTTCTAATATCTATATTGCTTTTTCTACTAAAATAAATTATCCCTTATCTTAAATATATTAATACTTTTTCTGTATCAAGTGTTTAATTCTCATCATCTAATTGTTTTAAAGTCTTAATGTAAATCTCAAGATCATCTACTGATAAAGAACTATAAAGTTGAAGGAATCTACCAAATAAATTAATTCTAATATTGTCTCTATGTACAAATATTGATTCATAAAAGCTAATCAACTTTTACTCTGCTATATTTTTAAATCCATAAGTATTAAAAAAATACTCATAACAAATTATATGTAATGAAGTTTTATTTTATGTTTATTTTAACTTTTCACCATAAAATTAAGTTATGAATTTTAAGACTGTACTCTTTTTCATTTTTGAATTTATTTCCTTTTAGTTTGTTGCAAATTTAGTAGCCAATTATTTTACAATATTATTCTTTACCATATTCAATCCTGGACTGTCAATTGATTATTTATTCTAAAATTCTATAATATGATTTATAATTATATTACTTGGAACTTATGAAAAATATGATTTTTTGGTATATCCTATTTTTCTTTTCCTTTATTTTATTTCCTCTAATCTAAGATTAAACTCTGAGTCATCACTATCAGAATCACTCGAAGTAAAATTTTAATTAATAAAATTAGTTATGGTTTCTTAAAAGAATTAAACCTAATCATTTTGTTGAGGCATTACAGAACCTTTTTTTTAAATTTTAGACCCTTTTTTTGTACCTTAATTTGAATTTGTAGGCAATTACTATTTAAATTATAATTACATAATTTTACAATTTTATAAGTAGGTCTAGGTTTTGATTAATTAGAACCTCTACTTTTAGGTGTAAATTAAATATCTGTTCCTTCCTATTAAAATATTATAAATATAAATACATCTTCACTTTGTTGTTAACTAGGTTGTTAAGATGAAAACCTTTAAGATGCAAATTAGTTATCATCTGGTTCAATTACTGAAATGTTATATTGAGAAGTGAAAGATTTATCTTATTGTAATTAAGGTAATTCTAAAGTGTTTTAAGATTAAGTTTATCTATATAACATAGCTTATTGTTAAGGAGGTTATTAAATTAAATTTTTTTTACTTGATTATTTCTTTAATGTAGTTTTCTCAGGTATAGGCAATAATTCTTCTTTCTTTTCCAATTAAATTAATTACTCACTCTAAATTGGTTAAATTGTAATTTAAGGCTAACTAGATGATTAAGTTATTTAAGCTCCTGAAGGCGAAATGTTTGATTATCTGGATTTTTAATTATTTTATATAGGACCTAAAGTGCTCAATCTTTTATCTTAAATTCTTTTTTTCATAATCTCAGCAAATTTATGAGTTTAAGTAAGTTAAACTACAAGAGTTTATGATTTTTCAACCATATTTGTTTTAATAGATTTCATTTTTTAATATTTTTTCTCCATTCTTTCATTTATCTATCCATAGATATTATTTTATATACTTTTTCATAAATTTCTAATTAAGCCTCTAATTCTCCCATTTCTTAATTAGCAAGTTCATTAGCTTTTTCTAATTCTGATATTTTTTTTTACTTAATAAATATAAAAATAATAATATACATATTATTATAATTATTCTTCTTTTCTATTATTTTCATCTTTAAATGTACTATTCACTAAAATTAAATTAGTTCTTGCTTCTTTTTATTTATTAAGGTTCTCTTTCATTTAATTAGAAAATTCATCCATATGATCAAATAATTCTTTTATTTTAGGTTGTTATCCTTTTTCTATTTAATCTAATATTTTTTAATATTGTTCTGTTGCTTTTTAGATTGCTTCATGCAATTATAATAAATGTTCTTCCTCTAATTTAATGGATTCCAAAAGTTCATCTGAAAATTCCGTTTGAGTAAATTTAGTACATTTATTTAAATAAGATATATCTGTCTATATAATTTGTTATCTTCTATCTTTTAATACAAATCTACATAAGTTAATATAAGTATATACTTTGGTAATTGAATAGCTAAGCTTTTCTTTTCTATAGTTTAGACTTCGACTTCTTTTCTTAATTATAATATCTAATTTAAATCATCTGTATCTGTAGCTCTCTCTTCTAATAATATTTCAATATCACTAAAAGAAGCACTGTCATTCAAAATCTTTTGTAATTTTTCTTGTTAAGTTGGTTATTTTTCAACATTCTAAAAGCTTTTTCTTTTCATTGGTAATATTTCTGGCAATTAATATTAAGGAATAGAATGAATAACTAATTATTTCTATGTTCCAGCTCTAAATATCTTCTTCTTAGCTACACCTTATTCATACTCTATTTTAGACTAATATTAATTTGACATTTAAAATTATTCATATTAAAGCTATACATTTCTTTAATATTCATGTAAATCTTCATTAATCTTCTCTATTTAATCAGAATATTGTTTATTTTCATTTTTCAAATCTTACATTTCTACTTTCAATGACTTTATTTATGAATTTAAATAACTATTATTTTTTTTTAAATATTTAGTATTTCCCTTTAATTTCATCAATCTCTCCATAATTTAATCCATATCTGATTTTTAATTCTTTAAAATTATCAAATATTTATCTATTTCAGTTTAATAAGCCTAATGTGTCTTCATTACCTCTTATAGATGATCCTTCTCTAATGAATTATTTTATTCAAGAATTAATTAATATACTGATTAATTGATTTCAATATATTATGTCCATATCTTTTCTAAAAGTACACTTTTTATAAAATATATCTTTAGATACCTTTTCTCAATACAATCAAACGAAATCTATCTTATCAATTCCTTTAAACAAAGCGTGAATATTTATTACAAATCTTCAAACAAATTTGCTGATTAACCTTAGTTTTTCTCTACTGCTTACTCTAACATTAAATCTGTCCATTCAGCAAGCATTTAAACATCATGTCTAGTTTTCTATTTATTATAATACTTTAAAGGTATGCCTCTATGAATTTTATCTTTGACCACTCTCTTTGTTAAATTACTGGAAAACTTAGATAAAGGTATAACCTTATCTACTTAATCTATTGGTAGAATAACCTTAGCTTAGGAAATCTCTATCTTCTTTATTTCTATATTGTACTTTTTGATGGATTCCATGGTAATTCATCTAGTTTTTTCGGATATCTATATGGATCCTAACTATTCAGTTAACCAAAAAAATCATTTTTATCCATCCTCTTTAATCTATCAATTTAGTCAAGCTGTCCATCTCTTAATAAAGGGGATTAATAATATGTCTTTAATAATCACTACATTTCATACAGACTAAGAAATAGTTTTAGATTTTTCTAATCTTGAACTTAAAGAAGCTTAATTCATTTCTGTTTTCACTCTCTAACTTGAAGATTAATATTAAGAATATTAAGTATTCAGCTTTATTAACCTTTCAGAATTTTAATTTGCATTCTTTTAAATGAATGTCTTCTTCAATTAATGAAATTTAGTTTCTTCCATTTATAAATTAAAATATATAAATAAATTTAATAATATATATATACTAAAGTAATTTTTACTTCATTTATCGTATTTATATAAAGTCCATTTTTCAACCATTACTCCTCCTTTATCAACTCAAATTAAAATAATTCTCGTAATTTAAACATTTCTTTTTTATTTTTAGAGATTTTTAATAAAATCACAAATCAATACTTATACTTTACCTTTTATCTATTATTCTATCAACCTTCACAAAAGATACAATTTAGATAACTAATAAAAAATATTTATTTAAAATATTATATTTGTTAAATATATCAAATTTTTTCCTAATCCTAACAATTCAATGCACCATACTTAGAGGTGTATGGGATGCATATTATTTTGATTAAGAAAAAAATAATTTGTTAATTTTTTCGATCAATCTTTTTATTTTTCGATATTTTTTTATTACTAATTTCCATTATTAATATATATCTAAAACTAATTAAATGACCAAAATAAAACAAATGCAAATTATGCAGCACCATCCTAGATTTGTTCTATCATCTTCTGTAAAAAAATTTAAATCTTTATCAATAATTAAAATTGATATAAGAAATAATGTTATAGAAATATTAATTTCACATGATAATTGCTTTTTATACTCATTTTGATCATTAAAAGGTTTAAATTAATAAATTAATAAACTTTAAATCAAAGAAAGAAAAGCCAAATTTATAGATTGATATAGTGGATTTTCATAGGTAAAAATCAAAAGGATCATAAAAACTAATTTTTTAAATAGAAGAATAGCATTTGTATATTTGCAATATTAAGTTAAGCTTAATCCCTCAAATACTGAGCCATAACGTTATTAAATATTTTTTTAAGTTATAGATAAATTACTAAGTTAAGCAATATTAGTAATGGCATAAATTATTAATAAATAAATAGCCAATGCAATTAATGACAATACAGAACTCATTTTAACTAGATCATCTTCAGATTTTAATTCTAAAGCTGATATCTATAGAATCATCGAAAATGTAAGATCATAGGCAGTTGAAATATGAGTTCTAATCATTCCACTGAAAATAAATTCAGAAATGATTATATAGCAAAGTTCTCCTACAAAAATCTTAAGTGATAAAATATATAATTTAAATTTTAAAAGATATTTATCTTTATCTGGTGTTTCTGAAAAGTACTTCATTTAAAATTATCTTAGAATAAGTGGAAATATAAGAGCAGTTGAATAAATAAAAAGGAAGGATAGCCAAATTGTTAATAAAGATGTACCATTTATAATAAACAAGGAATTATAACCATCATTTTAGATTTTTTAAGGAATTGATTTCAATTATTCATAATTAATGTAAGGATCAATCAAACCTTAAATATCAAAGTATTTTGAAATAAAATTTAATTAAGCAAATCCAAACAGTTAAAAAAATTATTCTAAATTATATGGAAACTAAGTATTAATATATTTAAGATAAGAGAGCATTTGTAAAGTGTCAAGAAGATTGTAAAAGAAATCAACTCCTCCAAATAAGATTGATCCTCCAGCAAACCCTGCTAAAATATAGAGAATATAATAATTCCCTGAATTAATTAATTCAACCTATTAGATCATTGATTGTTCAATAATAATAAATTTGCTGATCTGTTCATTAATTTAAGAAACCTATTATACTTAACCATTTGACGAAAATAGTGACAAATTGTTGAATAATAATTATAAAAATTCATTTTCTGAACTTCTATTCAAAGTTAATTAAATAATGGCAGAAATTTAAGTTTTATTTTAATTTGATTTTTCTAATTGTTATATAATCTTATACTCATAATTAATATTATATGATTTAAAATTTTAGTATAGTTCTAATTGTAAAAATTCAGATAAATTAAAATTGATAGGTAAATCTAGATCAAGATTATATGTAAGTTAAAATAATCTTATAGGATTATAAATTGAATTGTCTCCATATGTTTTTAATTTTGGAACTGGTGTAAGTTAGACATATGAACATATTCCCATTTAACAAATGTAATTATTTTCATTTTTACAAATTTTGTTACATCCATCAAAATCTATGAGATTGCCATCATCACATTCCTCATCTTTAGATTTGATACCATCGCCACATTTAGTAAAACATAAATTATTATAAAAATCTGTATAATATCCACCATTTGACTCACATAATTTACATTCATTATTATCTTTCTAAACAATTCTACATGTTTAGCAATTTGATGATGAATCAATACATTCTTTACATTTATCATTACATTTATTACATTAGTTTTTATCAAGAAAATAACCAGATTAACATTTTTTGCATACTATTTATTTTTATAAAGCATCGTGTTCACATAGAATACAATTTTATGAACATTAAAAACAAATTGATCTATCTAGTAAATTATTTATGCATGAATGATTCTTATCAATAATACAATTAGAACAACCATCTCTATTAATATTATTCCCATCATCACATTCTTCACCATAAGTCCATTAAGAATCCCCACAATTTACATATTTACAACTTTTTATTACTTTTCCATCCTCAGATTTACAATTTTAACATACATTAAATTGATTTAAAAAATAGTTAGATGCACATTAACATTTATTTTTATAAAGTACTTGATTAGATTCTTATTTGCAACTTAAACAATTTTAACTATTTTAATCACAAGTTTAACAATTGTCATCACATACTTAACATACATTCTCTAACCAAAAATATCCATCTTAACACACACATTTATTGTCTTTATTTAATATAATATTTGATATCATTATACACTAATCACATTTATATTAATTTTCACATTTAATACATGGGTAATCGCATTGTAAACATTTATAATTTTAATAATAATAACCAATTTGACAAATGCATTTATTATTAATTAATTAAAAATTATTATTACAACTTTAACACTTTTAATATTCATCGATACAAGTTTGACAATTATCATCACATTTTAAACATTATTCTTCATTAATAAAGAACCCATCAATACATTCAAGACATGTAAATGCATTATCACATTCTTTACAATTACTAATACAAGTATTACATTAGTGTAATGTATCCATATAATATCCATCAGCACAAGATAAACAGACTTCATGTTTTATGCATGTCGAACATTAAATTTCACATTTTTAACATATGTCATTAGAAAGATAGTATCCATCTATACATTCATTACAAATCTATAAACTAAAACATTTAGTGCAAGTAGAATAACATTTTTAACATTTATCATATTACATATAGTATCCATCTTAACAAATACATTTGTGATTAATCAAATTTTAATATTCTTCTATACAGGATGTACAAAAACTATTAAAATACTAACAAGTTGTACAAGGTGCTTTACATAATTTACATTAAAAAGAAAAATCTAAATAATAACCAAAATCACAGAAGCATTAATTATCAAATTGAATAAAAGTAATATCTTTGCAATTCAAACAATTATCTTCATAGTATTCACAAGTCCTACATTATGGAGCACATCTTTAACATTGATTGTTTTACATATAATATCCTTACTAACAAATACATTCATTGTTTTCTATCTTAAATAAACTACTATCAATACACTTAGTACATGTCTTTACAGTTAATGAACATTCTAAACATGGATATTAACACATAGAACAATAATTAACATTCAAAGATGATTAACCATATCCAGGTTTACATATACATTTATTATTAATAAGAATATGATTTGAATCTACACATTCTGTACAAGTATCTTAACTTGTTACACATTTTGTACAAGGTAATTAACATAAGTTGCAATAATTTCCATTTAAAAAATATCCATTATTACAAACGCATCTATCATTATTAATAGTTTAATTAATATCAATACAAGTCAAACAATCTAAAGATGATGTACAATAAACACAAGGTAATTAACATGGTAAACAATTAACTGAATCCATGTAATAGCCGTTATTGCAAACACAATCTAGATTTGAATCAACAGATTAATTTATATCAATACAAGTTAGACATCCATTAGAGTCACATTTGGCACAAGGTTATTAACAAGGTGCACAATGTGATATTGTATCTGAGTAATATGTATCTTAGCATATACATTAATAACTAGCATTTATTATATGATTAGGATCTGTACAAGAATTACAATGAGTAATATTAATTGAGCATGAACTACAAGGGGTTAAACATGGTTAACAATCATAATTAGCATCATTTACCCATCCATATTCACAAATACATTATCCACTAGTTGGTTAATGATGTATATCCTTACAATTTGTACAATAAGTTGTTATTCCAGTACATTCTCTACAAGGATTTACACATTAATCACAATAATTACCATTTGCAACCCAACCTATATTACATAAACATTAATATGTTGTAGTATTAACAGTTTAATGTGTATCAATACATGTTACGCAATGAGTGGATGTTATAACACATTTTGAACATGGTGAAGTACAAATTTAACAATTACTAGGATTATTTCCTATTTCTTCATAAAATCCATCTGCACACACACAAGTATTTGATCCACTTAAAATATATGTATTAGCACAATCTGTACAATATGTACTTGTAGTTGTACATTTAGAACATGGATGAGTACATGATTAACAATAATAAGAAGTATCCATGTAATATCCATCATTACAGATACATTAATTACTTATAACAGTTTAAAGAGGATGTGCACAACTTGTACATTTGGTATTTAAATCAACACAATTATAACAAGGTAGTGTACATTATAAGCAATTAGGAGAAGCTAAATAATAATTATTAATGCAAGATGTACAAACACTTCCACTTGAGCAATTAACACATGGACTAACACATGATTAACACATATATGAAGCATTCATATAATAAGTATCAATACAATGACAATCATTTAATACTTAATGTGAAAGATGTTTGCATTCTGTACAAATTGTAGCAGAAGTACATTTAGTACAAGATAATGGACATAGTGTACATATTCCAGCATCATCATAATAGCCATCATCACAAATACAACTATTTCCTTATAAATGTCTATTTAATCCAATTACACAAGAATTACAATCTGTAAAACTAGAGCATGTTAAACATGGTGATTAACAATTTTAACATTATTTTGGACTACCATTATCTTCGTATTGATTAGTTAAACATGTACAAGTATGAGCAGTTGAATCATATTAATATGAAGAAAAACAAGCATGACATTCATTAATTGAATTTTAACATGTAAAGCATGGATGATTACATTAATCACACATATATGTTGATGAATTCATTATGAAACCACTATTACAATTACAACTAGAAGGTATTTGATTAAGTGAATCCATACATGTTGAACAAATAGTTTAATTAGTAATGCAATTTGCACATGGTTTTGTACAAGGAAGACAAGTATGCCCAGATAATACATATCCATTCACACAGCTATCACATATGATTGCTGAACTACAATTTTAACAAGGAGAAACACAGTTGTTACACATATAAGTAATTGTGTCCATGTATTTATTAGGTTATATACAATCACAATTTGGAATAGATTAATTAGCTGTATCAACACACACTGTACAATTTGTTGGGGATGATGTACATTAAGCACATGGTTTTGAACAACTTACACAGGTTGATCCTGATAAATAAAAGCCATTTACACAATCAGTACAATTACTGTTTGTAGTTATACATTTTGAACATGGGCTTTAACATGCAGGACAAGAAGTTCCAGATAAATAATATCCATCATTACAGCTTGTACATTATGTACTGGATGAAGTACAAGTCTTACATACTGTTGAACAATTAGGACATTAACCAAATCCAGATGATACATAATAATATCCAGGTTTGCAAGAATTACATTATGTAGATATACTACAAGTGGCACACTGACTCATACATGGTAAACAAGGACTTATTCCCCAGGTGCCTGCTGGACACCCAAAACCACCTTTGTTTATCATAAATAATTACCCTCTTAAAGAAAAGACAAAGTAAACAGAAATAAAAGCACAATCTAATTCATTAATCTTTAGAGTTTTAGAAATTCTTATATTTAATAATATAAAATTTAGAAATCATAAATTTAAATTTAATCAAATTATTTCTATAAATATCATTTTTTTTTTTTAGTTAATTCCTTTTACTGCTTTGATGAATAAATCATTTTTAATTTTATCTCAATTATTAATACTTTTAACTATTCTCTTCTCTCATTAATTGTTAAAATTATTTATGGAAAAAAATGGTGATAAATTCAATTTATAAAATATTAATTAATTTTTACATTTATAATCGCCTAACTTCATTGTTATTTACATCAACTAAATTAATTCAAACAATCATATTATTCCAAAATTATCAAAGATTTTCTTGAATGATAGAAAAATATGTTGAATTCAATTATTTCTCATAAACTTTTTATTTTAAGTTTTTATATATATTTTTTAAGTTAATTTATTTGAATAATTCATTATTTTATTTTTTTCATGAGAAGAACTATGTTAAGTTTATTATTTATATAAATTTTGCTAAGATAAAACCTCTAAATTTGTATATTGATCTTGATTTCAAATAAATAAAAATTATTTGAAAAAAAAATTATAATTATGGTTCAAACATAATTTCTGGTATTCAATCTTTTTATAATGTCTGAATCATCTCCTAATTATATTTTTAAATTTTAAATAATATCGAATTAACATTAATATATTAGGCTTGTACTATAATTTATAAATTCTAAATTATTTATAATTCAAAGGATCATCTCTAATGCAATTGAATTTTTCATTTGAAGTTATTAACTTAAAAAAATAAATTAAGATTATATGTATTTTGAAATTGAAATCTTTTTTTTAGCAAACCAATTTAACTGAATTCTGAAGAAATATTTTATAAAATCAGGCAAATATATCAATTTTTCGATCTTTGATGTGCATTAATTCATTTAACAATTGGATACCAAGTAAATTAAAGAATAAAAAATCGATTTTCAAGTTAATATAATTTAACATAAATAATAAATGTTATAATTGGTACCTTCTTATCATGTTGAAATGATGAAAAATAACTTAAAAACAAATCAATATATATTATATGAAGCAATAGAAAGGTAACAATATGAAATTGCTCTAATTATATTGAATGAGCTACATTCAAGATCGAATTGGATTAGTGGGATTTACTTAATAATGAATGGATATGAATTAGATTAAAATACCATAAATAAATTTTAGAAAATAGTAGAAGAGTCAGATGAAGTTGAGATGGCAGAATATGAGCAATTAGCATTAACTTAGATTTGTTAATAAATAATGAATATTGAAATGATCATACTTTTACATAAATATAATTTAGATGGGTGGATTTAATTATCCCCCAAGATCCATTCATATTTAAGGAAATCTACTCATCCATTAATACCTTAAATATATATTAACTATTATATTAAGTAAAATATAGAATTATTGGAACAAAATGAATAATGCTTTAATGAAGACTTTGTATGGACATTATCTGATTTTAGAACATTTTATTAATTGATGCCTACAAATATAACACATCCTTATTATTAGCTTATTTAAATTTCTATATACATTAGAATGCTTGATTTAGAGAAAGTTCCTTGTCCTATATCTCCATAAACTATTCCTATTTAATATAAAACTAAATTGGAAGAAATTCTAAAGAAATTGATGCTTTCTCCACATAAAGATTGTCTAGAATTGTATGTATGTTGCTTAATTGAAATTGGGTTGTTTAGAATAGTTATAAGAAATATGAAATCTAATTTAACTTAAGAATAGATCAATTAAATAAGATAATAATTCTTATAAGCAGCCTAATAATCAGATTTTATTGTAGATGTTGAAGTCTTTAAATTTTTAGATAATATTTAATCATTTGAACATAAAATCAAATTAGAAGTGTATAAAAATAATCCATAATTTTATGAAAATATAGAATCTTTAAATGTTTTTGATGATCTATCCATAATTAATGGATTAATGCATAATTTTAATAGTATTGAAAATTAATAAGTATGAATTAATATTTTTAATTTAGAAAGTTATTTAATAGTTAGCCCAATATAATACAATTTATTCATTAAAAGCTATCTGGCTTTTGCATATTGATGGAGCTCTACTTCAATTATTTAATGATAATAATAATTTAGATTTCAAATTAAAAAATTTCAAATGTTTAAATATATTTGAATAGATTAATTATAAATAAAATTTTGAACATTTAATTGAGGCCTTAAGAGTAACTGCAATTTGTATTTGGACTGATAGAGATATTAAACAAGAAGAATTAGAAAATAAATAATTGTTATATTTTATTAAATAGACTATAACAAGTGAGAATTGTTAAAAAATATTAAAATTATTGTTTAGTATTTCAAGTGGTGTTTTTGAAGAAATTTGTGATATTTAATAAATTTAAATCCAAGTTCCATACTTTTTAGAAATATTGATAATTTTACTATTTGAATAAAATGTGGAAAATTCTTAAAAATAATTTTATTTATAATAATTAGTAATATTGACATAAAATCTTGAAAATACTCTTACAATTATGAAGAGTTCATTAGTTGAGAGACTCATTTTATTTCTTAGAATAGAAAGTGTTTATTAAGAATTAATAATCTAAACATTAATAAATTGTATTAAAGTAAGATTTTCATTGTCATATTTATAAGCAATTGCTTAATTTATGTCCCCATATTAATCTTTAATTATGATACCTTATATCGAGGAAAAATCTAAATTAATTTAATATAGAAAAATAGCATCTATTTTAGGTGTCCCTCAATAATCTATATAGTGTGGATCAGCTTAATAATAAAAATATTTTTAAGATTAAATTGCCAATTAAGATCTATTCTTAAAAAATTCTACACTTTTGCTTTTTTGTTTAAATAGAGTGATTTCAATTTAAAATGATTAATATTATTATTTTACAGGACATGAAAGTGGCATAATGGTTAAGGGGAAAATGCAATTTGAAACCTAAAACAGTATTTTTTCTATTATCATTTAATTCAAAAGCTAATTAAAATAATCAACTCTTCTCAATTGGGGTAATTAAGAAATCAGTTTTTCGGTTGCAATAGAGGATCCCTAATTACTAATTATAAGATATCTTCATCAAAATTTATTAAAAACAGCTAAATATGCATTAAAATATTAAGAAAATTTTATTGTTATTAACTTCAATCCAAATAAAACTTTTTAAGTTAATATCAACGGAAATGATGTTTAAGCAAAATAAGCTGATCAATTCGATAATTTTTAAATACCTATTTTAAATTTTTTTGTTCTTGGTGCAAAATTAACTGAATATGAATCCTTAAGCGATTCTTTTAGAGGAGAAATGAGGCTACTTTATATTTTAGATCAAAATATCAATGCAGAAGATATGTATATTTTAGAGAAGAAATCATAGAATAATTCAATTTTATTTTCATAGTTACTTAGAATGTAAATAAAAGGAAGAATCTTATTATATTTAAACACTTAGTCTTAAAAGTAAGATTTATAATTTGATGGACTCTTACATTAGAATAATTAAGTCATGATTGAAAATTGTTAATATTTGACATTGAGAGGTAGAAGATAGAAATAAACAACAATATCTAAATTTATGGGAAAACTTTTTTAATAAAGGAAAAGCTTAAGTGCTTTAGAAGTTTCTCATTAAAAGTCAATAAATGTGTTATTTTTAGAAAACACAACTTTACTTGATGTTATGAAATCATATGGTAATTTAGATATTCTCTTTTTTCCTTTGCATATTTTAAATGACCCACAATGTGTAATTAGTGTATTATAATTACTTAACACCATCATTCAAAAGTTTGGTGATGATAATTCAATTTAAAATTATTTGAGGTCTGATTCTTCTTATAAAGGCATTAAAGTTTTAGGGTATTTATTAACAGTTCATATGAAAACATAAGGATGCTCAATTTAATTATTGTAGTAAATATTAAATTTCTATAATTCTTTATTACAATGTTAAATAATTTAAATATTAAAGTGTGATTGCATGTGTATATATCATGAATTTGAATTTTGGTAATATTGTTAATACGATATCTTGCTTTATCTTTACTCTTATCTATTTGAATAATTGTAAAACAATGAAGAATTGTTTATTTATTTTAAAGATTAAGTATAGATATTGTATTACATTTTACAAGTATAATTAATAACTTATGAAGAGAGTAAAGGAGATAAGTAAACCCATAATTAAACTAGAAAGATGGTAATAAAATGTATACTTTATCTTATGTACAATCCTTTTTTTATAATGTAATTTAGTAATGATTAGATTCTACCAATTTAGATGGAATTAAGAGATAAGAAAAACTCATCAAGTGAGAAGTTATAAATCCTTAAATCTGAAATTGTTTTGATATTAAATCATTTAACTTTAAAAACAATCAATGATCTAGTCATAATTTTAGGTTTTATATTTAAAAAACCATAAAACAATTTAATTTTAGAATTATTAACAGATATTCGATTAGGTAATTCAACAGTTTAAAAGGAATCATTGTTAGATGTGATGTAAAGTCAATTTGCTATGAAAATGGAAAATGATGATACAATTTTATAAACTATATTAAAAATAGTTTATGGTGTAATAATTGAAATGATAAATCAAAATACTTTAGATGATTAATTATTAGGTCCATTAATGGATATTTTAGTAAAAGCTCAAGTGCATTAAATAAATTATGAATTTAAATTGTTAGAACTTTAATAAAATAAGAATTCATAATAACAATAAAAAACTAAAGAATATAGTGCTATAAAATCCTTATTCAATAAAATAAATTACATAATGTTTGATTTAAGTAGTTATTTAATTTGCCGCTAACAAACATATTAAGTTCTAATTTCTGTATTATATTTAAATTTAATTAGATTAGTTATCAAATCTAGTCTTGAGATAAGAGTTGAATTTAGAAAAAGAAGTGTTGAATTTATTATTACAAAACTTTTCGAGTTTTAATAGTGAAACTAAACAATTGATAATAGATTTTTTTCTTCAGGCTTAACAATATAAATTATTTATGAACAAATTGTGTGATCATAAAGAACTTATGAACTTTATTAAAGAGTTAATAAATATTGAGACAGGATAAACATTAATAAATTATATTGTATTACATCATATAGATAATATTGATTTTTCTGCCAGAAAAATACTTAAATTATTCAATATGATACAATAACAAAATAATTAATTTATGAAAGTTATTTTGACAATTTTATTATTGTAAAATAATTCTAGTAATAAACAAAATCCAAAATCAGTAATTGCATTGTTAGATTTATTTATGTTGCTTCCAACTGCATTTACATAAAATTAAGAGATGATTTTAGAAGATCCTGAATTATTTGTAAAAGTGCTTTATGAATATATCACTTATTTATAAAAATAAGATATGTTGTATTCCTTTTATCTTGATACTGAATTTATAGGATATTATGAATATGATCCTAAATCTTTTTTTTGCTTTTTATAAAATGAAGTTTAAAAAAAATATATTTATTCAAATGGAGGAGTAATGGGAGTTGCTTTATTTATTTTATTTTATTCTTTAGAACTATTGATTGAAAGAAAAGAAGCTAAATAACTATTGGTAATTTGGAAGAAAATATTGACAGAGAAAGAAAAATCTGAATTTCAACATAATTCTTAAACTCTAATAAATAATGAGTAAATTCCTGCTTAATAAATAAAACTCAAGAAAATTAAAATAAAATCATAAAAATAAACTTTAGTTTAAAAATTTAAGTAATCAGTATTTGGTGAATACTAATTAACTTAATATGATAAATATTTTTAAGATATTCACCTTTATCATATTTTGAAATTTTAAATGTTATCTAAAAATTATTCTTATTCTGAAGAACTTTATGATATATTCACATAAATTCAGTATAAATCAGATAATTTTATGAATTTTCAATCTCTATGGTAAATTGTAGACTCAAATAACTTTTTAACTTAAGCTGAGATTTTATCAACTAAGATTAATTTAGAAAAACTATCTTTAAATACTTCAGTTGAAGAGATAAATGAAAGAGCTTATCATCTCATTACTTAATTTAATCAATAAAGTTAGTAAATATAATAATCAATTTAATTAAATGGTAGGCTAAGTAATGATGCAAAGAAGTTTTTGGATCTAATAAATAAAGTGAATTCTCCCTTAAAATATTTAGAATTATTCAAAGAAGAAGAGTAATTAATTTAAAAAGCTTCTTTTTATCTTAAATTATATTCTTTCAGACAAATTTAATTTGCATAAGAATTAAGTATATTTTTAAACATTTATTCATTACAAAATTAGAATATTGATCAAATGGAAATGTCATCAATAAATATGAATCTTTAATAATCATCATTACAATAATCTTAGTATTAATAATAATTGTTTGATTTTCCTAAAATATCAACAAATCTTTTTAATTAATATAGACAAGATTTTTTGTAATAAATCTAAAAGTTTGAAAATGATTTAATAATAAAATAACTAATAATTCAATTTAAAGTTAAATCACATTATAAATAAAACACACACAAAAGAGGATTATGGTATTTTATGAATTATGGAGATGCACATTTATATGAATAATTGAATCATGAAAATTTGGAATAATTTTTAGAGTTATTAGGAAAAGAAAGATATTCAATAAATGGTTATGAAGATAGTATGAGAAGAAAAATGTTTTTAAAAGTTTTTGCCAAGTAAAAAAAGACATACGAACACATTTAATTAAATAAAACTGCATTAAGTATCTTAAGTGATCTATATGGTGTATAACAATTAGTTCAATAGAAGGATAAAAATCAATGCACTTAGAGCAATGAAAATCAAAGATTTGTAGCTGAATTAATAACATAAAGAGGATTTTATAGAGGTAAAATAAGAATAACAAATGAATATTTTATGTTTGAAAATTTTGGTTTGGATGTTTAATTTCAAGAAGTTTAATATAAATTTTAAAAGGACAGTTTATTAAAATCAGAAAAATAAAAATTAATTCCATTTTCTTAAATTAAAGAAGTATTTCCAAGAAGTTATTTGGCTTAACCAATAGCAATTGAACTATTTACAAATAATAACAAGACTTATTTATTTAATTTATTTGGGTAAAGACAAATTGTGATGAAAATTTTATCATAAAACTGTAATGTAATAATGAATCCAAGTGAATAGTTAAAGAAGAGTGGTATAATAGAGAAGTGGAAGAGAGGGGATATAACAAATTTTTAATATTTAATTGAAGTAAATAAATATGGAGGGAGAACTTATAATGATTTAAATTAGTATCCAATATTTCCATGGGTAATAGCAAATTATGTAGATTTCGATATTTAAAATAAGGATCACTATAGAAAATTAGATATTCCTATAGGAGCAATCAATTAAAAGAGATTTGAGAATTTCTTGGAGAGATTTAAGTAGGCAAATCCAGATGATATGAATATGTATTTTATTTATGGAACCCATTATTCACATAGTGCTATAGTAATGAGTTTTCTAATGAGAATGGAGCCATTCGCATCACTTCATTAAGAGATGTAATCTGGAAGATTTGATAAAGCAGATAGATTATTTCATTCTTTAGAATAGTAATGGCATTCAGTTACAAATTCAAGCAGTGATGTTAAAGAGTTAATTCCAGAGTTTTATTATTTTAGTGAATTTTTAAAGAATAAGAATAAATTTGATTTAGGATAACTTCAATCGGGAACTATAGTAAGTGATGTAACATTGCCATAATTTATTAATACTAATAGTCCTGAAGAGATGATATTTTTAAATAGATTAGTTTTAGAAAGTGATTATGTAAGTTTTAATTTACATAATTGGATTGATTTAATATTTGGATATAAGAGTGGATTGAATGCTTAGAAATATAACAATTTATTTCATCGATTAACTTATAGTAGCTATGTTTAGTAATTACTGGAGAAGACTGAAGATGAAGTTTTGAAAGAATAATATATCACTTAAGTTTATTATTATGGATAAACTCCTTAATAATTATTTAAAAAAGATCATCCAATAAAATAATATTCAAAATAGAATGATTAAAATCCAATATTGAAATTTTAATAGATTACACTTATGATTAACAAAGTTAATATTGAAATTGAACAACTATATTGTAATGATAAATACCTAGTATTGATAACAAATGAATCAGAAATTCAAGTTTTTAATGTAGAACATAGAATAACTAGTCATAAAATACCTAAAGATTTTGGAAGTCAAGAATCTAAATAATTAAAGTTTAATCCAGATAATATTTTTTTATTATTTGATGATTCTTTAGTTGTAGCTGGATATGCAGATAATTCTGTAAAAGTCTATTCCCTTAAAGATCTCAAATAAACATGTTCTGTTTCATTCCATACAAAAGTTGTAACTTGCTTAGGTAAAAGTTCAACATAATTATTATGTGGAAGCAGAGATACAAGAATATCTGTTTGGGAATGGACTTTATCACATTAACCAGAATTTATTTTGTATGGACATCAAAATGAAGTCTCAATAATCTAAGTTAATTAAACTCTTCAAATTATTTTAAGTTATGATCTTAAAGGAGATATTTTAATACACACTCTTAAGGGTGCATTTCTAAAATTAATTGAAACATCTATTCCTTATAATGACTATCCTTAGATAAAAATTCATCCTTCTGGATTTATTTTAATTTCCTAATCCAAACAATTAATTATTTATACTTTATAAGGTGAATTATTCCTTTCAAGATAATTATTGGATCATATAATAACAATCAATGTCATCAATGAATATTCCCCTGAAATTGTATTTTTTTTATATATAATTTTTTAGTTAATCCTCACTTATGATGGCACTATTTTCGTTACCTCTATTATCTAATTAAAAAAGACTGAAGATTTTAATTAGTATTGTCTTAAAAAATACAAATTAGAGGATATGGATATCAAAATGGAAACAAATTAGTTGAGAAAAGCTAAAGAATTAATTAACACCAAAAGTTTAGAATTCTTAACTTCCTCAATCACATGCAGCTAATTTATCTAACGTAAAATTAAACTTATTTTTAAATATAGTTAATACACATAGAGTTCTTATTATTGGTTACCAAAATGGGTAAATTATATCATTGTATGAATAACCAAGAACAACTAGTTTATTATGATTTATATATAAAACATATGTATTTTTAATATCATAGTTTTACTTTAGATTTCAGATGTTAAGTGATTTTTTCTACAAATTATTCATCTTCCACTTATAATTGCTCTTTTTTTAATTCTTAAAAGGGCAATTAGTCAGCAATTTCAAATTGGGCAAGTTAATTTAGAAAATTCTGTTTTGCTAATGGATTGATTAACTGTTCTAATATTTCTAGTTTCTTTTCTCTCAAAAAGTCTTTAACCTATGACATCATTAATGATTTTGAGTATTAATCTAGCTTCTATTATGTTTCAGCTAAAGTCTAACCATTATGTGATATTTCAGAGGATTATTGGTTTATTTTGATCATAGGATGAATAAATTATAAATTCTCAATAGCCTAATCAGAGTTTCTTTGAAAATATGTATCAAAATATTATACTTAGTCTTGTCAATTAAAGCAATTACCGTAGTATTTAACAATTTGACCTTTCTATCTCTAGTAGATTTCTTACCAATCCTTCCTTCTTTTAAATACACTTATAATATGGCTTTAACAGTAGAAGGTTTTAACTAAGTTTCTTCAGATACCTAATTTGAATTGTTTATTTATATACTTCTTTAAGAGTTTTTCCATTCTTTGTTAACTCATTAATTATTTAAGTTCTTTACTCTTGTGAAATCTTCTTATACCTTAAAGTAAAATGTATACATACTTCATGTTACGAGATCCTTTTCTAATTTTTTAGCTGCTATTCATTTAATATTTTATTATTAGATAAAAATTTAGCAATTTTCATACAGTTATATATGGTTACATTATTCATAAAATTCATTTTTAAACTTTTTAAATATTTTCATTTAAGAGGTCAAGAAGCATTTCTATACACATATTTATCATAAATTTACTCATAATATGAAATTTAAAAAATCCGTGAATGAATTTATAATTGATATTTAATAAGAAATTCAAAATTCTTAATAGAGATTTAAAAATAGGAAGAGGTAAATATAGAACAGAAGAAAATATTTATATATTATTATAAGTATTATGCAAAAATTAGAGATAATAAAATTTATCAAAATATATGCATAATAAAATATTAATAATATTACATTAATAATTAGCTGATTTTTTCATATTTTTATAAGCATTCTTTAAATCATATTATAAATTATTTTTTCATAAATACAATGGATAAATCATCTATAATTTCTAGAAATAACAGTCTTGAATAAATAAACATAAGTCTATAAAGTAGGCCTAAAAGATTTTTCTAATCCAAAACATCGATAAGTATTTTAAACGAGCAAAATTGTTTTACGAGAACGTTGCCTTTAAATAATAATGCAAATGAGGAATAATAAGAATTAAGTCTTTAAGCATCCCCAACTAATAATTAATTGTAATTAAGTATATTAAAATAGCAATTTACCAGAGAATGCAGATAATCAAATTATACCAACTTAGATTTTCTGCAAAAAATGCAACAAAATATGTTTGACTTTAGTTGAGAAACATTTTGATATTTTTGCATTAGGGATTACTATCGTAACTCTAATTTTATGCTGGCCCTTTATATGTTACATTTGTTAATCTTTGGAATGCAAAAATATCTTACATTATTGTCCTTATTGTCATGAATAAGTTGGTTTGAGACCATACAAAATTTTATGTTGATTAATATAGAATTTCTTTTTAATTAAAAAATTGATGTATCTTTAATGTTATTAATAAGTTGTTGATTTTATAATCTTGACGTAGAAGATACATAAAATGATAAAACAAATGTCATTTTGAAATTATTCTAATTGTAAATTTATAGATATCCATATATGTCTATATTTTAGTTATAAATATAATAATATCATGAAATATTTTCTTTATCTATTAAATTGATATATTAACTTCCATATAAATTGATTGTAGTAATTTGTGGATCATTAATTAGTCTGGATTTTTTAATTGAGGAAATTTATGAAATTTCTGATTATTCTACTTTAGATATAGAAGCTAAAATTACTTATAAAAATTACTAATATTTCGAATAGATGGCTTTTTTCTCAGAGGGGATCGAATAGGAGATTATCTAAATATTGAATTAACTGGAGAACGCTCTCTTGAAGCCAATATTTATTTGATATGAGATAAATTAGAAAATCTTGGTCGATCAATCATATCAAATAATTAGGATTGTTATGACAATGTGTTTTGAGTATTTAAGTGAGTTAACGAAGATTTCTTTTTTATTTAGGAAGTACTTGTTGATGAGGCAAACGATGAAGGATAAGAACAATCTGAATCATTATTAGTAGTATATAAAGATGGATTTTTAGTCTTAATTTATTCTAGTAATAATTACTACTATTAAATTTAAGATTCCTTAGATTATATATCATCATTCTATAGAATAATTATAATATCAATACTTTTGATTAGAGAACCTATTTTAATTCAGAAATCTCCTTTTGCTAATCTTCATATTTATATTTCCAATAATCAATATATTATTGTTATTCTTCTGTGATTTAAAGCAACAAAGATTTCTAGAGTTATTTTTATTTCAAATTGACTTTAAGAGCATTTTACAGTTATTATTCAATTTCTTAGTTTTATTTTTATGCAATCATTAGATTATGATACATCTAATCATCATTAATAGAATTTAGATTATTTTATAGACTCATTTAATAGATTTCCTCAATCTAATATTGATTTTATAGAATATTGTTTTGTATTTCAATTAGTGAATTATTAATTTCATGGTATTCTTCAATATTACTATATATGTCATTATATATTTTGGTTAAATATAATTATTTAGTACTCATTTCAGAATCATTAATGTTAGTATGAATAAGAATTTTTTCTTCAGTTATTTATTGATGCAATGATTTTTAAACTTACTTTTTAATTTGAGTAGCTCTACTACTATACTGAAGTGTATTTAAAATTTCATCATATTGACACTTATTTTATTATATGCAAGAAATCATAATGGTTCTTGTATTTCCACCTAAAGAATCTTGTAATAATCTAGTTAATTTTGAGTTCCTATATGGAATATGTTAATTTTTCTTAGATTTATCAGAAAGTATAGTCAAACAATTACTTAAGGCCAAAAGAGATCTATTGATATTAGAACCTTCTTATTAATTCTTGCTCTTTTGATCTTAATAGACTCGTTCTGAACCTGCTAAATCTACAATAAAAAGTTTAGGTGTAATAGTTTAACTAATTATAGAATGACTACAAATTACCCTTCGAAAGAATAAGATAAATTAAACTATATTAATGCATGTGATCTTGATGAATATACATTATAAATAGTTTAAGCTAAGCTTCTATTTTAATTAGCAATGTTTATGCCCTCTTTCACCTATTTTGTTAATAAATAAAAATACATCATTAATGCTGTTAATTTTAATTGCTTACAAACCTTAAATGTATGACCCTTTTTAATTGTCTTACATAATCATTAATGGTTTTGGTTATTCGGACATTAGATCTCTTATGGTTTCATTGTAAACTTCTATAAAACTCATCTCCATCTAAACATTAGCTTCAGAACTAGATATTAATATTTAGTTAGCTAAACCTCATATATTTCATTCTATTCACTATATAGTTTATGCATTTAAATGATAATCCTTCATCTTTCTCATTCCCAAAAATAGTATGAGTTTTACCTGAACCTGTTATACCATATGCTAAAATGGTTGTATTGTAACCTTCAATAAAATGATCCAGATTGTGCTGTTATTTTTAATATATATATATATATACTCTTAATGATTGATCAAATATGTCTTCATTATTTTGTACACCACTGAATATCTTGTCGAAAACAAATGATTTACTATTTTTACCATCTTTTCTTATAACAATTCTATTGTCATTCAAATCTTCAATTAAAGTTTCTGTGCTAAATGAATATATATATATTCTTTTTACCTGCTTTCTAATAATGGTTTGATTCTCAAATATACTTGAAATGGTTAATTAGACATTTTTATTAGCAGTTAAATTAAAAATATTATTCTAAAAAAAATGATTATTTTATAAGACTAACTTCCAATTTTCAATTTATTGATATTGATAATCTTTTTTTAATTTTAGTTTAAACTAATACTAATATTATGATAATGAATATTGATTTAAAAATTCATATTTTTCATAATATTTTATTTATTTATTTATTTATTATGAATTAAGCATAATAATAAACATAAGATGAAAATCCATTTTAATTTGAGTTAGATTCTAAAAAGTTTCTGTAAAAATTAGAGAAAGAAAGAAATTCTGGATATAATGATGATGATGAAGAATAAAAATAAGTTCCACATACTTAAAAATTATATTAAACAAGTGCAAAGTCAACAAGATTTGGACTGTTATAAAAATTAGAAGATTAAAGTATAATTTGAATTATATAAAATAATAGCAAATAAATTAGCATAAGAGAGAGATGAAATGTTTGCAAATGAAGCTAAAATGAGGGATCCAAATTAACCATAGAAAATAGATGAAATAGCTTAACATATAAAACATTTTAATCCAAAATTAATGGACTATAGAGATGATGAAGCTAGAAAAACAATATATGGAAAAGAAGATAAAAAGAAAGATTTTGAATTATAGGAGATGAAGAAGAAAAAATATAGAATAAAATCAATATTAAGAGAGAAGAGAGAAACAATAACAGATTTTATAGAAAAGAAGAGAGAAATATGTTTAGCAAATTTAAATATAATGACAAAGAAGGAAGAAACAGAAAGATTAGAAGATTTTATAAAGAATGAATAAGAATCATTAAGAGCAAGAAGATTATATTTTAAAAATGATTGTGAATTAGTAAAAAAGTTTATGAATGAAGTAAAATATTAAGCAGATTAAGCTGCATTTTAAGCAGACAGAGAAACAAAAAAGAAAGATGAAGTAAAAACAGAGGTTGCTAAAATATTAGCATAAATAGATAGATTAAAATTATAGAAGACAAAATATGGAGAGGAATTTGAAAAGTTGGATAAATATAGATAATTTTTAGAGAAGATAAAAGTAAATATAAATTATAATATTATTAAAATTAGGATACATATAAGACAAAATTTTCAGAGTTTGAGAAGAAAGATATAAATTTATTTTAAAATTAATAGAATGAATAGAAGAATTAGTTTTTTGTAACTGGAGTAGATTAGAGAGAAGAATAGAAATAAACTTAAGAATAAATAGAAGCAGAGAGATAATAAGAGAGGATGGCAGATTTAGTAATTGAAATATTGAATAATATAGAAGAGGGAAATTTAAGAAATATATAAAATTAAAGAGATGCAGAAGAAGATATAGAATAGAAGAAAAGAGAATTAGAGAAATTAGAATAGAAGTTAAGAAATGAATAGGATGAACATATGGAGATGTTAAAAGCAGAAGAGAGAAAGTTGAAAGCATAATTGAAGATATAAAGTTAATTAAAAGATTAAGAGAAAGTGGATTAAACTAAATTATAATTTGCAGAAGGAGAAGATTTAGATATGGATAAAATAGGAAAGAAAATAATTGAAATTTAATAGGAAGCTACAAAGAATTAGGATATAATGGGGAAAAGATTATAGATAGATTCAAAAGTGATAAAATAGGTTATAAATGTAATTAAAAATTGAAATATATAGTAATTAGAAAAGATAGTGATTGATTTATCGGAATCTAAATTGTAATTTTTATTAAGAACAAAGACAGATTTTATCGAGGCAGAGAAAAAGATAAAGAAGGAGAAACAGTAGTAGAGATTAAATAATTAGAAGGATGAAGAGAAAAAGAAATAAATAATGGAGAGAAGAAATAAGAAGGAGGAACATTTATAAAAGTTTTATAAGGGAAGACATGATATGAAAAGGAATTATAAATAAGAGAAACCTGTAGTAGAGACAGAAGAAACAGAAACTGATTAAAATGATGATGAGAAATATTTAAGAGAATCATATGAATTGGTTTATGTTCCTCCTTAGTAAAAATCTCATAATTAATAATAATCAAATGAATTAAACATAAAATAGAATGACAGATAATAATGAAATTAATATTTATAAATAAAATATATGGCATAGACAAGTAAGAGAAAATAATCAAGATCTTATGAAGATAGCGAAGTAGAAATAATAATATAAGTGATAGTATAGGGGGAAGTTATTTAGGGAAGGTGGACAAAAGATGAACATTAAAGATTTGTAGAAGCACTTAGTATACATGGTAAAAACTGGAAAAAGGTTGAAGAATATGTAAATACTAGAAGTGGAGCATAAATTAGGTATTATATTATGATTATTATATTAAGATCACATGCATAAAAGTTTTTTAATAGATTAGAAAAAGAATTTAACAAATAATTTAATGGTTTGAAAAGTTCAGAAATTAAATAGATATTTGAAAATAAAATGTTTCATCACTATTCAGAAATTGATTAGATATAAAAAAGATAAAGAACTGGTTCTATTAATGGTAATATGAATATCCATTAAATTTTATTGTAGATATCTCTGACGACGACATTTAAGTAAATCAAGAATCTATCTAAATTGAATCTAATCAATAATCACTCTAATAATAGCAATAATAAATTAAAATACAATTAAAACAAGGAATTTTAGATTTAAATCTACCGGATACTTGTTGTCATTTAAATACAATTAATTAAATCTCTAAATATTAATAATAATAAAATAAATTACAAAGAAAAATATAAGAAATCGCTGATCAAAATTATCCTGATGATTTAATTAAAGAAATTTGTGAATTGTACAAAGAAAAAGATTAAATTATTGCTATTTAATAAATTCAAAATGCTTATTAATCTATTGCTGAAGTAAACTAAATAGAATCAACATAAATGTCTAAACAACTAGAAATATTATAACCTTAAAAGATTAATAATTAACATAATGAAGAATCAAGACCTGGAACAGATGAATCCTTCTTTCATTTTATTATGTATCTCATTCTTTCTAGATATAGGGCCAGAAATTAAAAATATATCAATAATAGGAAATTAAGTCTCTCAGATTTAATTGATGTACCTATAATTGATGAGAAATCACTTCAATCAATTGAGTAAAAATAACCATAATAATAAGAGAGTGAAGGATAAAGAAGTAGAAAATAATCATTTACCTTTTATAACGATTAAGTGGAAGATAATGAACTTAGATATTAAATACTTAAAAAAACAAAAAAAGAATTATGAATAACTATTTTATATAGTTTATTAAACATTATTATTTTAACAAATGTTATAAATTTCTAACGTTTCTAATACACAATTTTATAGTCCTTAATCTTCAATTCATTCAGATTAATTCAAAAGTATTCAAGAATAAAATACTACTCCATTTGATGAAAAAAGTATCACTCCAAAAAGCCATAAAAATTCAAATATTTAAAAATTTTTATTGGACAATCTAAACGATTTTAAAGTTTAAGTTCCTATTAATAACACTTAATATTTTGAATATTCCAAACAACCTTAATAATAATAAGAAACTCCTTAATCAAAAACTTAAGATTTTGGATTTGATGACTTCCCTTAATATGAAGATAATTAAATGAATAATAGTGAAGCAGTTGGTTAAGATTCATATTAAGAAATGCAAAAACATTTAGATTAAAGAATGTATGTAAAGAACTTTTCAAATATTTCAGAATTTATTTAAGATATTTAAAAAATTAATGAAACTGAAAAAAATAATTAACTTTCCTCTGAATAATTATCATTAAATCAATTAGAAAAAAAAGTTTTATTGAAAGCACCAGAAATCCAAACTTAAAATTTAAGTGATCCCTATTTAATTGAAATATCTACTTAACCATAAATAATAGAAAATAAACACTTCCCTTTTCATGATTCTCATCAAATTTAAACTGAAGAAAATTAAAATAATTTCAAATAAATATTTCCTTAATCATAAAACAGTCCTCAATTTGTAACTGTAAATAATATTTCCAATAAAACTCAACAACCATAATAAATAGAAAATAATCAGCATTTTAAGTTCTATGAAAATTATTCAGTTTCCTAAAAATCTTTAAATGATTTACTCCCTGAATCTAATGTTTCATAAGAAATTAGAAATTCAACTATATCTCAACCTTAACTAATTTAATAGTAATAGTTTAATACTAATTATTCTCCAATTTAATCTTTAGATTTCATTTAAAAAAGTTAATAATTAAATCTTAGTTCTGATTCAGAAAAAAAATCCTTATCAAATAAAAATATGAATAATTGTAAAGTTTAAATCCAAAATGATAATTCTGAATTTTCTTTGGAAGATTTTCCTACTAAAAAAAAACCAATAAACTATTTTATTAAAGATAATAATATTAAAATTCCAAATTTGTTATCTGAACAACAAAAAGTTTTAAATCAAAATCCTTAAGATTTAGTTTCTTAGCCTAATTCACAATAATTAAACTAATAATTCGAATAAATAAATCAATAGTAGCAATTTAATTAATAATAATAAACAAATTAGGGTTTCCAACCTAATTAAAGAGATGAGGGTGTTAATTAAAATATAGAACATATTAATTAAAAAATGAGTCTCAATTCTTTAGAATCTTTGGTTTACTCATAAAAAGAAGAAGATGCAAATATTTTAAGTGAGGAAGAATACTTTTACGATATAGATAATAATGAATGGAATAAAAGTAAAGATATTCAATAAGTTATAAATAGAGTATCTCAAAACTTTAGTTAATATAAGTAGTAAAACAAAGAAAATTAATAATATATTAATTAAAAAAAATAATAATAATATATCTAATGTTAATAAAATAAATTGGTTGAATAATAATAAAAACTTAATATAACTCCAAGAAATCATGAAAAAAATAAAGCTTCAGTTTCAAATGAAAATTCATAGGAAAATATAAATCCTAATTAATCTCCTTCATTTTTTTCAATTATTTCTTCAAATTCTGTTAGTGAAAAAAAGAAAAATAATCCTTTTGTTCTTGAAGATACAGAAATTGTTGAAGATCCAAATTGGGATAAAATTTTACCTTAATTTGATTATTAATTTGAAGTAAAAAATGAATTGAAAAAAACTTTGGAACCAATATTAGAAATGCAAGAAGAATCAAATACTTAAAGTTATAGTTATACAGTCTAAAATAGAAATTCAATATTATTTTAAGATAATACAATTTCAGAGTTTTAAGAGAAATCAACAGATGAATCGAAAATCATCCAATCTTCAATAAAAGTACAATCTCAAGAAATTACATAAGATTAAAAAGAAATTGCTATTAAAGATAGTAATAAATAACCTATAAATACTTAATAATTAATAGATTTATTAATTCCAGATTTAAATAAAATTATTAAAAAATCATTCTAATTAAATATTGAAAATCAATTATCCTAGTTGGTATCATAATTTTAACAAAAATTATAAGATGAAGAATAAAATAACTTTGATATTTACTAAATAAAAGAATAAGTATTATAGATGAACAATTTAGTTTAAGGATATGGTAAAAGGCTAGAATAAATAACACATAAGCTAAATTAAGATAAAGAGAATTAAAAGTCTCAAAAAATTTTAGATTAAAATTAAAATAAAGCTCATTTTTGCCAAGATTCCTAAAAAAATACCTAATAAAAATAAATTTGTTCTCCTTTTGAATTAAATTTAGATGATAATTTTGAAGAATCTCAAATATAGAATGATTAATATTCGAAATAATCAGATTCAAGATTATAAATTGTTTAATCAAGTTTATATAATAATAAAACTGTTAAAAAAGGCTTTAATCATAGTTTGCAATAGATAGAAAATGAATAATAAAAAATTGATAGCCAAATAAAATTAGACTTAGAAGATAACTTACCAAAATATTTAACAAATTATTAGTTTTAAAATTAATCTCTGAAAAGACTTTAAGAATATGAGATTTAAAATTATAAGAAACAATGTTTAAGTGAATAGATAACTCTTTTAGACACTTATGAATTGATAGTGACATTAACATCAGAAAATTACTAAATCAACAATATTTAAGGATATAGAACAATAGTTTTATTTAAAAATAAAGCACAATATGATATCTAAAATATCATTGTCTAATATAATTCGAATAAAAGTATGTATTTGATATATAATTTATTATAGTTAATGATGAATATATAGTAGAGCCTGAGAGAATTAATAAATAATTTTTAAGTCCAGGACAGATATTTAGATAGGAGATAAAATTTTAATATTACGATATTTAAAGTGTTTATTTAAATTGTTACATAAAGTATACAATTAACAATTATAAAACTGGATATAATTTTAATAAATTATCTTAGAGTTAAGGATTATAAAGTACTTAAGAATATAAAAATTTATTTCTATCTTAAATGAATAGCAGAAATGGGATTTAAGAGTAAAAATTAAATATTATAATTAGAGTTGGACAATTTAAAAGAAACTTTAATTTTTGTATTGCTAGACCAGCTAATAAATTTTTTGTTTATAATTTTATAACAAAGGATGAAATTAATGAATGCAAAATGACATGTTAAAGCGAATAGTTCAATTCAAGAAATACTAATGAAATGTTAATATTTTATCCATGGTTGATAAAGATAGATGATTGTACTATTGGAGGAAAAATGTTGATTCAATAAAAAAATCATAGTCATGAATTTATTATAAAAGTAGTAGTTAATAGAAATTAAAAAGGGATTATATATATGAATGGGATGGATATGGATTAAAAATTAAGTTAACATTTTCTCACATTCTTTACTTTCCTATTTAGCAAATTGTATTGATTAGTATGAAAATATATTACTATATATTATATGTTTAAATATTATAATAAATTTGAATAGAATGAAAATAATTGCTATTTATTATATTTTTAGAAATTATCATAATATTTTACCAACATGTATTTTATAACCAAATTTATTTAATTCTCTATTGATAATTTTAGCTGCATAAGGCAATCTATAGAAAGGAATCTAAGGAAACAAATGATGTTCAGTTTAAAACTACATTCCTCCCATTAATAAATTAGATAACCAATCTAAAAGATTAAATAAATAATATTACCAGTCCAATCATAATTTCTAGATGTGATGATTTAATGTTGAATAAATGGTTTATCAATTTTATCAAAGAATTTATATTCTCTTTCATGATTTCCTATCAATATACATGCACTAAAGAATCCTGCTATATATTATGCAACAACATAAATCCAAATTTTTTGTTAGAATACAATTAGTTGATGAATAAATATATAGATAATGTCGATTTTATTATAGGATACGAGAAAAGAATCGAATTTCCATCTAAAATAATTAATATTTAAATACTTCAAATAGAGGAACCCATATTACCACATTTAATATTAATGATTTATATCATCATCTTTTCCAATTCTATTTGTAAAGATATGATGATTATTGTGTTTGAATTACCACCAATCTGTAGAAAAACCATGAATAATTCCATATGGAATAGATAATTTATATAATAATGGATTTCTATTGTGATTAGTTGAATGTCCTTACCATCTAAAAATATTATTTTATGTTTACCCAGCCACAATTTATGTCAATGCAATTGTTGGAATTGCAATATACCATTCACTAGTTACTCCTAAATATAAACCTAAACTCAATCCAATAAAAAGAACAAGTTCTATTGTCCAATCAGGTTCAAAAAGCTTTTTTACTTATTTTTTTATATGAGAATATTATTTGCTTTCTTCTGATTCTTTCAAATTTGAATTCACAACTTTTTAGGATTTTAATATTTTCAAAGCTTTTTTGGAATGGAGACATCTAAATTATCAATAATAATATTTAATTACCTAAAATATTCTGTAAAATCTTATTTCTCGTCCTTCATTTTGTCAAAAAAAGATTTACCAGCTGGATGTTTAGGAACATATTCTGTCACATCGTATTNTATATTATATGTTTAAATATTATAATAAATTTGAATAGAATGAAAATAATTGCTATTTATTATATTTTTAGAAATTATCATAATATTTTACCAACATGTATTTTATAACCAAATTTATTTAATTCTCTATTGATAATTTTAGCTGCATAAGGCAATCTATAGAAAGGAATCTAAGGAAACAAATGATGTTCAGTTTAAAACTACATTCCTCCCATTAATAAATTAGATAACCAATCTAAAAGATTAAATAAATAATATTACCAGTCCAATCATAATTTCTAGATGTGATGATTTAATGTTGAATAAATGGTTTATCAATTTTATCAAAGAATTTATATTCTCTTTCATGATTTCCTATCAATATACATGCACTAAAGAATCCTGCTATATATTATGCAACAACATAAATCCAAATTTTTTGTTAGAATACAATTAGTTGATGAATAAATATATAGATAATGTCGATTTTATTATAGGATACGAGAAAAGAATCGAATTTCCATCTAAAATAATTAATATTTAAATACTTCAAATAGAGGAACCCATATTACCACATTTAATATTAATGATTTATATCATCATCTTTTCCAATTCTATTTGTAAAGATATGATGATTATTGTGTTTGAATTACCACCAATCTGTAGAAAAACCATGAATAATTCCATATGGAATAGATAATTTATATAATAATGGATTTCTATTGTGATTAGTTGAATGTCCTTACCATCTAAAAATATTATTTTATGTTTACCCAGCCACAATTTATGTCAATGCAATTGTTGGAATTGCAATATACCATTCACTAGTTACTCCTAAATATAAACCTAAACTCAATCCAATAAAAAGAACAAGTTCTATTGTCCAATCAGGTTCAAAAAGCTTTTTTACTTATTTTTTTATATGAGAATATTATTTGCTTTCTTCTGATTCTTTCAAATTTGAATTCACAACTTTTTAGGATTTTAATATTTTCAAAGCTTTTTTGGAATGGAGACATCTAAATTATCAATAATAATATTTAATTACCTAAAATATTCTGTAAAATCTTATTTCTCGTCCTTCATTTTGTCAAAAAAAGATTTACCAGCTGGATGTTTAGGAACATATTCTGTCACATCGTATTCCTTATTCTTGTAAATGAATCTAAAAACCTATATATTAATAATAACTTTATACTTCTTTATTTTCAACAGATTGACTGTTTTGATTATTTGGTTCTGGTTATGGTGCCATTTAATATTCTTACAAATTAATAATATCTTTATTAAATCTGATAAATATTTTCACAATAATTTTGGTATATAATTATATATAAAAATAATATTATTAATTTCTCAACTATTTTTTCTAAGACTTTTTGAAATATTATCTATATATATGTATTAAATCTAATATTTCAATATATACTTAATTCATTTTATATCCATCTTTTAAAACTTAATATTATTTTTAAGCCTCTTAAAATTAATAATCTTTAACCCATAATAATAACTCTATTAATTTTATCAATATATATAATAATACCCTTTGTTTAATTAAACGGACTTGCCAAAGAGTTACTTCTTTCCAGGAAACCATTACTCTGGGCGCTATTCCGTGCTTTTTTTATTATTTCTTCTCAATCCTTTTCTTATTAAATTTTTTTTTTATTTTTTGTTTTTGAATATATTTTCTATTTACAATCCATTTCTTTATAATTTAATATGAGTTCATTATTAATTGTATTTTCTAATTTTAATTGTTATTGAATAATAATAATAATATTCTTTTTTTATAATCTTCTAATGAATAGTTTGAATAACAATACTTAAAGTAATAATAGAATTGATCTTAATTTTGCAATAATGGATAATGAAATAAATAATAATCAAAATCAAAAAACCGACATTATCATAATTCAAGCAAATATACAATAAAATGAGATAATAAATTTTAATAATTTTTCATTCTGTAAATAAATGATGAAAATAACCAATTACCTAAATAAAGAAAACTAAAAATAATCTTAAAACATACACACTTTATCTACTAATTTAGATTTATAAAAAAGTGAAAAAGAATTATTGATAAGTTGTTAAATTAGAGGCAGAACCTTTTAAGATTAAATATGAAACCATTTATGACGATATTAATAAATAATAGTATTTATATGATTTGATATAGTTTTTATGCTAAAAGTTATGTAAAGCAAAATAATTAAAATGTATTCTTATTTAAGAAAATAAAGTTAACAAATAACTCTTTACAGAAGCAAATATAGCATCTAGAGAATTGAAAAATTCTAAGAAGATGGAAAAATATTCAGAATTTAAATGAAAATGTATTAGTAATGAAAATTAGGGATCTAGATTATGAAATATAATAAATTAATTTTTTGGAATATATAATAATGAAATAGCAATCAATGCATAATAATACAAGTCTGCCCTGCTAATTTTTTAAGGTATACTTTAAAATTCATTATCACACACAATTCAACTATGCATTATATATAGTTGGAGATAATAAATAGTTAGGTAATTGGAATCCAGTAAAAGGAATGCGCTTATAGTGGAATGAAGTAAAAAATGATTTAATATATTATAAGAATGATGAGTGGAGTATTTGTATTAAAATTGATAGATCTCAATCATAAAAGATTGAATATAAATTTATAGTGAATAGATTCAAAAATCCGAGTTTATAAGATACTATTTGGGAACCAGGAGAAAATAGAGTAATCACTACCCATATGATTGAAAATGAAACTAAATCTGAATATTTTAATTGTATTTTCAATAATGAAATATAAAAGGTGAATATTGGGGCTACAGAACAATAAAATTAAAATTAAATTACAATTTAACTTAAAAATAAAGAATGATGGTTATTGGATCTATTGAGTAATTAGGTTAATGGAGTCATCCAGTAGTGATGAAATGTTAATAAAAAATAGATATATGTATTTGATATTCTCTATTTAAGTAAATGGAGAACCTATTTAATAATGGTCTATTTCTTTTATTGTAGATCCTATGAATTTTTCATTTAGATACTTTTATGTAATTAGAAATGAAGAAAATGGATCTATGATATGGGAGAGAGGAAATGGAAGATATCTAAAATCTAGTGATTTAAGATCATTTAGATAAGTCTAAAATACATATTCTAAATCTCCTATTAAAATTAAAACTAAATTGTTAGCTGCATGTTAAAATTATAGGTAATAATAATAATTTAAAAATGGATCTTTTTAAACTGATAAACAATTGAAAATTAATAAAGAAACTAATATTGGTTATTCATTTTCTGATAAAGAACCTTCATTCTTTTACTATGAATCTTTTGGAAGACTTAATAAATTAGATTGGAATTTTGTAGTTTAATTTGCTATTAATCAAATCAATGAAAATATTTTTATTGGACCCTATCCTTAAAATGAATAAGATATTATTGTATTAAAATCATAAGGAATTAAAGCTGTTTTAAATCTATAAACAAGATTAGATATTTATCATAGAGGTGTAGATTGGGATGAAATATAAAATAGCTATAAAAAAAATGAAATTATAATGAAGAATTTTGAAATCTTTGATATGGATCCAATAGATTTTGAAAAAAAAGCTTTCAAAGCAGTTTAAATATTGAAAAAATTAATCAATAATTATGAATTTGTATATGTTCATTGTACATCTGGAATAGGAAGAGCACCTTCTCTTGTTGTATTATATTTATCAACTGTATTATAACTACCATTAAATGAAGCAATCTCATTTGTCAAAAGTAAAAGAGAGCATTTCTATATAAATCATAGTAATTTTAATAAATTTATCATAGGTATGTTAAAAAAGTCATTATAAAAAACTTCAATGTTTAATAATGGTGAGGGATATGAAGAAAATTTTAAAATAAATCAATTTTAAATTGGTAGTCTAACCAAAATTTATGAATAGAAATTTGATTAAAAATTACTTTTTTGAATAATTTATTAAAAGTAACAGATTTTTTTATTTAACACATTTTAAGTTTATTATTGTTATAAAAATAATCTCAAACCTATTTAAATCTGAACTCTACCTAGTTATAAGAATTGTTTGTATCACTTTATTTTTATTATATATTTTTTCATATACCTTCATTTCAATCCATTAAATTATTTTCTAATCAAAAAATTTTAGTTGCTAGAATATATATATATATAAGTATTAAATTTATTTAGTGAAGAATATAATTGCAAATAATCTTTTCTACTCTTAAAAGTGTTTAGTGGTTTTGGTAAAATATCTTTAATTGAAATATCGTTACTTTAACCTTTATCATAAAGTTTTTATTATAATTTTTTATTTAATGTTATGGTTCCATATTATATTACTTCCATAAAATTAAATATAATTAGTATTTGAGGATTTTATAATTCAAAATCATGTACTACAGATTTTTTTGAAATTTCAAATAAATAAATACAAGATTACTACTGATTTAATTTCTTTATTGTTAATAATTTTATTCAATTTTTGAGTTATATGATAAGAAATTAATTAGCAAATTTTTATCAAATTATGTTTTTATTATTACATCTATAAATGTAGGAGAATATTATTTTTCTTCCTCAATTAGAGTAATTAAGTTCTCAAACGTTGAATCATCGAAAGTACTAATCTTCATATTTTATCAATTTCAATTGTCAAGAGAATTTATTATAATTCTTTAATTTTTAATTTACATTAGACTAATATCTTTTCAATTTGTAATTTTGATAGAGAAATAGAAAAAATCCAAATTCTTATTAAATAATTTAAATTTTAGTACAATTACTTAAAATTATCTTTAATGATTTAATATTATAATTCTACAATTTAGCATTAAATTATTCTTTTTTAATGTGAGTCTAACGTATTAATTTTTATTTATCAATTATTTTTGAAATGTATTTTTTTTCAATTTTGAAAAAGTTTGTTAAGAATCTCCATTGTTGCTTTATTTTTAATTTTGAAGAGTTTCTAATTTTTTTAATTATCAAGAAAATTTATATTGGTATGAATACTTATTGAATTATAACTGATGATATATAGTTTATCGATTTTTTAGGTGAATTTTCTCAAGAATTATAGTATTCTTACATTTTGAATGTATTGAAATAATGAAAATTTCACATATCAAATCTCTTTAAAATTATGATTAATTCATGCAGTCCTTTTGGCCTTGAATTTTGCCTTCTTCAGCAATGCATTTTTCTTATAAATAACAGATAAGTAAATTTAATAATAAATTTAATAATATATTATTTTTTATGGATTTTCTAATATTAATGTTATGTTCTTATTAAAGTCTTATACTAAATTTATAGTGAATTGTATTTCTATAAAAAATAAAAGACTTAATTTATTAGTTTTTTACTTAGTTAAAAATATGACATCACCTATCACAATTATGAGCCAAAGAACAAATATTATATTAGATTTTAAAAATTTCATCATTTTGCTGTATTGTTACGATAATTAATAATTAATATATGTTAAACTCAAAATATTTTCCATGTAAAATTGGAGATCAAAATTTTACTATAGAATTAACTACATCATCTTTAGATCTTATTAATAAAGAATAAAGAATTACTTATAAACTTTCTTTAAAACTAATAATAACTTGGATTTTTTACGGAGATAAAATAATTGGGTTTAAAATCGAAAATTTAGAAGTAGAGGGCACAACAGAAGATATGGTTAAATTAAAGATGAGTTTAGGGTGTCTAGTAACTTTTAAAGGAATTTTAAAATTTTATACTTTTCAATAAACTATTTACCTAAACGAAAACAATACAACAAAAGTATGATTTCATAAAAAGAATTTAGATTTGTTAACTAATTAGTAATAGAAATTTTAGAATTTATGCTTGCAAATGTTATAAGAAATGCAATCGATCAATCGAAAACATTCATGATGAAATAAATTTAATACTAAAACTTCAAGAACATAGATTCATTCCAATGATATATGAAGTATATGAATCCAGTTCTTGTGTATATCTTATAATGGAGCATTTATATAGGCATTTTGATAATGACTTTACTGATGAAGAGATTAAAATCATTGTTTATGTATGTTTTATAATTGAATAAGAATTTACTATCATCAATAAAAAGACTTGAAAAATTGTTTATAGCTCATAAAAGTATTTCAAGATCACACATTATGTTTGATGAAGAAAATTAGTTAAAACTAATTGGATTTAGCAATGCAGTTACATAAAAAACAACTAATCATGAGTTTGAGCTGGACATTTTTAAAGTAGGATCTTTAATGTATAAATTGTATATATATATAAATAAAATAAGTTACAAAAGAAGTATGTAAGAAGATTAAGATGATTTTCCAGAAATTCCAGATTTTGGAAATGATCTAATGAAAAATCTTCTTGAAAACTAATCTTTTTATAGATTTAATATTGATTCAGCATTATAACATTAGTATTTTAAATCTTTAAATGGAGATGGGATTGATAAAGGTATTATTTTTATTTATTAAGAAATTTTATAAATGAACCCTAAATTTAAAGACAAAATTGAAGAAACTTAATATTATCAAACTAAAACCTATGATAATACTCTGTTATCTTTAACAAAATAATAATAATATTTCCAAATAGATTTATCAACAGAATTATAAAACTGATTTTATTATTTTTCTAAATTTATATTATGGCCAATTACTTATTTATAATAATAGATTAATATTAATTTTCTTTATGTTGAAAAAGAATCTCAAATAAATAATGATGGCTTTAATTGAAAATAGAATAAGTATTAGCTCAATAATCCCTAATTTTCTATTATATAGAAAAAACAAATTTTAAAACTCTCAATCCTCAATTTTATGAAATCAAAATATAATCCAATAATATATCCACTAATTAAAATAAGAAAATATATTCAAAATATATAATATAAACTTAATAAAAAAAGGTATAGGTCATTTATATAATATGATAGATTAGTAAAATTCATGATTCTGAATTTCTTCAAAAACATTTGGATTAGGATGGGATGATTCTGGCATTTTATTAAGCATTCTAGATATTTTATCTATAAAGCGTCTTAAAGAAGCAAATTTCTTCAATAACATCCTCCATTATTGTATTATATCTATAATTAATTGAATGAAAATTATCAAAGTTATCAGGGCTATACAAATCCAACCACAATTTTATTACTCGTTATAATCAAACTTCTTTATTTGTTCATCAACTATTAATATAACAATGATTAAATATATCAAACATAGGATAGTTTCTGTTGATAATTATTTATTATATTCACTTTAATCTTTTATAGGTTTTAAATGATATAAATATAAAGCAGATAAAAGTGATAAAAGTAATAAATTTACAGTTTAGCTTAATGGATCTTCATAAAAAAATATTAGAACAAACATAAACAGGAATTTTTTTACTAATAATGCAACATTAAAGATTTTTTGATAATGATTCCTTAGTTTAACACCTTCAAATAATGATCCAAATTATTCTATATTTTTTTTTTAAGTCAAAGTAAGACTGTTTTTTCCAATTAAATAATTTATGACAATACAGACTGTGCAATAAAGTATAACTGAAAGTAATGCCATGAAAGAACTCAAAGCAAGTAAAAATGATTTAGCATTAAGATTAACACAATAAATTTATAGCAGCGATATAAACGAATAATCATAAGCAGTTGCCATAAATGTTCTTAGAATACCACTAAAAAATAATTCATTGATAATTGTATTACACATTTCACCGATAAATATTTTAAATGAAAGAAAATACACTTTTATTTTCAAACCTAATGCATTTTTTTCTGGATAATCTTCGTAATATTTAAATCTAAATTATTTTATAATTATTGGAATAATAATAGCTAAACCATAAGCTCCAAATATGGTTGCATAAACTGTTAATATTTAACTGATATTTATTAAATAAATTGAGGAATAATTATCATTTGCTATTTTTTAAGGAAGAGGCTTAAGTTCATCTTCAGATATATAATTCAAAACAAAATCATCAATTTCCAAAAAATTTTGGATAAATGAGAGTTAAGCAAATCCAAAAATTTCAAAAAAAGATTATAAATTAAAAGGAAATTAAACATTAATATATTTCAAATATGATAAGAGTTATATCGTATCGAGAAGATTATAAAAAATATCTAAACCTCCTAATAAAATTGAAGCTGCTAATAAAATGAGAAAAATGTAAAATAAATTGAGACTAAAACTATTCATTGTTTCTGTCATTTCTTTTGTAGTTTCATCAACTAATATAAATTCTTCAATTGCTGCTTTTAAGTTTTGAAGATTTTATTAATATCCTTAATAGGATTAAATTAGAGATGGATTAGGATAAAAAATATTCAAAAACTAATTTTGAGATGATTAATTTAAATATAATGTTAAAATAGCACTAAAGGAATAATATTAATTTTCGAATTAGGTAATATTTTAAGTAATATTAAGTTGATATTTTAAGGATGAAATATTTCCTGACCTATTCTCAATGTATAAATTGATTAAAGAAGAGATATTAAAGGAAGATTTTGATATATTAAGAGGAACTTAGTATTCTAATTTAAATTATCTTATTTTATCATATCTTTATGGTTTTCCAAATGATGATAAACTTGGAATAGGGTAATTTGGAATAATACAAACATCATTTTAACATTTAAAGTTTTTTTCAATAAAACACTAATTATTGCATCCATCTCCATCTATCAAATTACCATCATCACATTATTCTGTATCTGAAATGATAGAATCCCCACATAGAGTATAACATTTATTATTAGAATAATCAGAATAGTAACCTTATTTATATTCACAGATCTTGCATTTAGATTTTATTTCTAAAAATCTGCAACTTATACAATTTTATGGATAAGATTCACATTCTTTGCATTATTTATCACATAATTAACATTAATTTTGAGTTAAATAGTATCCAGAGTTACATTTTAAGCATTCAATTTAATTTTTAATTGAATTAATTTGACAGGAGATACAAAACAAAGGACATTGTTAGCATAGAGATTATTTCATAATAGTATTTGAACAAATATAATTTGAATCAATTTTACAAAATGAACATCCATCTCCTATTACTTAATTACCATCATCACATTCTTCCCCATAAGTCCAAACTAAATCATTGCAATTTTTATATTTACAATCTTCTATCAATTTACCTTATTCAGAATCACAAGAGATACAAGTATTTAAATCAGATTAAAAATAATTTGTAGCACATATACATTAATTATTATTTAGTATCCTATTTAATGATTAATCACAACTCAAACATTTTGTATTGGTTTCATTACATGTTTTACATGTTGAATGACATTATATACATTTATCAATAGACCAATAAAGTCCATTTTGACAAACACATGTATTTTAATCACTCAGATTTAAATACTAAATTTATGCACATTATAAACAGGTGTTCTCATTTGAACATTAAATACAAGGATGTTTACATTAGAAACAATTATAATCAATTTCATAATAGCCTAATCCACAAATGCATTAATTATTAATTAGACTATAATTATTGTTACAACTTAAGCAATAATCGACTTAAATTGAACAAGTTTTACAATTATCACTACATTTTTTACATAACATAGATTCGTAATAGAAACCATCTTTACAAAACTCACAACTAAGTTAATTATTGCATTCTTAACAATTGTCTAGACATGCTACACATAAATTTTCAAAATTTAAAGTATAACCGAGTAGACAATTTAAACAAAGATTTTCATTCTAGCAAATTCTACATTATGAAGAACATTCTTAGCAAGTAGATCCATTTAAAAAATAAGTTTCTAAACATTCAGTGCAAATAATATCAGAAGAGCATTTTGAACAATTATTGACACATTAAGAACATAAATTATTGAACATATAGTATCCATCTTAACATATACATCTATCATTAACAACAGTTTATTTAATATCAATACAAGTTAAACAATCTAAAGAGGATGTACAATTAACACATGGACTAACACATGATTAACACATATATGAAGCATTCATATAATAAGTATCAATACAATGACAATCATTCAATACTTAATGTGAAAGATGTTTGCATTCTGTACAAATTGTAGCAGAAGTACATTTAGTACAAGATAATGGACATAGTGTACATATTCCAGCATTATCATAATAGCCATCATCACAAATACAACTATTTCCTTATAAATGTCTATTTAATCCAATTACACAAGAATTACAATCTGTAAAACTAGAGCATGTTAAACATGGTGATTAACAATTTTAACATTATTTTGGACTACCATTATCTTCGTATTGATTAGTTAAACATGTACAAGTATGAGCAGTTGAATCATATTAATATGAAGAAAAACAAGCATGACATTCATTAATTGAATTTTAACATGTAAAGCATGGAAAAGTACATGCATTGCACATATGAGTGTTTGTATCCATTATATATCCAGAAATACATTAACATGTTGGAGAAGTTTGATGTGGATCAATACAAGCTGTACAATTAGTTGGTTATGATGCAACACAATCAGCACATGGATATTAACATGATAAATTGGTACAAGTAGTAGCTGTACCTAAACAAGTTGTACAAGTGCTATCACATTGATGACAACATATTCCACTTAAATAATATCCACTCGCACATGTACATGGACTTCCACAATATGTACTTGGGGCAGTACAAGAAAGACAAGATGATCCTGATAAGATATATCCAGAAGCACAAGCAGAACAATTAGTTGAAGATGAACATTGAGTACATTGTATAGGACATTATATACATATTGTAGACAAATAATATCCTGTCGAACAAGATGTACAACTTGTAGAATTACATCCTAAACAACCGGTTGGACAACTAGTACATAACTTACTTGTTTAATTTAAATATTTATTGGTTCCTGAACATGAATCACAACTTATTCCATCAGAACATGTTAAACATTCAGTCATACACCTTTAATCGCATCCATTATCTGAAGGTAATTTGTATCTCCCATTTGGACATGCTGCTTAATAGGCTTAAATTAATTTAAATCTTTACAAAGCCGTATTAAAAAAAATAAAAATAATCCTCTCATTATCAAAGTTAAATGTTTTTATTAATTAATTGTTTAATTCAAATCTCATACATACAAATGAGATTTAATCAACTATATATAAACTTAATTTAATATTGACTATTTTAACATATTTAGATAACATTTATTATATTTGTCATTAAATGAATTAATAGTTGTATGTAGAACATAGAAATTTAATATTAGATAAAATTTATTATTATCATAATCTAAATCCAGATTAGTAACTTCCATTTGGTTATGACTATTTAATATATTGGGTATCTCCCTATTTTAATAATAAACCTTTAGGTATAAATTCTCCAACTTATTATAAATGTTCTTATAATATTCTATTTTTCTCTTCTTCTATTACTTATTATTTATATTATTCTTCTCTTCTTTATCTTTCTAATTGTTCCATTTCTTTCTATTTCTGCATTTAAAATAATTATAATCTTTATTACCATAATCTCTCTACCTCTTTTTTATGTTCCATTTCTTTCATTCTTCTTTTTTATTATCCTAATTATTCTAGTTTATCATCTTCAGCAAATTTCTTCATCATTTAATCTCTAAAATCTCTTTCTAATTATTATTCTTCTTCTCTCTATCTTTGTTTTCTTATTCTTGCCTCTTATTCTGCCTATTACATTTCTCTTTTCTAAAATTCTCTTTTATTTGCTTCATCAATATCCTTTTACCTCTATTAAGCATCATATTATTCTTAATAAAGCTAAAATCTTAATTCTGTTAATAATTCTGCTTCTTATTTCCTTCTCTCCTCTTCTTCTTTTAATTTTAAAAATATTTTATCTCTAAAATATCTCCAAAATTATACTTAGCTGCATTTTCTTCCTGTTTCTTAACTTTTATCTCATATGCTTATCTATCTTTCTCTTTTATGAAATCTAAATATTTTTAATTTTCATCTCTCTCTTTCTATTTTAATCTCTATATAAGTTCTGCTTTCTCTCTTAATGCTACTTGCATATCAGAAAAAGCTATTTTCTTTTTTCTTGCTGAATCTTCCAAAAATTTTCTATCTTCTTACATTAATTAACTAATAACTCTATTCACTTAATCCTTCTCATAAATATATTATTCTTTTGCTTCATCTCTTAATTATTCGTGTTCTTTCATTTATTTTTATAAAGTCTAAAATTAATATGGTAATTAATATTACATATTTGCCTTCTAATCTTTAATTCAAACGATATTTTTCTTTAGCTCTTTCTTCTTCTTATTCTCTTTTTAATTTTTCAAGAATAGCTGTTTCTATTTCACTTTCTTATTTCTATTAATTAAAATATAACTGTCTAATTATACCAAATCTTATATTCTTCTTAATTGTTATTCTGCTAACTATTATGTTCTCTCTTTAGTCACATATGCTGTTTGTACTTTTTATTTTAACAATTTAATTTCTTCACTCTCAGCACATATTCTTTCAATCTCTCTCTTTCTTTTCTCTTCTTCCACTTTTCGTTTCTATAATTCTCTAGCTAACTAATCTTCAAGACCATATGAATCTGATATTGGATTTCTATACTAATTATGAATCATGGTTAATATAATTAATTATAATAATTCATTTTAATACACCTGCTTATATTAGTGGGAGTAAATTTGCATTAGGTAAACTTTAATTTCTATGTTTATTTGGTCTTATCTTTCTTTTATTTGGTGATATTTCTTCTAAAATTGGTAATCTATTATTTTCTAAAGATATTTTAGATTAATGTTGTGTTATAACTTCTAAAACACTCACTTCTTCTTAACTCTAATGTCTATTAGGTCTAACTTTCATTATTGGTTTTCTTATTTACTTATCATCTATCAATTTATAATTCTATACCTTATTATATTATTCCAATATCAATAATACATCTGGTTATGCTTTACGATTATTTTTCAAATGATCCTTTTTATCGATAGACTTTTAACTAGTTACATCTTCATAACTTCCATTCACACTCATTAAGGATCTTGGATTTGGACTAGCTTATTAAGAATGCAAGGATTTTATTTATTTTCGATTAATACATTCATAACATGGTTTAGGAAGCATTGATGTAAAATAATGATAGTTCTTTGGGAACTTTATTGTTGATAGTAATGTATTAGGTTCATTATCTGTCTATTCTTATTTTGGTAATTCATCCTATCTTTTCAATAAAGATGGAAATTATAATAATTTCTCACAATTAGGTCTCAAATGTGGTTATACTTATAACATAGATCTTATAGCATTGCTAAGATCTTATGAATAATTTTATTAAATTCTTGGATAATATCCTCTTATAACTCTCTTATATAATCCTTCCATATCTTCTGCTTAAAATGGAGGTTTAAGTGATGCCATCTCATATACAACACAACCTAAACTCCATATATCTGATTTCTAATCATATGGTTAATCTTTCCACACTTCAGGACTTGCATAAAATGGTGTTCCTGTTTATGTGTACAATAATCCTTTTTTTGCAACTTTAGAAACATTCATATCTCCCAATTTTACATCTCCATTTTAATATAAAAACACATTTGCGCTCTTTATAATTTTGCATATTTTACTTTTAGATCTCTATGCAATATTTTTAATTCATGTAATGCTTTCAATCCCCTCACTATTTATATAAATATATTCCAAATTACATGTTCCTCTATCTATTTTCCATTTTTCTTTGAGTTTACAATTTTCTAGTACAAATCACTACCATCTGCAAATTCCATGACAATACTAACAGTAAAATATTATAGCTTTTTTACCATAATGAATTACTTTGGATATCAATAAAAGCTTCTTTATAACTAATAATATTTGGATGCTTGACAGATGCTAAAATACGAACTTCATTCATAGCATTTTATTTTTCTTTATCATTCAAGTTCTATAATTTTACCTTCTTTAAAGCATATTCTTAGGAGTCTTCCAATCTTTTTACTTTATATACAGATGAATAAGCTCCTTCACCTAATTTAATCGATTATATACTTCTTACCTAATTTAGACAGCAGTTAAAAATCTTTCAAAGACATTCTTATATATATAAATATATATGTTATAATTATTGTTAATTTCTAATTATTTAATATAAGATTAAATTTTAATTTCTCTCATCCTCCTATCCATCTTAATTTTACTTGCAAAGTTTATTGGTCTTTTGTCATTTAAAGACGTTCCAAAGAATTCAATAGTTTTTATCCTCCAAATTAAACACCACCTACTAAAAGATCAACAGCAGCAACATCTCTTTAAATATAGATTATAATTTTTACCTTGAAATTCCTAAATATTAATAAACTGCTTCCAAAATCTCTTCCAAAGTAGAGCTTGTACTTGTTAATGTTGAAAATTGTCTTTTGATACTACCATCCAAAATCTCAAAGTTAATAGTCACCATCTTTCCTAATTGTTAAGAAGAATTCTATTATTGCTATAATTATTGATCTTAAAACCCAGGATTACTTTATTAATTTTAGTAAGGAGGTTAAGTTTATTATTACAAACCATTATTATTTGCAAATTATTAACCTTATTAATATCCTGGACTATTTGGTTGCATTCTATTCTATTAAGTTTGGTTTACAAATTATTATTATTATTATTATTATTATTAGGGTTGAATATTTCCTGATTAATTTTAAGCTTAATAATTATTTGTATTAGTTGTCATTACTGGTTGACCATAAAATTGTTACAAAGAAGGTCTAATTTAAATATTATAAACTACATATTTTATTAATTTTGATTGTTGATTATTGTTTAGTGATTTAAATTGTTATAAGCTAAGCTACTAGGTTTCCATTCTAATAAATCATGGTTCTAAATTCCTAATTATTTAATTGTCAAATCTTAGTTTTTCAATGATAAATTAATTTGGCCTACATAGAGATGTAATTATCTAAGGGTTAAAAATATATTACTAAATATTGATTTTAAATTATTCTACTAAATATTAAATCAACTCTTTGATTAAGGTAATATCATCCAATTACATTTCATTAGTCTAACCAGTCAGATCTTTAAACTTTAGAGAACTAATTTTAATATTTAATTCTATACATGACTCCTTATTATTGGTTATTTACTTATGTTTAATTTACATTATTTTTTGAGAAATTATTGGTTTACATAAAATTATTATTTTGAGGTGGGTTAGGTTGTTGATAATTATTAGGTTGTTGATAATTATTAGGTTGTTGATAATTATTAGGTTGTTGATAATTATTAGGTTGTTGATAATTACTAGGTTGTTGATAATTATTAGGTTGTTGATAATTATTTGATGAAAAAGCATTAGGTTGTTGATAATGAGTTATATTTTATTGAATATTATTAGGTTATGGGTAGCCTTAAAACTATTGTTAAGGTTAATAGTTGGTTCCTCCCATAATTTACTATGGTATTTAACCAGAAAATGGTCGATCTATACTGTTTGATTATGGAAAATTAAGACTTGGTTATTATGGGGTTCCCTTTGATAATATCAATTTTGCTTATTTTTAATTATTTAACATATCCTTAAGTGATCTATCTGATGGTTGAATAATTTGATTTGTTCCACTAATCTTAATAGAGATTGAATTCATTTCCACTCCATCAAATTATCTAAATTTAAATATAAATCTTACTCTGGATACGTTTGCTTAGTAAAATCTAATATTTCATTTACAGTTACGGATTCATCAATTGCTAAAGAAGCTTTATATTAAGGCTCAAAGACTTCAATTTCTATTTAAGTTTCGTTTGCCATATTTTTCTATTACTTATTTTTATATATTAATTAATTAAAACATAAATCGTAAAATATTAATTATAAATTAAAAAAATTAATTCGAGGCATTAATCATATCTTAAACATTCTTTGGAGTATAGAATTCTGATATATTTTGTATAGTTTAAATTAACAAAAGATAAAAATATTTTAAACATATTTATCAATAATGATATCACCATCAGAATTTATTAATGATAATTTCCAATACTTTATCAATATGTGAATCAGAATATTTCCAACAATCATCCCAAAATACTTAAAGATACCCTAATTTAGTTTTCAATTCAAATGAGGCAGGCTGTCCAATATAAGAATTAGGTTATTTATTTGATAAAGTTTCAATAGATTAATCTTGATCAACTTATTTCTCCTTTCCTACTAAACTGTTTAATCTTTGTGAAGTATGTTTAGTGAAAATAAAATGTAATGTCGTTGAACATTTCATCTATTACATAGTAATATAATCTCGCTTAATCATATCAATTAGAGATTGCTTATCATTTTCAGCTATTAAATAATCATTCCTTTTAAGAATAATCTTATATTTCTCATCCTAAACCTCTCGAGCTAAAAATCTCTTATTATAAATCCCATTGTCTATAGTTATCCAACCAATAATATTTTAAGATATTAATCTATTCAAAACAGACTAAATAGACCATTCTTAATCAATTAATGGATATTTCACATTTAATCTATTTAATTTAAAAATCAAAGTATAATAATTGTCGTCAATACTATAAGAATGTAAACCAATTATTACAGGTAAGAAAATACCCAAACCACATATAAACTCTTATTCATATCTTAACCATAATTATTACAATCCTCCACCTTTTGTTAATTGTCTCTTTTACTCCTTTGTGATAAACTCTATAGATATTAAATTATCATGAGTTAAAAATATTGTTCCTTCTTAACGAATTTCTTATAATTCTATACATTCAATATTCCTATCAACATTCAAAGATTTTTTTATCTACTATAAAGTAATTCCAAAATATTCTCTCAATTTATTACTTAAAATATCCTATCCATAACTTGTTATCAGAATATTATTATTATTTAATGTAAATTATTTCTATTACATTTTATTAAATTAAAAACTATTCATCTCACCATTTTAACAATATTGATAATCATCTAACATTTAATAACTTGCATTCAAAAATTAACTCATCATATTATAACCCTCATGCTATATACTTTTCTAATCACATTATTGAACTTCATAAGTTGATTCCTATGGTAACAATTACAATGGTTAAAATTATTCTAAGGATAACGATATTGATTTATTCTTATTTTATCTATAAACTTTTATATCAATGCTATTAATATCTTAACCTTATGTTTCAATCTATATATTTTCATAATACTTTTGCTCTTTATTTTCCTTTACTTCATTATTCGTATCCAATAATCTCTATTATAATACCAATTTTTTTGGACGAAACAAATATCTAACATGTCTATGAATTATGGGTTCATGCAATCGAATTATTGTCATTATCAATGTACCTATTGCCTGTATGAATTGACAAATTGTTCTTAATCTTTCATCATTTTAGCAGTAATTTATTACAACTGGCTATCATAAGTTGATTTTTTATACAATTAGTAATCTAGCTAATACATACAGCAATCCATAAGTGACATTTATTTTTATATAAGTTTATAGATATTTCTTTATGAATTTATCAATCACCGTTTTGTAAATTTCAGTTTATAAAATCTCTGGTGGATATTTTAGCAATTTGATTAGCATTGTAGCTAAAATTATCATCAAAATTCCTCTAAGATAAACTAAAAATGTTGCAAATACATTATTTGATTCTAAGTTGCAATCTCCTAAAATACTAGTCAATCTATTATTTATACCTCACACCTAAATTCTAAAAAACTAATACAAGAAGTAAAGAAATTAATGTTATTGATAGAATACCTATCTTAATTTCCTTTTTTAAATTAAAATCATTATAGTTCTATGCATATATTTGGCAATATAGGTTGCTTATCAATAATATGTTTAATAAATTATAAACTAGTGAGGCCATTAAAGTAGGTATAGCTATTATTTCACAAGCTCTTTCATTTATTTACAACATATATTCTTATTATCCATAAGACTCTTCAACCTCGTAGAACTGACTAAATATAATAAAAAGACACATGATCTAATTATATAATTAAATAATATACAGATTGAGAAACTAGAATCCCTAAGATAATCTAACCAGGGTTTTGCCTTAATCTTTTTATTTTTCTTTGTACGTGCAATAAAATCACAGTTAAGACAAAAATTAGTCCATAAAAGCAAGTAAGCATAATATTTTTGATCATATTTTATTTTGTTATAATAATTTATATTTTCATATAAATCATATTGAATTTAAGATGAATTTTTTTAAGTTTTATTCTACTTTTCATTGTAATATCAATGCCATATATTATATTCAAAAATGAATTTAAAAATTGACTATAAATCCACAATGTTTTTTACTACTACTTCCACTTTATTTGATAGACATATCACATCCTCATATAATCAGCTAAAGTAATAAGAATCTACTTTAAATTAAGAGACAATTACTTCTTTTTCTTTAATTTTTTAATTTTATAGGTAGCATTAGGTTAGAATTTATTGAGTCATTGTAAAAGAATTTTTTAAAATCTTTGAATAGATAGATAATATTTTTCAAACAAACCTAATCAACTAATCAACTTCGAAGAATTGTTAAAATTATTTTTCTTTAGTTTGTAAATTTAATTTACTAACTTCTAGAATTTAAATTTATTACACTCTTGTAAACAAAATCATATTTCATGGGCTCTTCATTGTGAATGATGACATTTAAAAAATAAAAATCACTCACCCTCACACAAATTTAATCTTAAAATTGCAAGTTCTCATCATTAAAACAAATTGTAAACTACTTCCGATATTTATATTAGTTTATATTTCTCTATAATAAATATATTGTGAATAAGTTATTTGTTGCCTAGAATTATCAAACTTATTTTCTTTCAAATAAATTTTTTTGAAGTTCCTCAAAAACTGAAATTTTAATTTATGATATTTTAATAACAATTGCATTTTTAATGACATTGTATCATTTTTATTTTGCTCTTAAATATAAATTTCTAAAATCATACTATCTGTCATTGAATTAGATTTTAAATTAATTTTATTTTATGTTACCTTAAACAGAATGCTGTTCCTAAAAATATTGAAATTTAACTATAATGATGAATCAAGATTAGATACAACTAAAAGGTTCATAAGAATTCACCAAAACATTGAATATTAGCTATAATAAGAGCTGCTATATAAAAAATATATTAGAACGAATTAAAAGATGTATTTACTTTATATGAAGTTTTAGATTAAAGTAAAATTTTAAATTTATAATAAGCATAAAACCTCTATTAATTTAATATGAATTGTATTTTTAAAGAATAAAGGACTTAAATTTTAACTTAGGATAGTAATCAATCAAGTTTGTTGTAAAAGATCTAGCAAATCCCTTATAAATATCATAGATATTAACATGCTCAACAAAAGCTTTATTGCTAATTCAAACGTTTAATTTAAATAATTTGATAATATTTTAATAAAAAAAGTTATAGATTAATCATAATAAATGAAATAGGAAATAAAAGAGTGCGATTAAATGAACGATTAAGATTTCATCGATTATTTAAAATGACAACAATAAAATTTTTTAAATTAAACACTACCAAAGAAGTCAATCTATAAAATGTAAGTCTAGTTTTAAATAAAAAAATTAAATTTAAATGGAGGTTGAGAAACCATTTAATTGGGAAATACATTTGAAAAACTATGGAAATGTTCCTTGTAGAAAAGTGATTGTAAAATTAATTGAAATAGCTGTAGAATCTCAAGATATAAAGATTGAAGTCTATTAAATATATCTAAATAAGATTTTAGTTACAAAGAAATGGCAAACCTTTGGGAAACAGGATTATTTTATTATATTTTGCATCCAATAAATCAGGAAATCAATAATATAATTAATGAATTCAAATTAATAATTTTTTATATATTAGTTAGCTCATTTAGTAGATAATATATAATAATATTTTGGTTGAGGAGTTAGTTTCTGTTGATTTGTGAAAAATAATAATGAAAAAAATGAAAGATAATCAACCATTATCCAAAAGTATGTTTTAATTCAAAATAAGAAATAAAAATAAATAAGCTACAATCCATGATTAGAAATAATAAAAGATAAAAAACTATCAGAATTATTGAAAATCAGGTGTAGGGTAAATTATAGTAGAAAAAATTAAAATTTATATTGAATAGTTGATAGAAGAATATTTTAGAGGAAAAAAATGAATAAAAAGTTGAATGTTTTGAAATATAAAATACTTTGTATATATGTTAGTTCAGTTAATAAAATGTATTTAGTAAATAAGTGAATATGTTTAAAATAATATTATATTTTATAAATAGATGGACGGAGGAGGTTCTACATTTGATTTAACAGCACCTACATAATTTTTATAGCCAAAAATTAATGTAAGTAAACAGCCTGAGTAGGCTGTAAATAAACCCTAAAAGGATGTAAGAAATAATTATATATCAGTTGCAATAAAAAACTCAAACCTCTAATCCGAAACTACCTTAGTTGAATAACAATTAGAATGCAGCAAAAAGTTAAAATTAAAAGTAGAGTCAGCAAGTATAACAACAATCACCTAAGTCAATTCAGAAGGCAAAAAAAATGGATTTATTTCGAGATGCATTGCAATAAGCAACAACAAAATATTTGCGTATTTTGTTTATACACCTTAGCGCCTGGGAAAAAGGAGAAGGATAAGAGTTAAAAACCTAAACCATTATAAGAATAATAGTAGTAACAATAAATTGAAGAAATCAAAAAGAAGTACGAAGATTTAGTGCAAAATCATTATAAAGACTTATATGAACATGTTGCAAATGATTAATAAAAGAGTTTATAGGACTTACATAATAAAAGAATAGTTACTGCACTATAAGACTTAGAATCCAGACCTAAAATTTAGAATGCACTTGAAAAGAAAGAGGAATAAATAAATAAATAAAGATTATATAAAGATAGATTATTATATGAAATTAAATAGATGATCATAAAGAGTAGAAGACTTGATGAATTGTTAAATGATCTAGCTTTATAAAATGAGGATACAATTAAGGAGACCATAGAAGAATTACTCGAAAAGGAATAAATCTAGGAGGACAAAATGTCTAAACAATCATATGAAATCGCTAAGTTGAGAGACATGTATTTAAAAAGAAGTATATTCAATTTGATAACGAAGGGAAACTATTATTGGAAGTGTAGAAATAATGTCAAATTACCTATGATGGATTGAAAATCAAATATTAATCATATGAAGCTTCTTCTCAGAGTATTATGAGTAGAAAGAAACAATTAGAATCATTATCAAAGATAATTTCAAAGTATAGAAGTGAATTTTAAGGTTAACAGAATTTTTTTGGAGCAAGTTTAAAGGGTCGATTTGATCCTATGTTAGAAGAAATTTTAGAAGATGAATTATCTAAATGTGGAGATGAATAAGCTTTAGAAATTGTATAATTAGGAGAAAAGAAAATTATTGCCATTAAAGAAGATAATGAAAAGAGAAAAAAAGGTGAATAAAAAGATAAAGCTAAATTAGCTATTGAAAATGCTACATAAAATATTAATAAATAAAAATAAGATATTTAATAAGAATTAGAAAAAAAAGTAATTCTTTTTATACTAATTAGAAATAAATGTTCCAAAAATTAAGAGTTGTTACTAGTATATCTAATTAAGAAATCATGAAAAAATATAAATTAAATATGGATTTAGATTAGTAAGAATTAAAAAACATCTAAGAATATGTTGGAAAAGAAATTGAAAGATATGAAAGATAGAATGAAGAATTAAGAGCAGAAATTAAAAAATTAAAATATGAATAAGAAAATTCTATTTTAGATACTTAAATTAATCTTGATGAATTAGAAAGAGATGTTACTAAATAATAAGATTTTTTATCTGAAAAAGAAAAATAAGTTAAAAAAGTTGAAAAATCAATAGATGAAGTAACTATGTCTTTATCGAGAATTATGTATTAATTAAGTGGAAAAGGAATGAAGGCAAAAAATATTGAAATTAAAAGATCTGCCTTAGTAGCAACTGCTTCTACAATTTAGCTTCGTTTAGAAAGAATGTTAACAGTATTGTCAAAAACATAAGAATTTTTAAATGAAGAATCTATCAATACAAATCCTAGATACAATAAGGTTGAAGATTTTATCTGTTTAAATCCAAAAGTATATGAATTTTTCAATAATTTAGAGCTATGTATCATCAGAAATCAATGAGTAAGTTGAAGGCAATATTAAGTTTGTATATAAAGAGGAAGATAGCTCTGATTAAGATTGCAAAGATATGGATGAAGTTAGATAATTTGTTAAATCAAAGGCCCAAGAAGATAAGCCGTAAGTAGTTGTAGTACAAAAGAAAGATAAAAAACCTAAGTGATTAATTTATCTTTTCATTATAAATATTTCTATAAAGATGAAAGCACTCCCTCTCATTGCAGATTTAGAATTAAAGTAAAAATATTTATAATGAGGAAAAATTATATTATTCATATAAAATGAAAAATTTTAATAAAAAATGTTTATAAAGATAATGATAATATCACATTTTAAATAGTATCAAAAATGATATAAAAAAAAGGATTCACTTTAATCTATTTGTTCTTCCCATCTTGAAATTGAATTTTTAGTTCGGCTAAACTTTTCTTCATTTTATTATGTCTTTTTACCAGTAATTAAATGAGATTATTCATTTGCAATTTATTTTCTATTCAATAAGGATTTATTTTATTTTGTTTTATTAAAACTTAGATTCAATTTAAGAGCTTGAATTCTTAATGGAGTGGAACATTAAAATGGAATTTTTCTTTTAATTTTATCTGTTTTTTATTTTTGTATGTAAGAATTGAAAAAAGATATTTATTCATCTAATCGAGAGATGTCTTTCAGTAAGGATTCTGATTTTGCAATTGGAAGTGGACTGTAATTTAGTAGTTTTTTTTATGATCGATTAGTGATCATATACAAATTAATTTAATTTAAAAAAAATTATTGAATAATAAGGAACTTATAGGGTAAAAATAAAAACATACGATTCTAATAGAAAGTATTTCTATAGATTTATTACATTAAAAAGTGATTGGATTGAAACGATTAGAAGAAATCCAAAGAAATGGGTATTGTTAATTTAAATATATACTAAAATTAATTATCAATAATAAGTTATTTATGTCAACGAAGAGACAAAATTAAAAAGAGAAGTAAAAGAATATGCCAACAATTATAGAGCATAATATTCGTACAATTATTTAAATTGATAGTGGTAGCTGATATTCCTAAAATGGTTTCTAGTGAAGGTACTTTTCAAAGTCATTTTAGTTGTAGACAATCAGAAACAATTTTAAAATGATTTCTCAAAGCTAAAAAACGAGAATTATGTTTTAGAAGTAATATATTATCAATAATGAAAGAGAGAATTTAACTTTGAGTAAATAGAGCAATTCACATAATTTAACAACAACAGCTTAATGGATAACAATTATCCCTCCAAGCTTATAGATTTGACTCTTTAGCGAGATTGTAAAAAGATATAAAAATAGAATGTTTAAACTAAACAAATAAATGACTTTCAATAATTACAAGAAATTTAGAATCCAAACTAATTAGAAAGGAAAATAACCTCAAAGTAATCTAAAGAGGCTAAGTCATAAAATATATTAAATGAGGAAATTAAAAACTTTGAAGAAAGGATTGTGAAATATACATCAGAAGTCAATCAAGAAATAAAGTTGATTCCTAAGCTTTCAGAAGAATGGAAGAAGAAGTTTACATTCATAAAAAAAAAGAAATGAATTCAATATAAGTGAATAGATTATAAAATTCACACTCCCTCTAAATTCTATAAAAGCAATTTTGTAAAATTATTATGAAAAANTGAAAAATTTTAATAAAAAATGTTTATAAAGATAATGATAATATCACATTTTAAATAGTATCAAAAATGATATAAAAAAAAGGATTCACTTTAATCTATTTGTTCTTCCCATCTTGAAATTGAATTTTTAGTTCGGCTAAACTTTTCTTCATTTTATTATGTCTTTTTACCAGTAATTAAATGAGATTATTCATTTGCAATTTATTTTCTATTCAATAAGGATTTATTTTATTTTGTTTTATTAAAACTTAGATTCAATTTAAGAGCTTGAATTCTTAATGGAGTGGAACATTAAAATGGAATTTTTCTTTTAATTTTATCTGTTTTTTATTTTTGTATGTAAGAATTGAAAAAAGATATTTATTCATCTAATCGAGAGATGTCTTTCAGTAAGGATTCTGATTTTGCAATTGGAAGTGGACTGTAATTTAGTAGTTTTTTTTATGATCGATTAGTGATCATATACAAATTAATTTAATTTAAAAAAAATTATTGAATAATAAGGAACTTATAGGGTAAAAATAAAAACATACGATTCTAATAGAAAGTATTTCTATAGATTTATTACATTAAAAAGTGATTGGATTGAAACGATTAGAAGAAATCCAAAGAAATGGGTATTGTTAATTTAAATATATACTAAAATTAATTATCAATAATAAGTTATTTATGTCAACGAAGAGACAAAATTAAAAAGAGAAGTAAAAGAATATGCCAACAATTATAGAGCATAATATTCGTACAATTATTTAAATTGATAGTGGTAGCTGATATTCCTAAAATGGTTTCTAGTGAAGGTACTTTTCAAAGTCATTTTAGTTGTAGACAATCAGAAACAATTTTAAAATGATTTCTCAAAGCTAAAAAACGAGAATTATGTTTTAGAAGTAATATATTATCAATAATGAAAGAGAGAATTTAACTTTGAGTAAATAGAGCAATTCACATAATTTAACAACAACAGCTTAATGGATAACAATTATCCCTCCAAGCTTATAGATTTGACTCTTTAGCGAGATTGTAAAAAGATATAAAAATAGAATGTTTAAACTAAACAAATAAATGACTTTCAATAATTACAAGAAATTTAGAATCCAAACTAATTAGAAAGGAAAATAACCTCAAAGTAATCTAAAGAGGCTAAGTCATAAAATATATTAAATGAGGAAATTAAAAACTTTGAAGAAAGGATTGTGAAATATACATCAGAAGTCAATCAAGAAATAAAGTTGATTCCTAAGCTTTCAGAAGAATGGAAGAAGAAGTTTACATTCATAAAAAAAAAGAAATGAATTCAATATAAGTGAATAGATTATAAAATTCACACTCCCTCTAAATTCTATAAAAGCAATTTTGTAAAATTATTATGAAAAACATCAGTCAATTTCTAAACTTATTTTGAATCGGATGAATAATTTCTTAATTGATATAACAACTCTAACTCTATGATCTTGATTCGTTTTACATTTTAAGAATTTTTTAATAGAGCGTAATTCTTCCTTAAGCTTTTCTTGTTATTTCATAGTTTATAATTCCACTTTCATATTTAAATTCTTGTATTAGTTTGGGGTTAGAAAAATCCTCTTATTATATTCCTTTTTTTAATTTAGAGATCTCAGCTGTGGCAGTTGTAATAGGAATTAATTTATGTATAGAGTTCTTTTGGGGAGATATTTTAATTTCATTTTGAGTAAGAGAAGGTATATAACTATTATCAAGTTAATCTTGTGCAATATTTTCTAATTTGTTTAGAATATATTAATCAATAGGTTTAATAGAACTATTGTGAGAGGGTTGATAGGTTTATTCATTAATGGATATGGATTTAGGTTTGGTCAGATAATTGATGACATTGATAGAGTCATCATGAAAGGATTAAGCAATAGATTTAATGAAAATTGATTTTAAAATGTCACGATATTTTGATTTTTATTTTTTTTTATTAATAGTTATTTTATCTAGGAGTTGAGATTTATCATGTTCTTATTCATAGTTAGTAAATTAAGTCATATTTTGTTTTGATAATTCTAATTGCAATTGTTATTATAATAGTTATTCTTTTTTAAGTATGTTTAATACAGGATTAGAGTCCTTTTGAGATTAGTGATTGATAAACTAATTTTATTTAAGAAGTTTATTGAAATTGAATTTTTAATTAAAGATTCTGTTATGGAGTTCCTATGAGATTTTTCTTAGGTCTCCATTTATTTATCGAAGAGAGGATCGTTCATGAATAATTTTTTATTTTAAGATATTCATTTTTAGTTAGTAATCATTGAGTAGTTCAGGTTTAAATGATTTGGATTGATCAATAGGAGACAATTTATTGTATTTGGTTTTCATGAAATAGACAATAAATTAAATATAAAAAATAGTAAAAAAGATAACTGAAAGATGGCTACAGCATTAGTATCTGCAGGATAATCTATAAGTAAAATGTTTTCATTAAAAGATTAAGTCGGAACTTATGTATAATAAGATATAGAGACAAGATTACAATAAGAGGTGTATAAAAAGTAAATAAGAGTGAGAGAATTCTTTACAGATTTTGATCGTCTTAGAAAAGGTTGGGTGACAGAAGATAAGGTATAATTGTTTGCATAATGAAAAGTTTCGTTCAGCTTTGTCGATGATAAATTTTCATTTCACTCGTGATGAAATTGAAGAAATCATCAGAAGATATAAACTAAATGATGGTTTAGTTTAATACACAACATTTTGTAATAAGCTTGAAGAGCAATTCTTAAATAGTGAAGCAAAAGCATAAGTTTTTTAAGCCCCTTAAGTATTAATTATAAAGAAATGTAGATTTTCAATAAGGAGGAGGAAGAAACTGTAATGAGATTAATGTTGGCAATTAAAAGAAAAATAGCAACAAAAAGAATATTTTTAAAATAACCATTCTAANTAGGAATTAATTTATGTATAGAGTTCTTTTGGGGAGATATTTTAATTTCATTTTGAGTAAGAGAAGGTATATAACTATTATCAAGTTAATCTTGTGCAATATTTTCTAATTTGTTTAGAATATATTAATCAATAGGTTTAATAGAACTATTGTGAGAGGGTTGATAGGTTTATTCATTAATGGATATGGATTTAGGTTTGGTCAGATAATTGATGACATTGATAGAGTCATCATGAAAGGATTAAGCAATAGATTTAATGAAAATTGATTTTAAAATGTCACGATATTTTGATTTTTATTTTTTTTTATTAATAGTTATTTTATCTAGGAGTTGAGATTTATCATGTTCTTATTCATAGTTAGTAAATTAAGTCATATTTTGTTTTGATAATTCTAATTGCAATTGTTATTATAATAGTTATTCTTTTTTAAGTATGTTTAATACAGGATTAGAGTCCTTTTGAGATTAGTGATTGATAAACTAATTTTATTTAAGAAGTTTATTGAAATTGAATTTTTAATTAAAGATTCTGTTATGGAGTTCCTATGAGATTTTTCTTAGGTCTCCATTTATTTATCGAAGAGAGGATCGTTCATGAATAATTTTTTATTTTAAGATATTCATTTTTAGTTAGTAATCATTGAGTAGTTCAGGTTTAAATGATTTGGATTGATCAATAGGAGACAATTTATTGTATTTGGTTTTCATGAAATAGACAATAAATTAAATATAAAAAATAGTAAAAAAGATAACTGAAAGATGGCTACAGCATTAGTATCTGCAGGATAATCTATAAGTAAAATGTTTTCATTAAAAGATTAAGTCGGAACTTATGTATAATAAGATATAGAGACAAGATTACAATAAGAGGTGTATAAAAAGTAAATAAGAGTGAGAGAATTCTTTACAGATTTTGATCGTCTTAGAAAAGGTTGGGTGACAGAAGATAAGGTATAATTGTTTGCATAATGAAAAGTTTCGTTCAGCTTTGTCGATGATAAATTTTCATTTCACTCGTGATGAAATTGAAGAAATCATCAGAAGATATAAACTAAATGATGGTTTAGTTTAATACACAACATTTTGTAATAAGCTTGAAGAGCAATTCTTAAATAGTGAAGCAAAAGCATAAGTTTTTTAAGCCCCTTAAGTATTAATTATAAAGAAATGTAGATTTTCAATAAGGAGGAGGAAGAAACTGTAATGAGATTAATGTTGGCAATTAAAAGAAAAATAGCAACAAAAAGAATATTTTTAAAATAACCATTCTAAGATTTTGATAGAACTGCTTGTTCTCATATAACTATAGATTAATTTTCTAGAGTTTTGAATCAACTAGGATTGTTACCAAAAGATCAATATTTATAATTGCTTATTAGATAATATATTGATAATGGAAATCCTAAAGAAGTAAATTATGTTAAATTCTGTGATGATGTAGATAATGTATAAGAAATGTTAAGTGGAGTAATTACTGGAATCAAACATAATCCTAAAGAAGTATTAATTTACAATAATTTAGATTCATCCTGATGATGATTTTATAGAAGATAAAGAAGGATTGGATTTAATTTCTACTTTGTTTACATCTAAAAAATTAACTGATAATATTAATACTTTGGAATAAGTATTAAAAAAGATTTAAGGAGATGTAGTAATGAAAAGAATTAGAATAAGAGAATTTTACAAAGATTTCGATCCTTTAAGAAAAGGATTAGTCACTGAATCTCAAGTAATTTTAGATTATTCATCATAGTTTGCTAGAATATTGCATTTATAAAATATTCCTGTTACTGAAAAAGAGATATCTATATTATTAAATCATTATAAGATAGACAAGATTCCTAATGGATAAGTGGACTATAATCAATTTTGTGAAAATGTGGATAAGATATTTACTATAAAGGGAATTGATAAATCTCCTTAAGCTTAGGTTCCTTAGATAGATGATACAACTACTCTTCCAGCTAGAAGAAGATATCTATAAATGACTGAATAAGAGGCTATTTAATTAGATGAATTATTAATGAAATACAAACAAGCTATTCAAAATAAAAGAGTTCTATTAAAACCTGTATTTGAAGATTTTGATAAGACAAAGTAAGGTTATATAACAACGAATCAATTTTTAAGAATTCTGAATTAATTTAATTTATTTCCTGATCCTGTTTCATTGAATTTATTGTTAAAAAGATTTGTGGATAAAGCCAATTTAAATGAAGTGAATTACTATGATTTCTGTAGAATTGTTGATTAGTCAGATGAAGGTGTAGCTATTAGTAAATCTCATGCTGATGCATTTAAAAACTATATTAAATCAGATAATGTTAGTTAAGCATTTATTAGAAATGATCAACCAAATGATTTCGATGATCTTATGGCTAAATTAAGAAGAATTGTTAAAGAATAAAGATAAAGAGTAGCTGAGTTTTTAAGAGATTTTGATAAATTAAGAAGCGGTACAATTACAGTTACTTAATTAAGAAAAGGATTAAGCATGGCTAAGATTTTATTGTCTGATGCAGAATTTTAATTAATTCTGTAAAATTTTGGATGTAAAGACAAACTTAATTTTGTATATTGGAAGGATTTTACTGATTAGGTTGATTAAGTATTTACAACTAAGAATTTGGAAAAAGTCAGTCCTTCTGAAGAAATACCTATGATGTCAACATAATATAATTATGGTAGAGTATCAATTACAGAAAGAGATAGATAAGTAGCTGAAGTAGTAAAAAAGAAATTTTAATATTTTTGTAAAGCTACAAGATTGGATATTAAATAATTTTTTTAAGATTGGGATAAATTGGGTAGAAATAAAGTATCACCAAAATAATTCAGATAAACATTAGCTACAGTTAATTTCATTTTATCTGATGAAGAATTTCAAGCTGTTGTTAAGATTTATGCTGCTGAAGATGATGGAGATATTAGATATGTTCAATTTATAAATGATACTCAACCTCCATTAGAAATACAAACAGAATCTGGAGCATCTTAAGCTTATGTTGGGGTAAAACCTAAAGAAAAAGAAAAAGTATATAAATTAATTAATCATTATTAGCTTTAACCATCTGTACTATTAGAATAAATTAAAGTTGCTGTTAAAATTAAAAGATTAAGATTAGGAGATTATTTTAAAGATTTTGATCCTTTAAGAAAAGGATTAATGCCTACTAATAAATTTAGAGGGGTGTTGAGTTAAATGAAGATAGATTTAGATTAAGAAAGTTTAGATTTATTAGAAACTATGTATGTGGTACCTGAAGATCCAATCAGAGTTAATTATGCTAAATTTATTGAGGATGTTGAAATTGTATTTACCAAATCAGTAAACATTTATATCTATAATAAAAACTTTAGGGATTAGATAAAGATCCATTGATGAAACCTCCAGTTCATGTTATTCCAACTTTCTTAGATCCACGAGATGCTCTGACTACAGAAGAAGAAGAAGCTTTGCATGCTATTATGTTAAGATTAGGAGAAGTCGTTAAAAAACATAGAATTCTACTTAAACCTCACTTTCAAGATAAAGTATTAAATTAGATATTATATATAGGATAAAACTAAATCAGGAAAAATTACTTTTACTCGATTCAGATCTATAATGGATTTTCATAAATTACCATTAACTGATGATTAATTCAGAGTCATTTGCAAGAGGTTTCTAATTCTATCTTATATCTTAGATTTGCTTATTAAGGCATTGAATTTAATTATGTAGAATTTGATGAAATCTTAAAAAAATACGAGAATTTTTATCAATGAATTATAAACACAAAATATCATAGCTATTAATAAATTTTATGCAAATTTTTAAGAATTCTAAATTCTTCTTTGGAACACTAAAAGCTCATACATTACCAGCTCTTAAGTATGGATATAATGATCTTGAACCAGTATTGAGTGCAACACTACTTGAATTTCATCATTCTAAACATCATTAAGCTTATATCAATAATCTTAATGCTGCTTAAGAATAATTGGAAGATGCTTTGACAAAGAATGATGTTTAGAGAATTGCTAATCTTTAAGGCATCATTAAATTCAATTTAGGAGGTCATTTAAATCACAGTTTGTTTTGGGAAAACTTGTAAGAATATTAAACTTATAATGAAGGACTCCAATTAAAAATGGTGGAGGACAATTACCTGATGCAAACAGTGCTCTAGTATAAGAAATCAATAACAATTGGGGAAGTGTTGAAAACTTCAAGACTTTCTTCAATACTAGAACAGCTGCTATTTAAGGAAGCGGATGGGGATTCTTAGGAGTTGATTAATAATCAAAAAAGTTAAGATATTTGGAATTACCCAATCAAGAAATTCCATAAAACTATGGTCTTACACCAATCTTAAGTAATAATTTAAAAATAGATATCATTAGCTATTGATGTATGGGAACATGCATATTGGTGGGATTACAAGAATGTTAGACCAAATTTCTTGACAAATGTTTGGAAAATCGTTAATTGGAAAGATGTAGAAACAAGATATAATCAAGCTTTGAAATGAATTATGCATTAAAAAAAATATATTTTTTATAATAATTATTAAATTGATAAGTTTTCTAAGAGAATATTTTCATTAATTTTACAACAGCCCCAGGGACTTAATAACCCATTTGAGGTACTACTTTAGAAATCTTTCATAACTTTTCTTATTTAATTACTTGAAATCATTTGATCTTTTGAACTAAGAGAATTAGATTTTCCTTTTTAAACACCATTCTTTTAAGAAGTTAGAAATAAAAAATCATACATACTACCTATAAATTTTAAATCTTAAGAATAATTTAATCAAATATCCAAAGCCATTCAATATCCTCAAGAAAAATCTTTCTAGACAGTCTATCAAAATAATATTTATCACGTTTTTAAAATAAATCCTCAAAATTTCAATGTTAGTATCTCTCTAAAGAACTTATGCCAACTTGTGAATTTTATTCATATATTAATTATAATTGAAAATTTGTGGGCTTTTCAGCAATAAAACCTATTGATAATTTCTGAGAGATATAAAAAAATTTAAACGCAGTATCTCCAAAACCATATATTTAATTCAATTTATTATTTCTCTTACTAAAATTAAAGAATAATTATGAGCTATTAATGAATTTAGTATCAAATGATTGAGCATGTCAATTATGAAAAATTTTTTTATTTTATGAAAATCAAAAGGAGCATATCTGATTATTCTTGTCAATCTAAATTTTAATAGATTATTAAAGAAATGATCTTCATTTATAAATTAATAAGTTTTACTTAAATTTTTTGATAATTTATTAATTAATAAAATAACATATTTATTTCAAAATGCTACATCTTGATATAGAAGTATAGACAATCCAATTTTTTATTGGCTCCCCATTTGATTCATGTTCTATTAAATTAAGTGATGGTATTTATAACATCCATTCTTAGCCTTCTCAACTTCAATTTTGTAGTCATAGCTAAAATGTAAATGTAAAGATATTTAAGAAATTTGGGAAAAAATTGAATTAAATGTTTAATATGTTTAGAAAAGCAATGTATTGTATAATTGCATATTAATGTAGTTAAAATTCTACTTTTATGATGGGCAGACAATTTATGGAGAAGCAACAATTAATTTAGAATTTTACATTGGGAACAATCTTCCTTTAATAATTGATAATATTACTATATAGAATAAATTTGATTAAGAAGCTTAAGTTAAAATTAGTTTAGCATGGAATTAGATAGATTAAACTTAATCTAAATAAATTCGTTAAACAAGTCCTTTAAGAGATTAAACTATACCTATTCCATAGAAAAATATTGCTCAATAAAAAAAACCAGCTGATGAACTTCATTTTGAAAAGCGAACTGTTCATGCTACCTATACTTAATGGAAAGATCATTAAGAAATGGTTAAGGAATAATATATTAAGAAATTGAAAGAACCCATCAAAAAAGGACAAATGGAGGATGAAAAATTTGAAGAAATTCGTAAACCTGAAGCTCGTGTTATGAGTCCTCGAAGATTTTAAACTCCAAAAGATTTTAAAACACATAATAAATATTAAGATTAAAAATTATCAGGGTAATTTGACAATCTAAAAATTTAAAAGAATAATCAATAAGATTTTAAATAAATAAATAAGGAATTACAAAATAATTAGAATAATAGAGCTCCATCTAAAAGTCCAAATCGTTATGATTCAAGAGTTAAAACAAGGAATGAAATGTTATTGTCTGCTTCTTCACCAAATGAATAATTAGAAATTCTCAAAGGATCAACAAAATAATCTAAACCTTTATCTAAGAAAGGAGAATTATAAGAAAATTTTGGTTCAAAAACAACTTAATTAAATCAATTAGAAGGAGGTATGACAATGTCTACCAAATAACTTGATGTAGATTTAGATAATAATTAATCCAAACAATAACTAAATTAGTTATAATCTGAAAATGCTTAATTAAAGAATTAAATTTCAAAATTAACTACTGAAAATTAATGTTTAAAAGATTAATAAATTAAGGGGGAAGCTGCTTTTAATTTATTATCAGAAACTTATAGTAATCTAAGAAATGAATATCAAAGAATCTAGGTGAAAAGCTTTAATAATAGTTCAAGCCATTCTCTATTAAATAACAAAGAGACAGATCACTTAAAAAGAGAATTAGATTAAAAGGCAAAAGAAATCGAATTCTATAAAAAAGAGGCTGAATTATGGAAAAAAGATTTAGATGTCACCAAAAGAGAAAATGTTTAAATTAAAAGGGAAGCAGAACAGTATAAAAAAGAATTAGAGAATATATATTTAGATTTAGAAAATTAAAGAAGAGATATTGATAACAAAAATAGAGAAATAGATAATTTAGAAAAAGAGTTATATAGAGCATAATAAGCTATATAGTTAATTCAAAATGATAGTTTTAGAAATGCTTCATAATAATCTGGAATAAGTAATAATTAAGAAATATTGGAATAAATATAAAATATTATGAAAACAAAATAAATTGAAGTTGATAGTAAAAATGAAGAAATAAAATAAAATAAAATAAAAATAGCATGTTTAGAAAAGGAATTGTATGATAAAGGTAGACATTCTTAAGATCAATTTGATCAAATAAAAAATTTAAATATAGAGTTAGAATAAGAAAATGAGAAATTAAAATAGTAATTGTTAGAAAAGAATGCCGATTTAAAAATCAAGTAAATTTTGGATTATAGCTAATAGAACTTAAGAAATAGAGAGATTAATAACATAAACGAATATGATACTGTAATAACCTGATGTTTAGAATACAGATTCAAGTAAAGAATTAAATGAATATGCAACTTAGATAGCTTTTTTAAAATAGGAGAATCAAAATTTAAGTAATAGTTTTATTTAAATAAAAATTAGTCTTGCAAAATAAAAAAGATTAAGTTAGACTTGAGAGTTTACAAAATTAATTTGAAATAACGAAGGTAACCACATAATATATAATAATTGACAGAATATTGTTGTACTAAGTGAATAGCGCCAACAATCTCTTGAACATGAAATTTTGTAATTAGAAAAAGCTGTCCTTGGAGGGAAATAAAATATGGCAGATATGATCAATGCTGTAATGGAATGTGGCGGTACTCAGTTAGCTGAGGAAGTAGAGAGATTCTTGATTACTAGAAGGAGTATCAAAACTAGTTGATATATACCATTTTATTATAATTATTAAATTATAAAAATTGAAAAAATAAATAAAAAAAATTTTATTATTACTTTTTTTGTAAAAATTCCTTTTTTTAAAATTCTGAGTCAAATTTGATTTATGAGTAGAAACCTAAAAATTTTTCAAGATTATCTTTTAATAGGGATTGAAAAGTGTTTTTAGAAGTGAATTCTCTGCAATAAGAGCTAAATTGATTGAAATAATTCATATTTTGATGTGCCCTAGTAGGCAGAATTTTGAAATTATTTGATGTTTAAAATACCTTATGAGGAAAAGGATGTGCACAATTACCTATTTGACAATTAAAGTGAAGCAATATCATTATCCAAAATGTTATCAAATAAACCAATGAAATTAACTAAATTTTTATAATTCGAATTTAAAGCTTATAAGGAAAAAACATAATAATAAAAATAAGAAAACATAATTAAAATGGCAAAAGCAGCATAAAAAGGAACAAAAGGAAAAAAAAATGCAACAGCACCAAGTCAAATATATAATTTATAGTAGAAGCTACTAAGAAAGTCAAGAAAGTAACTAAAAAGCCAACTGATCCTACACCAACTCCAGCTCCAGTTACAACAACTCCAGCTGTACCAGCAACAACAACACCAGTTGCTGCTACTACACCAAAAAAGTAAGTCAAGAAAGCTGCAGCTAAACCAAAGAATGCTGGTTCTAAAAAAGCTACATCCAAGAAAAACAATAAGAAAGCCGCTGCAAAACCAGTTAAGAAATGATTAGTTATTCAAGAATTAATCAATTAATTAGTTTTAAATTATTTCTCTTCTATACTTTCACTTAAAAAATATAATACTTATGAACATTCTCCTAAACTATTTATTTTAACAAATAAACAACTAAATATGAAAAAATATTTATATATTATTTCCATTCAAAGAAATAAAAACCATTCATCTTAATATCATAAATTACAATTATTGAACGTCAAGTTTATTTGAAACAGAAGAATTTGAAATTTCAGATTTAGTAATGTGATTACAATATTTTAATATTCATTAACTTAAATTTGACTAAATTATCATATAATACTTATTATTATTAAACAACTCAATCAATCTTTCGAATTTAAGAAGAATGGATAAAAGAGAGTTAGATAAAATATATTTATTCTAATAGTAGTTTGCGTTGCTTAATGCTAATACATATAAATAAAAATTATTAAAAAAATTTATTTTAAATTGAAGGCAAATATAAACCTTCTTGTTAAAGTTCTTTATGAAATGATTATGTTTTCAATAGTAGTATTATTTCAATTAGTATAGAGATTCAATTTTAACATATTTAAATGTGTATTTTTCTGGTTTTAATTGTTATTGAAGGATTATTGGAGTTCTAAAAATTAAATACAATGTGAAATATGATATTTGAAAAAAATGAAGTTCATATCTTAAATTATATGGAATAATTGTATAATTAATATTAAATAATGAGCAACTTTAGTAATAAAAAAGGTTTAGAAATAATTCTTATTTAGTAGGTAAATAAACAAGAGCATAAATCAAGAAGTAAGCAGTAGCTCCTGCAATGTTGAAGAAAATGAAACTGATTTAAAAAGGGAAAGGTAGATATGTGTTAGAAGTGGACGATACTTTTCTCAATTAACTTTAATAAGCATAGCAATTTTTAGCAGAATTAAATGATACTATTCATGGTTAAGTAGAAATAAGTTAAGGGATGGGTTAAGAATCAAATCCTTAAATTGAATAATAGGAAGATGATGGATCCTCTTCTGGATCAGAAGATAAAAGTGGAGCTTAAATGTCTCAATAGCCACAAGAATAATAATCTTAATAACCAAATGAGGTAAAGGAAACATAGGATTTTTATAGGTAATTATTTTATAAATTATATAAGACGTATACCTCATTTTTTTATGGGGAGATTTAAGAAATGGGCAAAAATTTTAAAAGAAGATGATGTAAGTTAATTTTTACATCAATTAAAGTCAAATAAAAAATCAAAATAGGGAAGATATGAATTGGGAGATTTTCATAAGTAAGAAATATAATGTAATAAAGGTGTTTTCAAATTGACAAGAATGATAGTAATGAATAATAGAAGCAGAAGAAAAAAATAAAAGAATTATTTCTTGAATTTTTATAAAATGAAGCAGTTCTCTAAATTATACAATATAATAAGATAACAAATTAAGATTAGAAGGTAAGAAATGAATTTATACCTAGATTAAATACATAGATGTAATTCCAAATATGGTTTAAGAAATGTACAGTGATAAACCATTTGATTAATTTTTGGCTTAACAGAACATAGAGAAATAGATAAACAAAAAGAAACAATTATTAAATGAGACTTAAGAAGTGAGACAATAGTAATCCCAGATATAGATGCAACAATTACCATAATAAAAGTAAGATCCTTCTTTTGAGGAGCCATTGATGAAATTTGGAAGAGAAATGTCATTTTAAGGCTGATAATGATGACTTAATGATTGATGTATAATATCATTATGATATTGCTCCTCCAATAAATTGTTAGGCTCCATTGAATAAGTGAATACGATTATTTCTATCTGTAAAGATTTCTCCTGATAATTCCAATCTTTTAAGTAATTCTGTTTGTATATCATTGACTATAGCAATAGAGTAGTATTATTCTTTTTGTTTTTGTTTTAAGCAGCTTCTTTTTTTTCAATCTTATTGACTTCAGCTCTCAATTAAGCTAATTTAAATTCTTTTGTATTTTCATTTATTAATCTTTGCCAATTGTTTCAGCATCAAAAATTGCAGATCCATATTAGGTAACTTCTTATGATTTATTTTTCATTTATAGTAATTTTTATTGAGCATGCTCAAGAATTTAAATTCTCAATTAATCTACTTCTCCTTAAGCTATCATTCTTATTATTCTCTAAAATGTTATGCAGTTTTTCTTATTTTTTAGTTGAAATTTCTATAGTTAAAGATACAGATCTTTGAAGACTTTATTTAGTTAGATTATCAACACGTTCAACTCTTTTTATATCTACATAAGTAATAACAAGATTTTTAACCATTAAATATTCTTTTTTATTGTTACCATGCTCTTCTATTCCAAAGATAGCAGTTATAATGAGTTTAGCAGATGTCTTACGAAATTTATAAAAATAACAGAAGTACCTGCAGTTCTAAATTTAGAAGCCATCTAAATTCAAAAAGCCCCAAAGATATCTTTGACTGAAAAGATTTTAGAAGCAGATTAAATGTTATTTTATCTATTTTAAATTTCCAATAGTAAGCTAAGAATAATTTTCATACAGAATGATCTGATTTTTTAACGTTGATTTCATAGGTAGAAAATTCTGGAACCATCAATATTTATAAACTATTAATACTTCAGGAGTTTTAGGTGTTTTACCAGATAATGATAATTATGTAAAAACTTCATCTAGTTCTAAAAATCTAAAGCTGGACTTAAAATAATTCTAGTCTTTTTGGTTTTATAGTCATTAATCTAAACAGCTGTATTAAATGGAACTCTTCTATTTGAAAATATTATGTGCTAATAATAAATCAACATTAGTTGGTATTTCATTGCCCACAAATCCTCATAAGATTTTAAAATATTTGATTCACAAAACATAGCACTTACTTAACTAGTTCTTGTATCTCTTACATTTACACATTCATCTTTATCTAAAGATATTATCTCTCTCTATTCTATTTTTCCTACTACTATTGACGGTGTTTAAATGTATAAATTCATGAATCACTCATTTATTAATCTATTTTCAAGTTCATATTCTCTTCTACTACTTCAAATTAATGATTTTTCACTATCTTTTTTCCTATGAACTTATATTTCTCTTTAGCTAATCAATGCCTAGTTTTCTGATAAAATATCATTTTGGATTTAAACTGTCAAATTTATGATTCTAACTAACTCGAAGTGCTGATGTTTTTTTGATGTTATAAAATCTTCCGCTTTTATCTCTCTCTCAATTCTGAATAATTTTTACTTTTTATTATTACCATATACATCTTAGAAAGTCTATATCGTTTTAAAAGCATGCCTTTTGGTTTAGAAATCTCAGCATCATTTATCTTTTCAAACTCTTCATATCAATACATGAATGAATTAATAGGGTAATGTCTTTTATGTCTTGTCTACCCTTTTCCTTAATTTTTTTGTTCAACTTTATTCCTTTTTAGACTTTTTAAACTAAGATTTATTTCCAAATTTAATATGATATAATTATTATAGCTGAGTATTTTGTTGTTATTTCATAAAATAAATTTTCTCCTCAGATGATTAGTTAATTATAGTAGATAGAAATTATTAAATTTTAATGATTATTATCCTTATGTCTTTTATTTCGATAATTTAATTTGTAGATTTTCTTTCAATATATGTATCTAAAAATTTGTTTTTTTGTAGATTAACTGATAGAGTATATTAATTATTTAAATAATTCATTAACATTAACTAATAATATTAATAAACAGTATAATAACTTTAATGATGTACTTAAAAATATGAAAAGATATATTCATATTTGAGTCTTAAATAATTTGTAATTTCGATTGAGTGAAATATCATAAAGTATATATTTGAATTTTGAATGAACTACTGACAATATAAAATAATAATAAATGGCAGATTATTACAAATATTAAAGGAAACGCCGAGATTTGGGGAAACCTTGCAATTTTTAAGATAGTGAAATAAAGATTGCTGGATATACAGTGATTTTGATTCCTAACTATGTGAAACGAAATCCAAATCACATAGACTTAGATAATATAGCCGTATACTCTGAACATTCAGTAATGAAGTTATCAAAGAGTTAAATAGGTAAATACAGAAAGAGTGTCAACGGGTGATAAAGTGATGTGTCATAAGGAAGGAGGGGTAAATTAGATTTATGAAACAGTTTCAAGTGGCCAACAGGTATAGACCCAATGGAGCAACAAGATTAGAATAAATATAGAAGAGGGTTTGAAAAGGATGCAGCATTTGCAGTGGCGGTTAAAGAACTTTGTAATACTGTAGAGAAGTGCATTCTTCAAAATAATTAAATTGATTTATTTGAAGAGTATTTTTTAGATGAAGAAAGTGAGCATCAAGTTGAGAATTTGAGTACAAAACTAATATTATTCAAGTAATAATGTAGAGGATTATAAATGTAGTGATCAATCTTAAGGAGTAAAGAGATCTGTTTCTGAAATATCTTGGCATCCTGAAGGTCCAATAAAAGCAGCTGTGTCATATGCAATAAGTCGATTTTAATAGATGCCTGAAGGAATGTTAAAATCCTCATTTGTTTGGGATTTATAGAATCCAAATAGTACTGAATTTGAATTAGAAACAAATTCACCAATAAAAAATCTAATGTATAATCCAAAATTATCTGATTAAATTGGGGGTGGATGTTATAATGGATCAGTGGCAGTTTGGGATGTAAAGAAAGGTAAATAACCAGTGTTAACATCACCTGTTGAAAAATCTCATCATGATCCAATAACACATTTTTAATGGTTATTTAGTAAGACTGGTTCAGAATGTGTTACAACATGGTGGGATACAAGAAAATTAAATGAAGGTCCAATAGAGACTTTGAATGTAACAGAAGGATCTAATCCAAATGATCCTTTATTTGGTGCAACAGTATTGGAATATAATACTGAAGCAGGTCCAACAAAATTTGTAATAGGAACAGAGATGGGATTTCTGATGGTTGCAAATAAAAAACCAAAGAAAAATGTAGAAATCACAACAGGATATGGATTAGAGAGTGGTTGTCATTTAGGTCCAGTTATGTCTATTAATAGAAGTCCACCTAATCCTAAATTCTTTTTAACAATTGGAGATTGGAGTGCAAAGATTTGGGTTGAAGATATTAAAACTCCGATAATGAGAACAAAATATCATGGAAGTTATTTAACTGATGGATGTTGGTCACCTACAAGAAATGGTGTATTCTTTTTGACTAGAAAAGATGGTTGGATGGATGTTTGGGATTATTATTATAGATAAAATGAAATAGCATTTAGTCACAAAGTAAGTTAACATGAATTAAAATAAATACTAATGGTGGTGCACATCATCATGTTGGTAAATTAGTAGCTATTGCTGATTAAGATGGTATAGTTACTTTATTAGAATTATGTGATTCTCTATATTAATTATAATTTAGAGAAAAGGATGTAATGATTGAAATGTTTGATCGAGAATCAAGAAAAGAGAAGAATTTAGAAGCTATTAAAAAATAATAAGATTTAATGAAGAAGGTTGTTCCAAAAGATAACAAAGCTGCATAATAAAAATGGGAATAAAGAAAAGCAGAATTAATTGCTGAGGCTGAATAATAATTTAGTCAAATTGTTAAAAAAGATGAAGAGGTAAAATTAGATCAATTAGATGAATTTAGTCCCAAAGGTTCTAAAACAAAAAAGTATTTAATTATAAAAACATTAGGGATGACAAGAAATAATAACCTAAGGATGATGATAAATAACAAGATCAATAGAAAGGAGATGATGGTTAATAATAAGATAAATAAGATTAATAATAAGGAGATGGATGACAATAAGGTGACGGTGATGATGGATAATAAGGAGTTGATAGATAATAATAAGATGGAGAAAATGGAGATGGATAATAAAATGGTGATGACTAACAAGGAGAATAAGAGGATGGAGAAAAAAATGAATAAGGTAATGATGGTGAATAAGAATCATGATCTATTTAAAATAATATATTATTTCATGTATGAAGTAAAATGTAAAAAATATTAAAACTTATAAAAAATATACTTAAGTTTATAATAAGAAAGTTAAATTGGAATTTAAAATATCTTTTTAATCAATTATTAGCATTATGTCCTTCTCCTGCTGCTTCATCTAACCATCTTTATCTTCTACCATCAATCCATTCTCCTTCTCTTTATTCTCCACCTGGCTTAACAAAGATTCCCTTTCCATGTTATTTACCTTTTTTCCATTCTCCTATATATTTTCTACCATCACTCCATACAAATGTCCCCTATCCATGTTTCTTATCATCCTCATAACTGATCAATAGTAAAATATTATTTACTCTCCTTCATAACTACGTCCATCAGGCCATGTCGTTGTTCCTCTTCCATGCATTTTATTTCTCTTCCATTCTCCTTAATATTTTCTGTTGTCAGCCCAAACATATACACCATATCCATGTATATCATTATTATCAAACTATCCTTCATACATAGAACCATCTGCAAATACTAATTTCCCTTTTCCATGTTTCTTGCCTTCCTCATACTGGCCTTCATAGTGAGCTCCATCAGGCCAAGTTTCTTTACCATTTCCGTGTTATTTATCATCTTTCCAAAAACCTACATATTGGGCACCATTGTTATGTATGTATTTGCCTTCCCCATTTGCTTTATCATTTAACCATTCTCCTTCATAAACATCTCCATCTGCATGGATTAACTTTCCTTTTCCACATGCCTTATCATTCTACCAATATCCTTCATATACAGAGCCTAAATGATGATAATAATAATTACCATCTGGCCAAACTTATTTCCCCCAACCCCATCTCATTTTTCCTCTCCATTAACCAGCATATGTGGCACCTTTTTAATTAAAATTAAAGATAATACCTGTCTCTAAAGTTACTGGCTCATACTCTTTTTACTCATCAGGAACTGGCTGTTGATTATTTTAACTATCTTTATTAGGATTAACTGAAGCTTCGTAGCTTTCCACCTATTTTACTTTATCATGGTGGTAGGACTCTTATTTCTATTTATCATCTTGCTATTGTTCCTACTTTAATTCATCTAAATTTTCTTCTTTAGGTTAAGCTTATTATTGGGCATCATCTTATGGTACTTCTTCAACAGCCAAAGCTATTTCAACTTGCTATTATTCTTCCATATCCACCTTCTATTTCTTATCTTCAATTGTTTGTGCTACCATATCCTTACCACAAATTCCAGTGCAGTTGCCCATCTTTCTTTTATATAATAATTTAATAATCAAAAAATTAATCATAATGGACAAATTATATATCTCATAAATACTTCTATACATCAATTTACATACGAGGTCTTAAGTACTCTAAAAACTCAACCAATAAATTCATCTCTTACTCACTCTTTAATTTTTAATCTATCTTAACTATTCCTACCTATTTTAATTCCATCAAAACCTTTCTCAGATCATCTCTTTTATATGTATACAATAAACTAAACAATTTTTAATAGTTCTCAGATGCTAATATACTTAAATTCTTAAATATCCAATCTTCTATAAATTCTTCCTGTTTCTCCAGTCTTAATTAATCTGCTAATACTCCAAAAACTTTCTCAGATAACATCCAATCTGTATGACTTAAGTATAAATATAAAGCTTCAGGTATCCTCTTCATTTTTATCAAACAACATCCTTCCATCCAAATCCTACTCTTTTTAATATATTTTTATACCATTTTCTTTTTTATGCCTTTTCCCTCAACTCTTCCAATATCATATATTAACCATCCAATGATTTGTCTAATTTCCTCATCACCCTATCCAAAAACTCATTCTTTATCAATTCCATTGGCAAATCCTTTTAAACTCTTCCTCTCAACACCCATGTTATATCAAATAAAGTTGACTCTTCTACTCTCAAAATATCCAAATAATTTAATAGATTTATTAATATATGATTGGTATTAAATCGAAAAGAACAAATTGCAAAAACCTAACAAGAAAATGCATATGAATATTTGAAACGCTTCTCTATCTCTTTTTTATTGTTCAATCTACCAAAATATGTTATCTCTGCTATCTTTATCAAAATATAAACCTTTGATAATATTTATAAATGAATCTCTGTCAATTCCAAATCTAACAAATTATAAAATTCACTTTATACTCAAAATCTCAGGTAAAAATCCCTCCAAAATATTTTTAGTTAACTTAATATTTATATTCTTTCCTTCATTTATATATTATCTTAAATTATCCTGTATTCTCTCTGAAAACACCAATAATAAAACCTCCAAAGCTTTCTCATAATCTATTTTTAACAATTTTTCTATATTTTCTATATCAAATAAATATTCAAATAAATCTTTAAACATGGATTTAAATTACTTATCTGTAAAAAAAAGCTCGCTTTTTTATTAATTTTAACCAGTAAAACAAAACTATAGAAAACTAATTAATTCATTAAAATTACCTAAATAAATTTATTCTTAATTCTTCAAGTGTTAATGAAGTTATATGAGTAGTTTAAGATGAATTCTAATTATTTTCACCTGATAATACTGTTATTAAAGTTATAATTCTCAAATAAGGTGTTAAAAAATCATTAAATTATGAACAAACATATATTAAAGCCTCGATCAAATCTTTTTCTAGGCAAAATTCAATTAATCCCTTTGCATCAAATTATTAGATATTTTGGATTGAAAAAATAATTTTTTAACATATTTCTTTTTCATTCATATCAGAAAATCTACTCAAAACTTTGATTTACTTTTGATAAGGAATGTTAACATGAAGTTATTTAATTAAATCTTTTAAACTATCATAGAAGATATTTCCATAACCATTAGTCACCATAAAGTTTTCAATTTAATCAAATAACTGTTCTTCATTTTGAGTGTTGATAAAAAATTAAATAACCTTTTATATACATGTATTATTTATTTATTAGTTTTTAAATAATTACGTCATTATATATTGCAATCCCAAATTGCCACAAATATCCTAAATACATTAATGCCTTTGAGCATCATTTTCAGGAATATCACATAAAAGAGTTAAATAGCCTTTATGAATATTTATTGCTGTCTCAAAACACTTATCCCATTCTTCATTTTTACTCAATTCAATTAGGTATTCATCCCATTTCTTTAATCGGATTGTAAACAAATCTGTACCATTTAGTATATTACATAGTCCATTCTCAAAAATGATTTACACTAAAAAAATATATTTAATTATTACTTACAATTAGAATGGAATTAACAAAAATTCATAATAATATCATTTGATATTTAATATCCATCTTAAATTGAATCCAATACTCCTTAACTTATAATTATTTACTATTTATTTTGATTTTCAAATGTATAAAATTTTGGTTGATATTATCCATTTGATAAATTTTATATCTATATTTCTTAATTATAATGCTTTTCTATTTGAGTTAAAGTGAAAGGTACACCATATTCAAATTGTGAAGTTGTCATTAATTTTAGTTTTGTAGAGTTTACACCATCAATATTATTTACAACAAAAGTTAGAAATATAGAATTTGTAATAAATTTACAGGTTAGAGGAAAAGTTTGAAGAGTTGTAAAATCAATTGCATTATAAAAATGTCCACCTTAGATGACTTAAACAATTGAATTACTAGACATAACTTTAAATGCATAATATTCTCTACATCCCCAATTAGTGATCAATAAAACATATCTTTTATTTGTTTCTTTAAAATTTCCTAATCCCCAATTACATGAACTTTAAACAGACAGTTGTTATGATTCTAATGTATTGGGATGTGGTTAATTAAATACTAGATTATAGATAAAAGCATCTGGTCTTAAAAAGTTTAATAATAATTAAATATTTGCTTATTCTTAATTAAGTTTGAATCCAAAATGTAGTTATACAACTTGGATTCTATTTGTAAATCCTATGGCCATCCAATATTCAGATTAGTAATCTCTTTTTTTTTAGAATTAATATTCTTTTGCATCCTATTTGTCTTTTGAATCCATGCATTAGATATGTTGATAATAACTTGGATCCATTATAGAAAAATCGTAAATGATTTAAGACATTGGAGCAATGTAATCTTCCTCAATTACTTACTTATTTATAAAATATATTTATTACTGTAGTATTTATTTCTTCGAACTATTATTTATCACATAACAAACCATATTTATAAATAGGTATTCCAAAAATATATTCAAATTGTCCTTGATTATTTAATTCTAAAGGCATTTTAAAAATATTATTATTTTCTAATTGAATGATTAACTCATAATATTGAGAATAATTAGTCAATGGCACAATTACAATATGCTTTATAAGATTTAATCTGCAATCAAGGATAACTATAAAAGACTAAATAAAATCTCCATATTACTTTTAGATTATATATTACAAATTAATTGTTTGAATAAACTATTAATAATAGAAGTCCATCTTTAGATATATGAATCATTTTTACACTACCTCTATATTTTTATGATTCATTTCCAAGCACTTTATGTGCTTATTAAAAATTATCATCCTAAAATTGTCTGATTATTTTACTTATCGAAAAATAAGAACAAAAGCTTATTCCATTCCAACATAAACAAATTCTGAATTCATTGTAATGAATGTTGGAATTCCATATTCTGATTTTTTGGAATCAAAAAATTCTTTAAATGTATATGATTGTGTTTTAACAAAACAGCTATCGATATTAATATTTGAATTAGGTTTTATTTTTTATTTTCCTTTGTCTGGGATAATTGATTTCATACAAATAAAAGTATATTAGTTATATTTAATATATATAATAAATAATATAATAGATAAAATAATTTCAGCAATTCCTCAAATTTGCAAATCCTCCTTTTAATTCTACTAATTCTTAAAATGTACCCTATTCAAAAATCAATCCATTTTCAAGATAATAAATTCTATCATAATCTTTTAGTGCTTCTAATCTATGTGATATAGTTATGATGGTTTTACCACAATCCCTTAAGTATTACTAAATTAAATCTTCAACCTATTAATCTACGCTCGCAGTAGCTTCATCTAAACAAATAATATCAGGATTTTATAATGCCACTCTAGAAAAAGAAATCAATTATCTCATTCCTTAAGATATTTAGTTTGAGTCAATTTAAGAATTAATATCCATTGTAATATACTTTGATATTTGTTCTTAATCAGAACAATCTAGATTCTCACTCAAAGTCCCATTAAATACAAATCCTAACTAAGGAATAACACCAACTTTGTTTCTCCAATCAAAAAGCTATGATGATGGCATTGACATTTAACCTTCAGTTTGTTCATATAATTGAAATAGTACAGCCAAAATTGAAGATTTGCCACTTCCTGTTCTACCACAAAATGCAATTCTTTCTCCTTATTTTATTTCTAAATTTATTCCTTTCAGAGCCATCTATCCATTAAAATACTATAATTTTATATCCTTAAACTTTATATCATCTGAATAATTAAGGCATTTATTTTATTCAATAGAATGATTGCAATACTTACTTTATCTTTCATATGATACGAGCTCTTATTCACAAGTTGTTAATGATAATGTTAAATCTCTAAATAAACTAATTTTTGTTAAGGAATAATACAACAACAATTATAAAGTTGACTTACTTATAGGAAGCTCATAGATTAAACTTAAAGCAGTAAATAATAATATAAATAATACTATAAAACTAGCTACCAACTATAATCTTATTTATAACCATAATGCTATTACTCTACTACACCATTAAACTTGGGTGGCTTAAATTAATTTACGAAGAAATATATCTAATTTTATATTTATAAATTTACTTCGGAATTCTGTCCTTTTATTAAATGCATTTATAGTTAGAATGCCTTTGAATTATTCAAAAATTGAAGTTGCCAAATTTGAATTTGTTTCTGCATCTAATCGACGTAATGACAAACTTGTTGGTCTATATAACTATTATAATCTATAAAATATTAGTGCTGACACTATTACAGGCAATATTAAATAATATTGAAGAACTACTAAAACAATAAATGTTCCTATAAAATTAAAAACATTATTGCACAATAAATTTAACTCAAATGGAAATCTATTATCTACTACATTTTAATCATCTGAAAATCTTATTAAAATCTATCCACTCTCTTCAACATCAAAAAATTAACATTTTGCATGTATCACATTACTCAATAGTTTAACAAATATTTTTTTTGCTTAAACTAAATTACCATAAGCAAAAGAAACAGCTCTTGATAATTTTATTATAAAATCTAATAAAACTATCATGAATAAGGTAAAAACAAACGAGTTGTTAAAGATAAATAATGGATTCTCATTGACATATGAGTTTAACCATAAGTCATATAAATTAAAAGAGACTTACATCAAGGCTAATGAAACTAATATCCACAAAAAATTATACAAACCTAAAGCTTTTAAATAAAAGGATACTGACTTTTAAGTTTATTTTATTTCATCTTATTTTTAGTTTTCACTTATTTGTTAAACTATTTCTTATTATATAGCATTGATCTTTTACTCTTTTAAATCAAAAGTCTATTCTTATAAATCTTCAAAATACATCTCTACCTCCTATTTATCATAAATCATTTATCCATCCTTTATAATTATAATTTAATTTGCATATTTCTTGTATCTCTATAAATAATTATCATTTAATGCAAATATGATTGGTTTTTTAAGTTTTATTAAATTATTAAAAATACTATCACCTACATAAGGATCTAAGCTACTGAAGATATCATCCATAAGATAAATATTATTTTAATTGTATAAAGCTCTACAAATACATACTCTTTGTCTTTATCCACCAGAAAGCTTTGATCCATCAGGACCTACATCAAATAAATCTTTCTCTGGATATTATTTGATATCATCAATTAAATTACTTTATTATAAACATTATTTGTATAATCCTGCATCAAATTTTGATTCCATAAGAATATTTTCTTTAATTGTTCCTTTAAAAAGCCAACTATGTTGAGAAACATATGAAAAATTTTAATTAACTTAAAAAAAGCCTGATTAAACCTTCATTTAGTTTAAAAGTGCCAATAAAAATGAAGATTTTCCTGATCCAACTTTTCCACCAATAAATACTATATGATCAATTTTGAAATGAGGAATTTTCAATGTGAATTCATTATCAAAATCCCATTTTAATTCTGCTTGATTAATTTCTATTCCCTCTTCAAAAATCTTTTTATCTTTTTGTTTTATAACAAAAGAGTTAATTCTAATAAAAGATGTCTTTGCTTATAACATTCCAGCTAAAGTCCAAGGTAATGAATTAAGGGGATTAGTCAATAAAGAAAATACAAAAATAATTGTAAAAACATTATCTAGATCATTATTTTATGAATAAATGTATAAGGTAATTGAAGAGATTAATGTATTAGTAATAGACCAAAATAATACACATAGAGAATCTAACCATTTAGAACCTGCTATAATATCAAATTCTTTATCTCTAATAGCCATAACTTTGGATTCCCATTTTTTTTCCCATTTGAGAAATTTGATTGATTTAGGATTGGTAATAAAATCTTTAATTGCTTTCATTCTTTAATCTTTAAAAATTAAACCTGAAGAATAATAATGACCAATTTTATTAGCAATTGCAAAATTGACAAGCATTAAAATAACAGCTGTAGCTAATCCTATAAAAACAGCTTCTTAAATTTAGATGTATAAAATAGTCATTCCAATAATCAATTTTAAAATTAAAGACCAAAATTCATGAAAGCTAATAAAGAAATTCATAATAGTATTAACATCGATATTGATAAGATTCATTAGATCTAAATTAGATTAAGCCTCAATAGAATTATAAAGTGTTTAGATTAAAAAGGATTTACATTTAAACTCTAGAATTTTAATTTAGTAATTGTATTACGTGTCAGTAATAGCTGATAATAAGGTTGAGAATAAAACAGCTGCTGAATAGATTAAAAAATCATTTACTGATTAATCAAGTGAAATGGTCAAATAATTGATTAATATTGGAGTGGTGAATAAAAAGCAGATTGAGATAAATTTGAGTAATCCTATCCATATAAAATTTTATAGAAACATTTTCTTTAAAGTCATCAAAATGGGTTGATTATTCTCAAAACTCATATCATATTGACCAATTAATCCATCAGGTAGGTAATGAGAATCACTTAAAGTAGTTTCTACATCTTCAATTGTAATAATTCTTTCTTTAGATTAGATAAGTTTATTGATTTGAGTAAAGAATAAACTAGTAAGATTTTATTAAGATAAGTAATTTTATGAATTTTCTAATAGTAGATCTTCATCCAAAATTTGATGTTATACTTTCATTAAAGAAATGTTAATTATATAATGAATAAAATGATGATTTAAAAACAAAAGAAATATAAAAACATAATAGACTTTATAAATCATTTTTCTGTCAATTCTCTGTATCCTTTCCAATCAGATGGAGCTTTGAAATTAGTTTCACTCATAACGTTAAATAGAGTACTGATAGGGCCATCATTGGGTCTAATCAATTTAGCTTTTTCAAACCACATATGAGCTTCCTTCCAATTACCCAAAAGATAACCTTAGAATCCTTAACCAAATTGATGCTATTTATTTATAAATGATATAATTTTACTAAGAATTCTTGATTGAAATTCTTTGTTATAAGTGCTAGATCCTTGTTTCTTTTCATATAAAATTCACCATTAAAATCACCAGTTTCTAATTATTAAAGAAAGATTAGTTTTTTTTCATACATAACTTATTATTTTTCTTCTTATATATAATCCTCTTTGCTAGGAGGTAAATCATCAGCATCCATTTCAACAGTGAATAATCCAATAGGTTTAAGACTTCCTTTAACAGTAACTTTATCAATTTATCTGGTGTACTTCTTAATTTCATCAGAGAAATATTAATGTAATTCACTAGAGATTAATACTGCTACTCCATATTATTTAGTAGCAGCTTCTAATCTAGAAGCCATATTAACATTTGGACTTAAATATGACGCATCAATTTTAAATTCTGATCCTATTGCACCTTCTATACCCCATCCGATATGTAATCCAAATCCCATTTTGACTTTATATCCTGGCAAACGTTAACTTAATCTTTCATCATTTCTATAATCTAATATTTTAGGTTCTCTATTAATTTTAGCATATATTTTCATAAATGCTATTAATGCACAATCAGCTAATTAATTAATTTAAACTATATTTGACCTAAATAATAAATAAGATCTATTACCATTTAATTTCATTACCCTCTTCATGCCATTAAGAATCATTAATTTTCCATACAAGTAAGAATGCATCTCCAATGTTTTTATTTGCAGATCCTTTATAACGATCCACCATAGAATGTACAATTTCAGCAATATTATTTACAAATAACATAACATCTTTTTATAACACTTCTGTTGCATCTGTGAAATTACGAATATCACAAAATCCATAAATTGCCCATTTACGTTTACCTGGTAACATAGGATCTACATCACCTGATGATGCCATATTAGTTCCTATTATAGCAGAACCTGCATCACCAAATCCTAATGCTAATAATGCACCTATTTTAATTATTGCATTTTCAATCTATGTTGTTTCCTTTTAAATTCCTTCCGATTCTAATTTCATCTCTTTTGCCAATTAAGGATTCTTAGCTATTAAATTTACTTTCACTATCATTCTATCTATTGGTTTTAATGCAACATTATTTGCATCATTTGAAAATGCTATTGCACCAAATAATAATACAGCACTCACAAATAAAGTGTTTACTATATTAATTATCGAATTCTTTGATTCAACATCTGAATTATCTGAAACAAAAAGAATTACAGGATCACCTATGTATTCTAATCCTACTAACACTGGATCCACTAATTCAAAATAATAGCTTTTAGAACTCTCCCTTAAATATTAATAAGAAGGTGTCTCATAATTTTCTATTTCAATAAATGGATTCGTAATATAACCTACTGGTGTATCAAATTACTTATGTTAATCTATTACAAAATTTATTGTTTCATTAATCTCACTTAATTTTGTATTCGGAATTTCTGCTACCACTCTAAAATACTCAGCTGCATAAGCCAAACTCTATGATGACTCAAAATAATAATCAGAACTAAATAAAGGCATTATTAATAGTAATATTATAACAAGAACTATGACCTTCTTTGTTGTAGAATCTGATAATCTTTTACTCACTCTTGATTCTTTTATTTACTTTCCTTTAACTTATTGTATCTCCTTCATTGATTATCTATGGGTTAATTAAATCTTTGGAACTACATTCTCAATTTATTGTTATTTTGCAACCATGTTTTGATTTTCACGATTTTCTTAACTGTTTGCATTATCATCTCCTTCTAATTTATGACTCTCAATACTACCCCTCTATTCAGTGTTATTATCTTTCTTATTTAGATTCTCTTATTCAGCTTGTACATTATTAATGTTTTCATAAACGGACGGATAAATTGTTGCTCTACTTTTTTTCATTGTTGAAACACGAAGTGGTTATCTTTTAAACGCTTATTCTTATGAATAACTCGCAGCCTTATACAATTTAACTATTCTTATCAATCTAACAAGCCGAACAACTCTTATTGCTTTCGAACTTGTTTTAGAAGCTTTATTTGCTTGCTACAATTAAGAAGCGGATTTTGCAGCAAATGAACCTCTAAAATATATTTATGCTTTAAATTAGTTACTGTAAGCCTACTGCAATATTGAACTAAGTGATATCCAAAATTTAAGAAACTGTTGATATTATATCCAGCCAAAAAAAGAATGAATTAAAATAGTCTTTTCGAACTAAGCTTGCTATGATTATTTCAATTGAAAAAATTATCTATCATCATTAATGATTTTACCATGCATATTATAGTGATTACATCAAATCCATCATCAGCCCTTTTATCAAAAGCAATAATTCTAATGTCATCCCCAAAAAGTGCATAAATAGTTAACAAATTTACTAGTACTTGAAACCAAGTATTATCTAAAATACTAGTTAACAAAGGAAATTTATCACTGAATTCATAATGTTTCATTACATATCTTCATTTTGACCAAATACGTCAACTTCCTCATTGTCGCTCTCTTCTGAAATTACAGATTAATTATCTGCTTCTGGATTTACTTAGGGTTGACTCATTAATATTTCTATTTTAATTTATTATACATATTCCTAAATTTATAACTAAATATTATATTTAAGTAAATTGATTAAAAGAAAGATCTTTTTTCTAAAAGCATTCTTTAATCTTTTCAATATTAAGATTTATAATTGTTAAAGAATTAATTTAAATATATGTAAAAATATATTTACATATATTTCAAAATTTAGAATAGCTTTCTCAGTTCGTCTTTCTTTACTTTCGAACACCTCTAACTTTCTCTTTTTCATTCAAATAATCATCCTTAACGTATCTTAACTTTTTATAATATCTATTTTTTATCATATTCATAGTCTTTCCTGGAAAATATTTTACAATATTATTAAAATTTGGACCAACTTATTAAACTAATTCTAGGATCTTTTTGTCTTCTGAAAAGGAAAATCTAATAACATTCTTAAAAAATCAATTATAATACCTAAGATCGTTGAGTTTTTTCTTTTTAGAATCATTTACAAAATAATCGCTCTATCCATTTCTTGATTAATACTAAACCATGGAATTATACAAGTGTTCTAGGGATTCATCATTTACATTTGATTACATTATTCTATTTAGAATAGTTTATTTGTTACTAATCAGAGATTTCAATTCCATCATTTAAAATCCCTTATTTAATATAGATTCCTTCATCCATTTTTATAATTTATATTTTATATTATAAGAATCTTAATTTAAATATTGAATTCATTACTGTTGTAAAGGATACTGTATTAGCACAACTAGAATTATTCAAATTTTCATGATTATGATAAATATTATTAATATTATTATTAAAAAAATTCTAAACTAATTGAAGAGAAATTCATTATAATCAATTCCATATTTAAGATTTAGGCACATTGAATCTTTAAGCATATTTCGTATATAAACCTAATTCTTTATTTTTTATTTCTTCGACTCTCTATCTCGATGCCAAATTAATTTTGTTATTTCTATAAAATGAATTTCTAAACCCAATATGTTATTCTAATTAAGAAGAAACTATAGGAGACTTATGAACATTTTATCTCCTTCTCTATTTTTCTGCCATAACTCTTAAATCTACTTTCTATAGTGGTGGCAATGATCTTTTTTATTATTCACGTGAATTTTTCTCTGAATACAAGTCTTCATCTGTCTCATTAATTGGTAATGGATTGGTTCCTTCCATTTCTCCTAAAAATATTGGTATTCTTTTAAAATTTACACCATAAACCTAATCAAGAGTAATTGGAATAGATTATATCATTTTTTGTATTTCCAATTAAGTTCTTATTTATTATAATAATAATAATAAATTTAGCTTCAGTAATTGTAAATCATATTCTCTAATGTTTTTTTGTAATCAGAACTCTAATAAGAATCTACTTCAATATTTTTATTAAGAAATTACATAAATTTATTCAAAAAAGTGACAAGCTCAGAATTTAATTTAAAGTATTAAAATTGTAATAGGCTGTTAAAAAGAAAAGTTTTTATGAATGAATTAATAGAAAAAAAGTTAGTCTATAAATTTTTTAAAAACAAAAAGAAATTGATATTTATTTGAATTCTAAGGATTAATAATTACTATTTAAAATATAATTCAGCGGATTAAAGGTTGAATCATTTTTATAATTAAAAACGATTGATTATTTGAAACAATTAAATTTATAAAATGATATTTCGATAAAAGACATTTTTGGACATAATAAATATTAGTTCTAAGTTAGAATTTTAAATTAATAATAAATTATTAGGAGAAGAATGAAAGTTTTTTAGTTGTTAAATCTGAAATCATCTCAAATCCATCATTTATTTTCAATAAAAAGAGGTAAATTTTCTTAGGACAAATGCACTAAGTTTGGAACTCTATATGGAAATGTTCAAAAGATAATATTAGATTAGATATTTCTATATATCAAACAATGGAGTTATGTATTGCAAAAGGTTCTTTTGGATAAAGAGGTTAAGTGAGAGAATAACTTTTTTTTATTAAAATTTCCGAATGAATTATGGTTAATTTAAAACAAGATACAATAAATGCTAAGAAATTTAAATTTTTAACAAGACATTTAACTCTTAAGGCTTTAGATTGTCCTTATATGCCGATTTACAGAATCTTTCATTTGCTCCAATTAAGGACAGTAATTTTAAAATAACATAAAGCCAGTAAGAATTAGTTTTTGCAATGTTTGGAATATACTTTGATTTATAGATAAGACTTTGCTTGTAAACTTTGATAATTATGTTAAAACAAATAATGATTGCTTAATTATAAAAACAATATATAGATTTTAGTTTTACCAAATATGATTAATTATCTTCAAGGTATATTTGGTTTAAATACTACTTAAATTTTTATGAAAAGAAAACTTGAAATCAGTATCTTTTAGTAACATTTTCCATGAATTTATTTTCAATCATTTTTTCTTAGTTTTAGGTTTAACAATAGAATAAAAGAGAAAACTTAATTTTCTATTATTTTGTTCTTTTTATCAATTATTTTATATTCTTCGTGTAATCTTACTTAAAAAAGATTATTTAATTAAAAAAAAACTAAGATAAATATTTAGATTTATAGAAATTAGACATATCTGATTGTTTATTAAAATTTTTCAAGGCTAAAAAAACGAATAAGATTTTGGTTTCTCTTTTTGAATTTTTACTATTAAATAGAAATAGTTATGAAGGTTAAATAACTTTGTAATTATAAAAATGATGGCTTAATGATTGCTATGGGTTATGAGAAGTATCTATTATTTAGATTGTTGTTATGATCATTCATTCAAGTATAATTGATAGAAGAGATATCCTTTTAATGTTTTTGAGATTTTATTATCGTCTTGGGATTAAAATTTATATTAATTTAATTCAGTCTTATTTTTGATTTATGCTCTTATTTATAATTTTATTCTTTAATAAGATCCATATTTAGCTAATCTTCATCGACAGAAATACTTATATCAATTATTAGATTCTACTTTAAAATTTTAGAATTTGATTTCCTCTTTTTCTATATTTAATCTTATTAATAATATTGACTTTTATTCATCTTGAAATTGTATTATTATTTATTTTTTAATTTTAAATTTGGTATTTTCTTGTTAAATTTTAAATATTTGTTACAAAATACATAGTTAGTCAAGAACTTTGTGCAATTTAATATAAATTTTTGTTCAAAGAAAATAATAATAGAAAATAAATTCAAGTATATTTTTAGGAATTTTTATGAAGAAGATTGACTATATTTCTTGGTGATTAAATTAGTTTTATTTTTTTGAACAATCTTTGAAGCCTAGTAATCTAATTATAATTTTGCTATTCGATTCAATAATTGCAAAAATGACTTTTTGTTTATTTAAAAAATGTTTTAATATAAGATTTAGCTTATTTTATTCCCTTTATCCTGTATTTTTTAGTCTTGTTCAAAAATTTGAATATTTTGATACTATTCATCAAATTCGTTAAGAAATAAATCCATTAATATTATAAATGTTTGTAAGATTAGCATCGAATTTCATGAGACAACCTATAATTATGAAACAATTTTCAAAATAATTGAGGTTTCTTCCAACCACAGCTATACTCAATAATCACAAATTGCTGATCTACAATCTATCATAATTAAGAACAGAATTCTTTTAGATTGAAGAGTAGAATGATGATGATGACTTACTGTAATTACTATCTATGAATAGAATAGATAGGAAGAGGTTCCAGTACGTAGGACTAACTCAAACTAACTGATTGATTGAATATTATAGTCAAGAGTGAAATATATTCAAAAATTCAAAATTATTCATTGATTTTATATGTGGATAGTATTTTAATTAAATTCATGAGAAGCTTTCCTCTCAGATTCATCATTCTAAGATCTCAATAACTCTTCAGACCTAATTGTTCCCTTTTAAAATTAATGTCTTCAAGAACTATTAAGTATCATTATTCTCAAGAAATTAATCGGAATAACCATAATAGTACTAATTAAGGTTAAAACAAAACTGAAAATAAAACAATAGATATTTAACCATAATAAATGATAGAATTATTCTAACAATTGATTTCCTTAAGAAAATTAGAACCAACTGAAACCAATTGTATTTCATAATTACTTATTTCTAGAAGAGGAAATGATTACTACTTTGGATTAATTAGTTCCTTTTATTGAGAATTTTAATACTCATTAATTAGAATATTTTTTAATTTTAACAAATGAAATGATTATTATTGAACATGAACTCACTGATAAATTGTTTGAATAAACAAAGTAACTATTATATTCAGAGTATGTATATACTTTAAAATTTTAGATAATCTAATTTTAATTAGACTTTAAAGATTCTTAGTTTATTAATTGAAAATCCTTTAAAAGAGGAATAATTAGAGATTTTCATTAAATTTTTATTTACAATCCTCGAAATGCCATATCTTGATGCATCTACTCTTGGAAATGCTATTTATGTATATGGACTTATTGTCAAATAATATTAAATACAATCAGAAGATTTTTATCAGTCAATTACAAGACATTTAAAAAGAATTGATAAAGATTATGATGAAATTATGATGAAAGGAAAAAAAGATTCATAACTGATCAATTTAACATAATAGGACCTTAAATAATTAGCATTAGGTTTACATTTTGGTGGAAGTAAAACACCTGAACTTCAGAAATATATTTCTATTAAAGCTTAAAGCATATTCATTGAAATTCAAAATCTTATATTAATATCTAAATTTTTGTTAAATCAAGAAACAATCAATTAAGAATTCTTAAATTTTTTTAAATAAGAACTTGAAAAATCAAAAGATAAGCTTTAACCGGATGATTTTTTATAATTAATGGTTGTAGCAAAAAGTATGAAATAGCAAGATTCAAATATTCTGGAATTTATTGTTAAAAGATTTCTCAAAATAAAAAGTTAGTTTTCTTTAGGAGATAAAGCATTTATATATCAAAAAATGGCATAAGTACAATTTTTATCTTAAGACTTATGGACCTAATTTGAATTAGATATTAAAGAAATCACAGAAAATTGTGAATGTTTTGATGCCTGTTTAATGTTTTATAGAATTTTTGATGTATTTTATTTTAATAAATTAGGTTTTTGATATATTGAAACCTGAATGTTAAGAATTTATATTTAATTACATTATAGCAAAACAGAATGAAATTGATGCCGAAATGAAGGAATTATTATTATAAAAATTATAAGAAAAAGGAATTGTTTCAGAATAAGAAATTGAAGAATCAAAAAACTAAGTGTGAATGTGTATTATATCGTATATAGTCATTAAGTTAATTGGTACATTTAATTGACTCTTTTTAATACTTCTTTGTAATTTCTAATTGCTCTATTTGCTCTATCTGTGAGTGATATATTAGTATTATTGTAAAAATTGAATGGTTTTAGTTATAAAATATTATCTCGAAATGGAGATAATTAATTCTAATTAGAATTTGAGTTCTTACATAAATTAATTAAATTTAATCAGTATCGTTTGAAATTGTTAGATCAAATATTTTTTGTATTAATAATTTACTGTACTTACATTCATTCATCATATAATTCAAATTATTCATATTCATCGATTTGTTTTCTTCTAAAATCAAGTATTATGATTCTCTTGTGCATAATTCAAATAGAACTAAACCTAATTACTATTACATATTATAAGAGTGTCCTTCAATTATTTTAATTTATCCATTATTATAGAATATACAAGTTGTAGTTAAGTTTGATGTTTAATTTTTAGATTTTAGAAACATCACTCCTTACAAAAGTTAATAAAACAGATTCCAGATCTCAGTCTCTGCAATTGGTAATTCTTAATTGATTAAATAATCTTGTAGGGTTGAGTCATAAAACTCATAATATATTGAAATATAGCTATTGTAATTTTATTTATGTAATTCAGCAGCTAACAATTCAATTACATTCTCATGTTCCCAATTTGATCTTTCATTCAATTCCTATTTAGAAACATCTGATTGTAATATTTTGCAGTAAGCTAACTATCCACTATCTTTTTATTTCCAAATATCAATTTATCCTAATTCTAAATGCCTTATAGTTAGTAGAAAGTCATAGCTTTCTAAGAAACTCATTATTGCTTAACCGATTAATTAATTATAAATAATTAAAATAAATATGTCTCACTAATTATCATTAAAATCTTTGATTATTATTTCCACATATTTCTTACTATTAACAAACTATTCAATTACAAATAAATAGAAAATACTCATAAATTTCTAATATAATAAATTTAATAAATTTAGAGAAAATTTTCATCTTCAATAGTCGTCATAAATATTAGTTATAAAATAATCAAAAAAAATTATATCAATTTGTTTTAATTTAATTTTTCTTAATCATTTCTAAATTCATAATTGAAAAAAAGATTTTTTAGTATTTAAGAATAAGTCAATCTTGAAGTATTATAATATCTATTTTTACCTTTTTATTTATATTCTTAATTTAATTAATGGATAAATCACATTTAAAGAAAGAAATACGATATTAAAATTTTACTATGAATATTTTGTTAAATATCGATTTACCTATTCTATTTTTGAATGTCTATAAAAATCATAAACTGCTATGACAAAATTAATTAATTTTACACATTAATAATATATGTCAGATAACAGATAACGAAAAATTCCATTGAGTAGATTAAATATTCATAATTTAGCGGCTTCCTCAAAATAATCATCATAATAATCATGCAAAAAAATTGAACATTCCCCTACAAGTTATTAATTAGTGCTCTCATAATTTTGTAAAAACTAAAAACAAGAAAGATGCTAAAAATCAGTTCCAGCTTTCTTATAAGATAAAAGTGTTATTCAAAACTTGTAATAATAAATCATTGAACTAACAAAAAAAGTGGATTATCTAACTTAGGAAAATAAAACCCTTAAGCAGAATCGAGTAAATACATTAAACGTATTATTTAACTTTTATTCATAGAATATTCAATACAAATACTAAAAATTGAATAGCTATAGTCAATTGTTAGAGTAAATACAATAATTAAAAATAGAAAACATCTCTTTAAAACAAAGTCTATTTCAATTAAAAACAGATTTCTAAATCTCAATAAATCCTTTGAAATAAATTATTAACCATTACGTTACAGTACCCTAGCACGATATTTAAGATGTTTTTGAAATGAGATTTTCTTAATTAGAAAGTGAGTCTAATTGATTACTTTTAGATTAAATTTCCCTTTTTAAGTCAAAATGTGAATTATTGAATATAGAAAGGGCTAAATTATTAGAGTAGAACAATTATTTAGAAAATGAACTTTATTCATGTAAATAAAAGTTAGAAAATTAGATCAAATAATGAAAATTTTTTATTTATATAATGAAAATGTCAATTTTTATTTCATTAGACCAAAATTTTTTATTTTTTAATTCAAATTGTTTTTTTAGTTTGATTATTATGGTTAACTAAATTCATATTTAAATAAAAATAAGGATAATGGTTGAAACCATCATTAAATGTATATCATAAAATTGTTTTTTAGGAAAATTTAATTGATCAAAAGCATTATATAGAATAATAATTTAGAACCTATGAAAAATAATCTTAAATATTAAAAGTGCATATATTTTGGTTGATTTTATGAAAAATAAGTCTATATAATCTGATTTACATAATCCTTAAGAATAAAATAAAATAGTTTTTGATGTTAAAAGAATTTTTATAATAAAAATTGATTCTTAACTCTAAAATTTAAATTTTGAATGTTTAAATGATTATCTATTTTATCATTCTTATTACATATAAAAATATGGTTGAAAAAATTTATTTAATTAAGCGTTTTTGATGTAGGCGAAAAATATGCTTTAAAGTTTCAAAATTGATATAACTTATAATTATATGATTAATTTTTGAGAAAGATTTTCCTTTGATTAATTTATTTAATTTAAATGAATAAGTAATGTAAAATATATAAAAGCAAAGAAATAGATTATCAGAGGGATCCAAATGATGTAAATAATAACATATAGAATTTTATAGAAAAAGAAAATCATAAATGGTTTTAAAATAATGAAAATAATTGGTGAAGGTTCATATGGGAAAATAAAATTAGCAATAAAAGATAATCATGAATATGCAATAAAAAAGTTTAATAAGTTTATTCTAAAAAAGAAGAATAAAATGTACAAGAATCCTAATGGAAGTAAATAAATATTAGATTAATCTAAGCAACAAAATACGTTTCATTGTTAGACGAAGTATATAGAGAAATAGAAATTCATTAAAAATTAGATCATCCAAACATAATAAAGTTGTTTGAGATATATGATGATGAAGAGAGAGAGAAATTATATGTAGTTTTAGAATATGCAGAAATGGGTTAAATTTTGAAATGGGAAAGCAAATAGGAAATATTTACAGCTTAATGGAAATTCGATGAATTAACATTTAAAGATTATGCAAAACAAATGTTAACTGGTTTACAATATCTACAGTAACAATATGTAGCACATCGAGATATAAAACCTCATAATATATTATTAACTAAAAATCAATAAATTAAAATATGTGATTTTGGGTCAGCTCAACAAATGAGTCCATAAAACGATAGAGTGAAAGGGACTGAAGGTACTTTTTAATTTGTTGCCCCTGAATGTTTAAGAGAAAATAAAAAAAGTGAGATTCCAGGATATAGTGGTCATTTAGCAGATATTTGGAGTTTAGGAGTGGTTCTTTATTGTATGATTGAATTAAGATTACCATTTTAAAGTGAAATTATGTTAGAACTATTTAATTAGATAGAAACTAAAGAGTAATATAAAATTTCTAATAATATTAGAATTAAAATGAAATATGATGGACCTGCAAAAAGTTTAATTCTTAAAATGTTGATTAGAGATACTAGTAAAAGACCAAATGCAACCTAATTATTAGAAGATCCTTATTTTTAATGATTTAGTATAGTAGTAACATATATACATATTTTATAAATTTTCAATTCACATAATATTACTTAAATACTTTACTCTAAAATTAATTATAAAATAAAATACTCTAAGGGTTTTTATTTTGAAACAACAAAATTCCATTTTAAAATGAGACATCGTTTATTATTGCATTCAAATTCAAAAACATATTCCTCTTTATTAAAAAAGGAATAATCATAATTAAGTCCTATTTCCCATATAAATACAACCCATTATGGACCAAAAAGTTGATTCAATTGATTTCGAATGAATTCTGCTTAATTGAGAAAGACCTTTTATTTTTAACTTCTCTAGAAAAAATCAAAAATAGCATCTTTATCATTGTAACCTTATCTAATGATACTTAATTAACTCATATAGTTTTGAATTAATTTCTGATGGTTTTATAAAATATTTAATAATAAATAATATTCATTATTGATCTTCATCACTATTAACTTATTCTTCTGCTTCTTATATTAATTGATTCCAATATGCTTCTCCAATTTGCATCTAAAAATCTAATTTTTTTTTAATATCCTCTTATTCAATCATATCTCCTTTTAATATTTTCTTTAAAAAATCTCTTTCTTCATGTAATATTTTTTTAACTATCATAAATTAAATTACTACCCTTCTAAAACATTTCTTTTTCTTTAACATTAATCACCGTATCTGGTTTTTCTTCTTCAATAATTTCTATAATTTCTTCTTGAGCCCATTACTTTTTATCTTATCCAAAATCAACTTCATCAACTTTCAATTTCAAAGTTGGATTAGTAAATGTATGTTAATCTTTGACATTTTCATAAGCATCTTCGATAATCGACGAATTTGGCTACATGTCTTTAAATTTGGATTACTTCATGATTAGTTCTTTCTTTAGCAATAGAAGATCTTTTCTATTTATGATTAAATTCATTCTTATCAAATATCAATCCTAATTTAAAGATATATTTATTCTTTAGTTCATCATCATCTCCATTTACTTCTTCAACTTTCTGTAATGCATTAGTTCCATGAGGACTTAAAGATGCTCTTCTCTTCTTATATTCCTATTTTCTAATTAACAAAGGTGATGATCTTTCTCTTTAACTAATATTCTGTCTAAATTCAAACTTATCATTTTATATCTATATATGAGGTATTCTTGATATCTATTATATTATACTAAATTACTAAATAATCCTCTATATCTTCTGATACTTCTTTCACAGATCCTAAAACAATAGAACCACTTCTATAATAATTTTGTTTACTCCTTTTCTATCTCTTATCTTAAAAAATATCATGATAACATTCTTGGATTCCTCTTTTTGAACTAGGTGATGATGATCCACTCATACTTCTTCCATATATATTCTTTATTACCTAGTACTATTTGTATGATGCTAAAAATCCATTTTTATAAAAGAAAATTATATTTTAATTTATAATATCCTATTATAAATGTTTTCCTATTCTTCTACATATTATTATTAATGAAAGTTTTACTATTTTCCATTTATAATTATTCATTTATTAAAATATTCAATTGGATATTCTAAATAATTTAGTATTAATATATTGTCTATTGTGATTTATAATTGTTCAATTTCTATGACTTTATCAATTTTGCTTTCTAAATAATTTCACATGTGTAAACTGCAATTCTTAGAAAATTTCAATAACATTCAGAATATTTAATTTTATTTAAATGCTAAATACATCTTAAACTAAAAGTACTACTGAGACTACGAATTCTATAGTTATTGATGAAAAATATAACATAATCAAAAATATTTATAAGGGGAAATAATACAATATTTATTTAGGTAATTTAAGTTCAATTTAAAAGATAGCTAGCTATCAAAAAGGAATAGTAAAATGATTTCAATTAAACTGATTATAAAGATAAGTTTTATCTAATAAAGATGAAAAAGTATGAATACTTTTATGATTTAAAGATAAGCTTAACAAAATGAGATAATTCCAGAACTGTAATTTTTATTAAGACTGAAAGATGGTATAAATATCTATAATAATAATAGCCAACTGTGTTCCTATTTTAATTAATTACGGGGAATAGATTATAAATGGTTAAAAATATCATTTTCAAATTCTGTAAAGACATGGTCCATCAATTAAGTTAATATACAATTATCTGTCAAAAAGTCTTCCTCTTCCAATACTATGTCTTATAGCTATATAAACTGTATTATGTGTCCTAGATTATAGTTAACCTGTTTAGAAACTATTCATAAGCATTAAATAGTTCATCGTAACATTAGACCTAAAAAATTGTTGCTTTCAACTAGTGGTAATGAAATATTGTTAAGTGATTTCAAATTTGCAACTAAATTTAAGTTATAACATGGATCAATCTGTTGTATGGATAATCATAAATCAATATCAAATAAACACTTCCTCAATAAATACTCAAGTATAAATCAACATTTGAATTAATGTAAAGATATCCAATAATTAATTAGTCGCAACACCAAAAGATGACCTTGAATCACTTGCTTATATCTTACTTGTTTATGTAACAAATTCAAAGATCTTTAAAATTCATGCAGATAATAAAGGACTCAAACTCAAGAAATTGGAACAAATAAAATTATCTATCGTTCCTGAAATTACATTCAAATCTGCTCCTATTGAATTTATACATTTTTTAAATTTAGTTAAAACTAGCAATGCAAATGATTTTCCTTAGGAATATGAAAAATTCAAATAATTATTTCGTAGGTTGATACAAGCAAGTGGATACAACGAAAAAGATTTATCTTATCCTTTATTTCATGTTTAATATAGAGAATCTCACCCACAACAATAATAAGAATATCATAATTAAGTTAGTAGATTTAAGAAAACTTAAAATCACAAATTAAGTTCTGAATCTATTTAAGAAGAAGCAGCTGATGAAGAAGTTTCAATTTGCTAAATTGATATAATAGGAGAGGATCGAACCATTGAACCTGCTATAAAATCCTTAAAACCTTAATCATACAAAAATTTATCTACTCTTAATTCACCAAAATTTGAATCTTAAATTATTAAACTCAAACTCACTAAAAAATGATGAAGTTATTTATATATCAACTATTTCTCCATTTATTTATTA